CCCACCCCCCCACTCTTCTTGTGTCATATTACCAGTTGTCAATATAGCTAAACGAATAAATGCCAATGTTGTCATATGAAACTGTACACAGAACATAGGGGATTAAACAGCTGAATACATATCCCATTAGTTTGGATTCATCAATATGAAAACCTTCTTTATGTTTCTATTGGATAGGTCTAGTACGATGTCAAGATTTTCGATCACCATACGGTACACTTGCTGATTGTGATAATCGAGCAGTACATAATTGTTCAGACGAACAACGCCTATTATATTTCTTAATGAAGTAATAAATATATAATTTATGATGTTATAACTTTGATTATTAACTTCAATATTTACTCACGCATAGAAATTACTCAAACAGTGTCCGACCAGTACGAAATGCCAGCTTACCAGTACCGGTTAAGCTTGGTTTAACATTAACACAAGTATTTGATATGGTAAATATTAAAGATTTTCATTGTTACAAGAAAGAATGAATGAACTAATCACCTTGATTATTTTTTCAGATAGAAAAAAATCAAATTTTGATCACAAATGTATGGCTAGATCAAGAATGGTAATTATTTAAAAAAATGTTTTTTCACAAATCTAAATATCAAGTTTTACTCTCAGGTATGATGAATTTCTACAATGGGATCCAGCTGATTTCAACGGGATTCATCGTCTTAATCTTCCGTCCAAACTCATTTGGTTACCAGATATTGTTCTTTATAATGTAAGAAAAGAAATATGATTCTTCAATACAATTTCTTTCTATTAATCAAAAAAACAAAATCGATATTTTCAGAATGCCGACGAATTTTCTAATAGTAATATAATGCAAGTAAATGCGATGATTATTCATAATGGCAACGTGTTTTGGCCAATACCAACACGATTGAAAAGTACATGTCAAATTGATGTTACATATTTTCCCTATGATGAACAAGAATGTAAACTTAAATTTGGTAGTTGGACTTATAATGGATATCAAGTTTCAATTGCAGAACGTAATGACGCTATTGAATTATCTAGTTACGTTCCAAATGGCGAATGGGATTTATTAGATACATCATATCAAGTTAATATTGTTCGATATCCATGTTGTCCCGAACCATTTCCAGATATAACATTTTATGTTCGCATTCGACGACGTATTTTATATTATTTATATTCAGTTGTTTTTCCATGTGTGATGTTATCAATACTAACTTTACTTGTATTTTGTTTACCACCCGAATCTGGCGAAAAAATTGCTCTTGGCATAACCGTTTTACTTGCGTTTAGTGTTTTTATGTTAGCTATTGCTGAAAATATGCCGGAAACAAGTGAATATATTCCACTAATCAGTATGTAGTCTATTCTGTATCATATGTTTAAACATGACAGAAATTATTTATTCTCTTATTTTTTTTAATTTTAAGGTTTATATTTAACTGCAGTTATGGCTATGACAAGTGTATCAGTAATGATGACCGTGTTCGTTCTTAATCTTCATTATCGTGGTCCGAAAAAAAATGAAATACCTTTTTGGCTTCAACAGTTATTAGGTTTATCAGTTACTAATATTTTTCGTACGATGAAGAAACGTAAAAAATTCAGATTTTCATTTCGAAATAAAGAGAAAAGATTAAATAAAATTAATGTTCAAGATACAAAGCAAAATCAACAAACAACACCTCGCATGTCTACTAATGGCCTATTATTGTCTTATACCAATGTCAATGAAACGAAAATAAAATCCAGGGTAACAACAAATGTAAGTAAAAAATAATATGTCTATATATATATATATATATATACACACATCGAGATAAAAACATATTGTATGTCTGTGTTAGTAAAACCATAGAAGGTCAGTGTAGGAGACTGAGCTCCTCCATCCTGAATAAAAAAATCTTTAAATTTGCTGATAATAGAGTGATGCGACGGGAAGTCTCACAGGAGTTTAACATATCCACCTGATTAAGTCTAATGATGTTTCTTCCATGGATGAATTAGGTATAATGACGGAGTTAAGATCGGCTAGTCGCCTAGTTCGTTACCGGTTTATTACCGGCCTAACTTTTCTATTTTTCTGTTGTTGTCATAGAAGTTCGTACGCACAGTTCTTATTGACCATAACTGAAGTCGTTATCGAATACAGAATGAGGTTTCGTTGTAATTCTGCGAAATTAAATTATAAGAAAAAATTTAAACACATTCCATAAAAATAATTCTATTATTCTTTTGTTTTATGCACATTGTATCGTAGATAGAAGCGAAAACGACATTTGAGTATTGGTGTGACTCTTAGAATAGCCGGTCTACCACTCTGAAATCAGTGTCGATCGTCACAGAAAAAACTAGGCCGATTCTATCTATCATATCTATACAATTGTATTCGAATCAATGTTTCTAAATGAAGCTGCCCAATATGTTTTTCTTCACATATTCTCTTTAAAGAAACATGATTGAAACTCATTAATCTTCATTGTTATATATTTCCTATGCAATGATTCCAAGATATAATTGTTTTTTGACATTTACTTGTCTGTTTTATCAGAAAGATGATAGTATTATTCTGCGAGAACTTCGTTTCAAGCATATCTTATTATGTCGAAAAGAAGTAAAAATTGTACTCATGAACGTCTATTTTATTTTTTGCTATTTTAGCAAGTATTCTATTCGACTCTTATAATTATAATTTGAGTGATAATTGATGTCTTATGGCTTCCGGATTTTTTTATTCGTAAGAGAGAAAATTGGTTTAGATGAAGCACATAACTCAATCGAAAATCGATAAGTCCAATTCATAAATAGATTATATCTTAGAGATGCTCAATATCTTAATTCAATTACTACCAAATGCATCCTTTTAAAGAAAGTATTCATTTAGTTGAAAGCGATATCCAAAAATCATCCGTTAGTAGTTATCTATTCGTAAGACCTAAGGAGAAAATTTATCTTTCCATTGGTCCATTCATATGTACAATAAACGTTTTAGATTCTTCATCAACTCACAGAAAAAAGACTATACGAATAAATGACAAAAAGAAAAATGAATAATTGCTTTTTCGCCAATAAATTCGCACATGATTAAATAAAACAAATACGCTCACCATTCATGAGCATCAATACATAACATACTGTGCTAGTTTGTTTTTTTCGAAAAAAAACATATCAATAATATAAAAGATATAATCATATTTTTCGAAAGTTTTTCTTCGTAGAAAAGAAGAACAGAATATCAGTCTGTTCAGTAATATTGATAAACTCTAACGCATTGGAAAAAACATTACTAATTAAATCAGTCGACTATTCTATCGTATAATAGAGAACCTCGATCATATATATAGGGTTACAATTGCTATAAAGCATTTGTTCATTTTTCTCGATGCACTTGTTAGATAAAATTTATATTGTTTTGCCTTCGGTGTATTCTGAATAAAATCTTGGGAAAAAAATTCTTTTCTTATTATCGACTTTTGTGTATCGATTGTGTGTCATTGATATGATTTTTATTTGTAGGTAAATTTGATGCAAATACAAAATACGAGTTGTCAAGAACAAAATCAAACGAAAAAAACAAATCGTAAACATTTACAGAGTGAAGACATTCCAATGATTAATCGGTCAATGTCTCGTTCAAGTTCAGTAGAATCGATTCATGATGAAATTCAAGATACATTACATAATTTATTACTTAAACAAAAAGAACTTGAACATGATCAAAAAGTAACAAGCGATTGGCGTGCATTGGCGACTAAAATTGATAAATTTTTATTTTATGTTTTTCTTTTATTAACAATAATATCAACTTTAGGACTTCTTGTTGTAGCGCCATTATTTCGAAATAATGCACAACGAAAAATCAAACTTTGGCATGGATCACGTCGACTTTAATATATATGAATACGAACATTTTTCTTTATTTTTTTTTCTATTTGAATAAAAAATAGTTTTTTTTCAGTTTTACTGAAAACATTCAACACTCTATGATTGACAGAAACATTTAGAGAATTGAACAATATCTTTTTCTCTTTTTGACACATGCAATAGTGTATGTTTACAGCTAGAACATCATTTTTGTGTAGAACTAGAGAATCATGTCATGAAAGAATCGGTAACGAAAATATGAAATAAGTTGTATTTCATATTAAAAACAACCTATCTAAATAGATATGAGAATAATGAAACCGTAAGATAAAATACTTAGAACTATTGATTGAAATCTTAATATTATTTTAACTTTTATTTATGTTTTTTTTTGGTACGTACAGAATTCATTTTCTTTAAAGAGACCAACGATTTTCTTTCGGACTTTCATATCGACTACAATAAATTTTATAATTAATTCAAGAATAATGAGCAATCCGATCGAAGACAATTTTCCAAATCTGTGTTTAATACTTTTCATTTAATGCAAGAAAAGTTGTGTTTGATTAGCATGTACTGATTAAGAGTATATAACAAATAGCTATTAGTGATATTCATTTGAGTTAGAGACATTTTTAAAAAGCAAAAAGAAAAACATCATCGATATTTGGTCTTCATCAATACAATTCGATGAATTAGTTCTCCTTTTTTTTTGTTTTTCTTTAACTTTTATTTCACATAACAGAAAAAAACAATTATAGAACAAATTTTGTTCTTTCTGGATCCATTTTATGTTTCGGTTTTTGTGTCCATTCATATTCACCATATAAAGCATCGAATGTACCGCGTTGTATTGATCTCAGTTTAAGTGTGAATCGTGGACCTAATTCTTGTAGAGCAACCTTTTTTTCATTTTTAAACAAGTACATATGATGACGAAAAAATATAAAATCTCGTTGATTATGAAATGTAATCAAATGACGAGCTTTGTACTGTGGATCATGTGGAAATAATGCTGCTAATAGACGACCAACACGTATACCAATACGTGTATTGAAATTATTCAGAATAATTTCTGGTCGAATAGTTAGTTTAGCGCAAGGTTTACCACGATTTGAACGTAATTGTTTTGATAGACGAGCACTTGTTAACCGAAATTTCATTGTTGGTCCTTCAGGTAAATGTGATATAAAAAGAGTCGATGGTTTTCCATGATCTTCATTCACAACAACTAAATCGGTGTAACTAAAAAAGAATAGAATGCAAACTAGAAAAAATTAATTGATATTGAATTTTGTTAAAGTTTTACCCTAATTTATTCATTTTTTTAATGATTCGTTTAATTGGATGATGTCGTCGTTGAAAATATGTTGTATTTGGTAGAATTCTTGCTACCTCCTTAAGAAATTTATTCGTAAATGATGATGGAAAACCTTCTTGACTGGTTAATAATAATTTTGGTTCTGGAGCATCTGGTTGTCGAGTGAAATAATTATTTAATTCATCATTTGATATGTCATCAAGAGTTTCTTGATCATTTTCATCCACCCAAGTTTCATCACGTTTACGTTTCTTTTCAATGGTTTGCGGTTCTTGTTTTGGCTCATCAGATTGTTGTCTTTCTTTACGTTCTTTCAATTTAGCTTTTGACTTTGAACGTTTCAATTTAGCATAAAGTAATTGACGAACCATTTTATTACGAATTTGTAAATCTCCAGTTGGAACTTGTGCTGGTGATTCTTCTTCATTTGTAGATTTTCTAAATGGTTTACGTCGCATTGGACGTTCATTATCATCGTTCGAAGCAGAATCTTTATTACGACGAACCATCGTTGTGAATGATTTCGAAATTTATCAAATAGTAACAAGAGAAATTTCTATATAATAATATTTGAAATCATCATTTCATATTTCCAAAATTCGTTTCATCGATTCGTCAGTTATCATAGCCAATGCAATGTGTTGCACAAAATATTTTGCACCAGCGCCCTCTCTCTCTCTCTTTCTCTCTTTCTATATATATATATACTTTCTTCTGTAACACGCCTACTGTTCCGAGGTACTGTGGACTCGGCTTTGGTTTACTTTGATAAACAGATAGTTCTATATAGGAAAACTTACGAAAGTCACTTAGATTCATCAAAAGCAGAACATCCCAGGCCGTAGAGGTACGGCGGGAAACGACCAGAAAGCATGGGAAATCGCTGGAAAGTGGAAGCAGTATTCCGGTCGGAAATTACCGTATTTTTTTTACCTATGAATTCCGGTTAGTTTCCTGTGCTTTCCGGCTGGGAGATGACCGCAATGTACCGGAAAAAATCCGCCAATTTCCGGTCGGAACACTGGTTCCACTTTCCGGTCAGATACGGTGATTTTACGCATCTTTCCGGTTTGTTCCTACGGTAATCGTCCTCCGAAATCATTGACCTGGGACAAGGCCAAAATTGACAATTTTCCGAATAAGATGGGAAAATGTTCAGATTCTATTATCGTTTCTCATCGATTTTAATCTGTAATCTACTAGTGATTAAAACCAGAATATTCTTTGAAGAATTCGTATGATCCCGATAAATTATATCTGCATCTCAAAAAAATATGATGTGTCGCTTTATTGTCCGAAATGGTTGACGATAATGAAATAATCTTGCTATCAATGGGACTAGAATTTTTCATAGGAATATCAAAAATTGAATGTGGTTTGATGAATTCTTTCGAAGTTATGACCAAAACAATATCGATAGTTTTATTTGTCGGCTTCAGAACAAGTTGATGAATGTTTTCGAAAAACTAGGTGAATGCGTAAATTGATTGAGAAGAAAAATTTGAAGAACTTGAAAACAATATTTGAGTAGATTTAATCCAAAAGACAATTTTAACTCTTTTCCAGCACTTTCTAAGAAATGAAAATACTCTTGAAGAGATTATGAACGATTGAACTGTCATGATCACATGTGACAAGAGAAATTAGAAATGTACAGCAACAATATTGTTTTATGAAAAGGGGTTACGTAAGTATCACGATAGACATTCGCATTAAAATTGAAAGAATATTCATGAAAGATAATAGAATTCTTCTTTATTTTGCAAATCGGTAAAATAGTCGTTGAGAAGTTGATAAAAAATATATGTTTTAATCGAAACGTACATTTGCTGGGCTGCGATTCGACATATATTTCCTATAATTCCTATATTTTCCTATATTTTATCGAAAAAAATAGAAAACTTCCGAAAATCTCTTCATTTTTCTATTGTCTTCAGACGAAAAAAAAAACTTTTAATGTGTATAATCATGTGTTTTGGACAAATCCTTGTATTATAGTGACATTTGTTTTAAACAGTATTGTTCCTTTCGCCTATTTAGTGGGCTGACAGATAAATTGTTTAATACTAAGTACAAAATACAAAATAGTTCAAAAGAAAAAAACATTCATAAAGTGATCATGTACTAGTTTCAGGTTTTTAATGAAGTTTTAGTTAGGTATAAAAGCTGTATATATATACATCCCTGAAAAAAATAAGTTCCAGTCTGTATTCTGAGAATATTGTTACTAAAAGAACATATTTTTTTAAAAAGTAACGACATATTCTGAAAGCCCGTGAAATTTTACGCCATCCTGTGTGTATGCGTGTTCATTTACACTTATTTATTATCAGAAAAAATTGAGTTATGATAAAATACAAAATAAACTTGTGGAAAATAATGAGCGATGAATGCTGATTATCAGGACAATAAAATTAGGTTGAGATTTTTTTGGGAACTCATGTCCGTAATCTGAAATGTCTCTTTTTATTATGAGAAATAGCATTTGTTTTTTCAAAGCTTATGATCTACTTTATTGTTATTTATCGATTTGTGAAAATTTTTTATAGTGATCCTCGAATTAGCGACTTATTTCAGTGGAAAAGAATTACAAAGGATCTTGGCTACGGTTGAACTATTGATAACAACTTCATTAAAACGATTCTCGAGCAGAGCAGTTAAGAAACAGCAAAACAATTCAACAGAAACTATTATATAAAACATCCTATATTTTTGACAACCTTCATCCTCTAAGGATTCCTATATTTTTTAAAAAGTGCAATCGGAGGTCAGCATTTGTTTTAGTCAGCTATCATCGTCTACTAGAGCGACTAGTCGTTAGTTTGAGAAATATTTGATTTATAATCAGAGCGCGGTAGTTCCGAGAAAATTGCAATCGGGAACCGCATCGAACCGAACCGGAATCTGTTAGTTTCTTTTACTCGCACTCGGAAACAGAACCGTAGGCGCGGTAAATCGTTTCTTACGATAGCTTCTATGTCATTTGTATGTGTTCTATTAACTTCAGCTAGATATTTGACTCTGGCCTTGTTTCATCTATAGAATCCTGTGTATTTTTCACATTTTGATTGCAATGTGATGTACAGTGGTGGCTAAAAAGTTCATGACAATACATCTAATTTGACCACTGAGTCTTTGATCAATAAGCTCATCTTTAAATGAAGTCAATGCGGGTAAACTATTTACTTCTTTTTAGTTTACTGAACTCTAGTCTTTATCAGAAATGGAGACATTATTTTATTGTCTAAGCTGTAAAAAAATGATTCAAATGAATTTTTCCAGATGCAGATGTGTTCAACCATAATCTTAAAGATATTTGTAAAGAACAAATTTTTATTTAGTTTGCATATTATTAGTGAATTAATATTCTCATAGACACATCGGCGTAGCCAATATTAAAACGATTGTCTTTAAAATAGAATCTGAAATAGATCGTTAAATTTGATTCTGGATATTTCTGGACTCTGTCAAATACCATCGTACTTTTATTAGAATAAGACTAAAATAATTAGTAGCTACTTGTTCTTGATTCAACATCAAACATTTTCTTTCAGTAAGTCTGTAAAAATTGATACTTATGTGATTCTTTTTCAGAGCTGAGCACAGAACAGGACTGTCCTGCAGGACAAGGATAGAGTTTTTGTCCTGTCCTGCCGCCCGCCAGGACAGGGCAGAAAAACATGTCCTGTGCTCAGCTCTACTACGGGTATATATTTTTTTTCTGAATATTTGACTCAGTGTATGTTCTGATTTGTATCATACTTATTGTATCAAGTACTTTTTCATGTTCTCCTTTTATAGCATCATTCTTTATATGTGAAGATAATACTGCTAGAGTCCTAGATTATTTGTAAATTTTATTTCCAGTAAAGAGGGTATCATAAAAATAATAACTCAAGATTGTTTCCTCTTTTTTTGTATTTAAGATGTTATTGTTTACTAAAAGATTCAGTTTTTGTATTTGAAATTATATGAAATATACTGGCTACAATGTAGAAAATTAATTAGCCTAGGCTTGGATTACTGACAGTAAAAATGACAAATATTGCTATTATCACATCCATGATGAATATAAAACAGGACTGTCTTGGTATCCTGTCCTGTCCTGCAGGACAAGGTTAGAGTTTTTGTCCTGTCTTGCCGCCCGCCAGGACGGAGCAGGGTATCAGGACAGAGCAGAAAAACTTGTCCTTTGCTCAGCTCTGTTCTTTTTCTTAGAATACAAGTATCTCATAATATATTCAGAGTGTAGCTTACTCGGAAGATCGACAATCTAACTTGATTATTCTCAGAAGTACATACACAAAAACAAGCATTTCAATAAGAAAAGCAAGAGAAAAAGGATACTGATTCATAGTTAAATGTCTTAATGGACAAGCTCTTAAATAAATATCATAAAAACCTACGATGATAAGGTTTCAGTATCTACTCTGATCTTTCCTGTTAGCAACATGATAGGCTACAGCTTAGCTGAAAAGTTGTAAAAGTCATGAGATATACAAAGTCTTTCTATCTCTATACCCTACTGATATAAACCACTAAACGTCACACAACAGCATCTTTATGTGATAAAAATAGTATTACATAAGAAACAAAAAGAATCATGTGAAGGTCTGATTCAGCCGGCAATAAGAAGAAACTATTTACGATGAGTAATAAAACAAACCTTGCTACATTCAATAAGAAATAACTAAAATTATTCAGAATAATCTTTCAACGACAGATATATACGCATGATATTGCTTACTGTTAGATAGAAATATAGATATTTATATAGATGAGGTTGATCATTTTTTCAGCAATATTCGGGGATAGCAGTGAAAGTTTTCAAGTATACAGTGGTAACTATTTCATGTACGTTGGTTTTTCGATCGGATCAGTTTGTACCGAGAACTTTTATATAGGATGAGAGTTCAGATCGCATGCTATTAAATACCACACTTAACACATTTCAGGTTGATTTAAGTGCAAATACCGCTAGAAATTTTTGTAGATAGGAGGAACATCATTTATAACTATATTCTTTTGACATCAATTTGGCTAGTGTAGGACTCATGATAGTGATTGTAACGAAAGACTTGACACTCTTCTGAACAATAACACCTATGACTCAAAAGTAATAAATCATTGACATCATCTCTGTAACATGTAATTACATCATCGTACCATGAATGATATTAGTTCAGGATGGATGCGTTTATATGTTTATCGTTCTGTTTTCTTTTCCTACTTAGGTTAGTATCACGGCAAGTCCCGTGAAATCTGGTAAACACAAGAAAAAAATGGCCAGACGTGTATCTAAAAGTCCAAAACGAAATCTCTCCCCATCTCGAACTCAAGTAGACATTCAATTTGAATCTGACGAAAATGCTTATTCAGATCCGGTTGATTCTTGTCGATCATTAGGTGAGTTTTTTTTATGATATCGCTAACACTTCTTTAATCTGAATTATCAACAGTACAAAATGTTGTGTTTGAACGACGAGATCGTGAAAGTTTATCACCTCAAGCAACTGAACTATTCAATTCGGCAACTGCTTTTCAAGATGAAGCCGAAGCTTCGTGGCTTCTTAACAATATTAATAGTACAACAATTTTGGTCAAAGTCGATAAAGTTGTATTCTCAATAAATGGCAATTATTTTCTAAAGTTCGTAGACTATTAATAATATTCATAGTTATTATTCTAATCATTAATTTTAATAGAGAAAATCAACCATGTGTTCTTTTTCTCCATGGATTTGGTCCAGGTAGAAATTGGGCTAAGTATGATATTCATATTTATCGATTTCCAATTGTTTTCTATTTTTGATTTAAAAAACTCACAGTTGGATAAAACTAGCGTATCAATTGAGTCAACAATGTCAATATTCTATCATTTTGATCGATTTGCCTGGTTTTGGTCAATCAAGTGGTCGTAGTTTAGATCAAACAAGTTGGAAACGATATGGACCTGAAATACTCATTGCTGTTCTTTCAAGTTTTCATCTTCGACATCCAGCTAGTGTTGTTGCTCAGTGTGGTGAGTTTTTTTTAGCTTCTATTTGAATGAAATACTCATTATACAATAGGTGGAGCAGCTACAACTGTTCGTACGATTAATCGATATCCTCTCTGGTTTCGAGGTCGTGGTCTTGTATTTTCAAATTCTGTTATTGGCGATTTTGGTGAATCAAAAATTGGGGTAATGAACTTTTTTCTCTGGTCCGAGATGCAAACGGGTATTTTCAAGAAAACGTTTTTCTAATAACATAAAAAAAAGAGGCTATCTAATGGTTTTTATAATTTTAAAAGTCGAAATAGTTTGAAAAATTAATTTTATTTCTCATTTGTAATAGGACTTCGAAAATAATTTAACAAAATATAATATACACATTGTTGTTTATTGGATTCCTGATCAAGATCATACGAAATATTGTGTGGTAAGGACCTTTGTTTTATTCAAAATTTAAACATGTTTATTGATAATTGAAGGCATACAAACGATGGAATAAATTGCGTGTGACAGGTTTTCGTCATTTAGAATTGGTCGACCTTGAACCAGCTACACAAACGATGAAACAATTTTATCCGCTTATACGTGTCATCGGTATCAGTCGTTGTTCGTCGAAAAATCAAGCATATGTTTATAAACTAAGCGATGAATTTGTTAAACAAGTTATTGATAAATTAGATCGAAAAGCATAATGAACGATTTGAATGTAAAATTATTTTTATCATGTATTCTATTCTTGATTGCAACATTTCTTCATCTCTTTTTTTTTTCGGTTTAAATATTCGTCATGTTATTGTGTTTCATGTTTATTTAACTAAAATAATTGGCGTAGTTGCCTACAGTAATTAGAATGGGATTTTCACTCTTGAAATTTTTTTATCTTCTCGTAACAACGTCGTTTATTGAAACACTCGATAGAAGAATAGTCCTTTGAAGAACACAAAGAGGTGCTGATGATAATTAAGGAAAGTAAAAAATAAAAACGTATTAAGTTTTAAAGAAGCATAACCAAAGACAAAAAGAAAAAGAATGACTTACAAACACACGCGCCAATAAAAGGTAGATTCATTCGTTCTGTTATGTTATGTTGTTGTCGTTACCGCGATCACCATGCCATTCTCCATGTGTCAACAAATGTTGATAAAATAAGAAGTATAACAATTTTCAGTGCAGCTTATTTTTAAACTAGAATAAAAAACCGATTGTTATAATCATGGCTTACAACTCAAAAAACACCAAGAAAAAAAAAGTAAAATCAAAAGCATCCAAAGGTTATGACAGCGAAGAAGATGATATTGATCAGGTTTCGGAGATGCAGCGCCAACAACAATTATCGTCACAAGAAATGATGGCTCCTGCACAAGAAGAATCAAGCGAATCATTTTCCGAACAGAAGAAACAAGTTTTGAAATCAAAAGCATCAAAGAGAAACCCGGCATTTCAATTCCACAGTGAGCCTATGCGTAGCTATGACGAGGAAGAGGATAGATCAACACGGATCGGAAAGAATCCGATGAGATCACCTAAATTCTACAGTGAGCCTAAGCGTAGCTATGATGAAGAAGAGGATAGATCAACACGGATTGAAAATTTTCCGATAAGAACGACTAAAAGACTAGATCCTGCCGAAGTGAAACCGACATTTCAACAACAGCAAAACAATGCACCCCCCTTACCACCTATCACAACTACTCAAAATTTCAATGAAATTTTCCAAGAGAAACTTCAAAATGATTCAATGAAAGATTTCAAAGTAAGTCATTAAAAACTATATAAAAAAAATCTTTTTATTTTGAGTAGGACTATTTTCTTGAACATGCTAAATTAACGGGCAAAATTGAATGTGATGGAAGTTTATTATTAACCGATGCACATCTTTATGAATTGGGTCAATTCGACTGGCCTTATCTTGACACAATTCGTATTCGTGCGTGTCCGAATTTAACACCCCTGGTTATGGATTATATTGAAGGGATAACTAGAAAATATCCTGCTCGAAAAATCAATGTCGTAAGATTTCTAAAACAAATATTCTCATTCTGGGTGAATTAGTTATGCAACTTTTAATTAAATGTTGATTTTTTAGAATGTTGAATTAATGTTACATGCTCATAATACAATAGAAAACAAAAGTGATTTATTTGATAGTACAATGATCAAACTTGAACCATTTTTCGGAAAAGTAAATCCTTTTAAAAGCAATTAAATCTTTACAATATCCAATTTCTATATTTTGAAGAGTACAAAAAAGTCAATAACAAAAGTGCTTATCTATCATACTAATGCTTCAATTAATTCGATGTTATCGTCAGAACAAATGATTATAAATCATGTGAAACCATCAAAAGAAAGTTCTCCAAAGTTACTTAACTATCTATCATCAAAACATGATGAATGTCAAGTATCAGTCCTTGAATGTGCTAACGTAAGTCTATTTCTATATCTTCATCAAAGAAAAACGAAGATTATTTTATCGTCAATTTTTCAAGTCAATCCTGTTCAAAGAATTATTTACGGCATTTCATCCGAAAATAATCTATATGGTTATTTCGACTGTTCATGATGTACTCAAATGTATTTTCTCGCTGGATTCTATTAGAGCATTTACATTTTTGGTAAACAATTAGAAATGAAAAACGAAAGATGAGCATATTGATTTTGATAAATTTTAGAAAAAAAAACAAATTCGCTTCATTATTAATAATAATGCAGAATCTGATGAACAATTTTTCTCTAATATGCATTTACAGCTGGACAATATGTGTAAATCAGCTCATGAACTTTATTCTCAATTTATCGATGAAAAAGTAGAATATACGTAAGTATTTAATTAAATTTTTAATTAGTAGAATCTTCTAGTTGTAATTATTCAAAATTTTTCATAGATCAGAGAATGATGATTTTCGTCGAAATCATTTTCTTACTAGTCTATTACATGTTCAAACCAAATGTACGATATTAAAAGATAAATTAACTAAAGATCAAACATTCATTTTTCGAGAAAATGTAAGATTATTCGATTTTTGTTGTCAATAAAATAGCATTAATTCTCTTTCATAGGATTTACCGTCAATCAAAGATCATTTTATCAAAGATTCAATTAAATATTCTCAAAATTTACATGTATTTAATACTATTGACAATTTTATTGAAAATGAAGAAAACAACAAAGTTTTTGAAACAAAAGAACCAATAGCAAAACTTGTTAATCACTTAGATCTCAAAGCAAAAGATCAACATTTAAATTCGGCAACACAAAACTCAACAAATTTAGCTCAAAGTTATTATGTGCAAAAATTAGTTATTGTAAATAAAAACAAGTTTTTATTCATTTTCTTTTTCGTAATGATTAAATGCATTTTCTATGATTTTTAAGGATCAAGTTCTTGATATTTATTCAGTGGCAAGTGGTAAATCATATTTTATTTCGGATATAGAATGGTTTTGTGATATAATTAATAATCTTTGCAACATGGAAACGCATATTAATAGAAAAACTGAACATATTATAAGACAATTCAGGCAAACTCTTGGTACCAATATTCGAATTCTTTCAAGAAGGGATTTTAATAAATTAAAAGCCAATGGAAATGACGTATTATGTCCTATTTGATTTTTGTTTTTTATAAAATCCTATTTCTTTTTAATCATAGATGAATTTCTTTCAATGGTTATTCAATAAATGGAATATTGCTTATTCAGTGTCAGTCGTCGATCAAACTGATGATAATATGTTTGTTCTTTTTAATTCCATGTCATCTGAATCACCGATTCCTTTAGTAAATAGATGACAATCTAAAGAAAATAAAAGAAATCCTTTATTTTAATTTTAGAACAATGTTTGGAGTCCATCATGGCCAAAAAGTGAACTTGAAATGGACATTTATTTTCATTTGTTACATCCATGCAATGAATCGATTCTGTTGCATCTTTACAAGTCATTTCCATCTCAAAAATTATTACTTGCTTCAAAATATTTCTTATTAATTCAAGAAGGAGCAATAGAAATTTTACTTCAATATCATTATCAAACTAATCACAATGCGGGTATAATTTACTTTTAGAAATTCAACAAACTATTGTTTAATTTTATGTGCGGTTAGGTATTAGCGTTACTTTTCGTACCGTTAATTTAAGTCAATCCAGTAATGAAACAGATCCACGAGTCGCTTTAGTTCAAGAATCACTTCAATACGTTGTTAGAGAATATTATGTTATTATCTGGGCATTTTTATTCAAACATGATTATGCTTTTAAAGTACCTTTTATCGTCGAGAATTTATTGGAAAAAATCTAACTTTTCATTTTCATATATGTAGGTTGAAGATAAATCTAAAAGTTCTTCAAATAATTTCGAAGCAATAAATGGTAAATCGAACAGAAACGAATTTTCTAACTATGAACTTACTTTAAAAACATAGGCAATGAATTCATGTATCACCAATGGCAACATTTGGCACTTTATCATTATTTACCTTCGCCTACTCATAATTCAGCTTGTTCTGTATGTGGTCTTCGTCCTTCAGCAAACAAGTCACTCTACGTAAAAAACAAATTACATTTCTTTTTCAATTGTAAACTTTAATTTTTATTTTAAAATGTTCATTTTTAGGATGCTTGTACGATACTATCACCTGGACGCCGTACAACAGAAAAGAAAAGCAATACACAAGAAGTCGATAATAATCGGGATCAATCGGGTTTATTAATACTTCGGCTTGGTGACACTCCACTTTCATTTACAGGAAAATATAGTGTACGACCAGACGGATGCAATACGTTTGAAGTCATATTTTTAAGTACCGATAAAGAGGATACAGATCAAAAGATACCAATATTATCATCGATTCAAATTGGATGTTTAATGTAAGCTATGAATAGAATTTGTTTTTCTTCTGATAAACAAACAAATATAATGCTTGATTGATTTTTTTCTCTAGGAATAATGCTGACATAAAAGATGATGAAAAAATACTTTTTGAATATGGTACTGAACGGCCACCACAAGAAAAAACTCAAGATATTCAACGCTCACAAGAAGTATGTAAAATCAGATCGAAATGATTTTAATTGTTGTTTATTATGTTTAATAATTTTAGATTAATACAGGAGCATTTTTAGACGAGATTCGTAAGTTTGGTGGTATACAAGGTTTGAAAGGTGCAAAAAATAAAGCGCATAAAAAAAAAGAATTACAAGAACTTTATACTGGTTTACGGTTGCGTATTGATATATTATTTACTGATAAGCCGGTAGAATTTCTTTCGCTCTATGATTTTCCATTCTATTGCGATTCGTTTTTTCTATGAATAGAATTTTTTTGAATTCGTGTTTTCGATAAATGATGTTCCATGGGCACGTCAAACAGTTAAACGTAAATCAACTCAAACAATATTTCAGCCGATTGTGCAAAGTCCAGGCATTCATAATTCTCAACGAAATATTAATCTAATTATTCGTCATCATAAATCTGAACTTGTTTGTGTTTAATAATGAGAAACTTCTCATAAAGTACACTTTTGTTTTACTTAGGATATACCAATGATTCCTCCTGCAACATCAAACAGTAAGAAAACTCCATGGAAAGTTGGTATGCGTATGGAAGCTAAGGATCGTAAAAATCCATATATATTAGCTGCTGCTAATATCAGTAAGCAGCTTGCTTTTACAATTCTTTCTTCAATTGACAAAAAACAAATTTTAGTTGAAGTCTATGATGATAATCGTATACGAATTAATTTTGATGGATGGACATCATCATTTGATTATACAGTTGAAACTGATAATACTGATCTTCATCCGTGTGGCTATTGGGAATATGTTCAACGTGTTCTATACAAGAATCCCAACCCAGCTAAAGCAAATCCACACTTTACTTTTACACGTTACGATAAACCAAAATGTAAAATTATTTTTTCAGAAATTTGAATTGATTAGTAAATGATATTTTTGCTTTTAGCTTATGATGGAATATTTAGTTGGCGTAATTATTTAACAGAAAAAAATCAAGAACCAGTACCACTTGAATGTTTTAGCTATGTAAGAGATGGAAAAAAAAAGAGTTGTTGTTGTTGTTCCTATTGACTAGTATAAGACTACATGATAAATAATCTAATCAATTACAAAAGAAAAAATGTGGAAACTTCGGATTTCATCCGACAGTTATGTGTACTGCAAAAAGTGCATGCGACATATGAGTCATTCTAGAATGTCTGAACACGAAAATTATCATGAGAAACTAGGCAATTTGATTTCTGGATGCAGTTTTTGTGCATTTTGAGACGTTTTTCAGGCAGTGTTTCGTTAGAAAGCTATGACTTAGTTCAAAACTAATATCAGATTTAGAATCAGCGTTAAAAACTGAGTCGATTTATATGTGTTGTGAATAATTCTGAGAAAAAAAAGTTTTTTTTGAAAAATCCCTGTACCCCTCCTCAGGGATGGTCTGATCAAAAATGAGAATTTTTTCGATAACTCAGTCATTTCTTGACGGATCCTTCTCATCTTCGAACTCGACCTAGATATTGATGAGATAATTCTGTGCACAAAATTTCAGCACAATCGAATGTAATTGTGAAGAGTTATCGAATAAACGGACGGCCAGACACACTGACCGATTCTATAGTGTACTCTTTTCGTTTTGAGTACACAAAAACAATATAGATTATTTACGATTCTGTATTTTATAACAGATTCAAAGCTAGTTGATAATATTGACACTGTAATATATGAGATGATAATAAAAAAGGAATTGTTTAGGTACAAACGGAAGGCATGACTGCCGATTATTTTCCTCATGGTGTAACAAAAGCTGCTTTTACTTCTCTTTCATGTCGTCATTATCACAATGTACGAGTTCGATATCATAAAATGAATACAATCATTCAAGATGAAATCGTCAATAGAATACTCTATGAACATCACATGGAATTCAGTAGCCCTACGACAACAACTAATCCTGGTGCAGTTTTATTGCCAACACCATTTGATCTAGCAGCTTTTACGTATCCATGTTTGAAACAATTTCAAAATTCGTCAGATGTTGTTGTACATCTAACATGCAATCATCGAAGTAGAACATAATATTCTCGCGAAGTTATTTCATTATTGATCTTTTTTACTCGATTAGGTATTTCTCCACTCGATTCAACTACTATTATATCTGGTGCACATTTAATGGATACTGAAGGTGGTCAACTACCCAAAAGTGATCTTAATTCGGCATTAATTACAATATGTATGTTAACTGCTATGGATCTCGTTCGAAATCAAGTAAATAATTTGATTGTCTACGACTTGTTTTTTTGCTTTTCATCATTTTATATTCTGAAACATGATCTCACAGAAGGATTACTAACTTTTCCGAAACAATATCTCCTTGCTAGTAACAATAGAATGTTTCACATTTAAATCTCTCATATACTGTCCGAACAATTATTTCTTTTTTCTTTACAAGAAACGTTTGATCGCACCGTCGACATCAAAATTAATTTCAAATAATGATAAATCATTCGATATATATCTTATTGATTATTATATGCGACGCTGGCTAGATTTAAGTGCTTATATCACATGTTTTAATTCCACAAGTTTTTTTAATAGACGTCCATCTACATTAAATCAAGTTCAAAGTCATAATAACGTACTTTATACGTGCTACAATGATCCCGATATATATACAAGTCTTAATACTGGTCTTAATTCAATAGAAATCAAATCTACAAATCTAACGAATACAAAAAGAGAAAATCAATTCGGCAAATATGGTGAATGTTACTACTGTTGTTTACTTCGCAAAGATGAAATTAAAGAACGAATGGATGTATCATTACAGAAGCGTTTTGAATTAGTTGGAAATTATTCGCCAAGTATATTTTACCTTGAATTCTATAAACAAGACAAAAATATACTGGAAACTGGTCTAATCTTAAATGATGAATTCTTTCTTAAATTTAATGGTTTAGAAATAATTGATATAAAAAATATCATTATTGATCGTTTTCAACTAAATAATAAGAATAGATATTGTTTGAAATATCTCACATATCTTTCACTTGAAAATAATAATCTTGCAACCATGCAACTAGATTTTCAATATTTAAATAATTTAACGTATCTAAAACTTGTTGATAATCCATTGGAAACATTACCATTAAATTGTTTATCACCACAATCATTACAAAGTGTTGATTTATCGAGACTTGGCCGATTGAATGAAATTGATCCCAATACACAATTTTCATCGAAATTAAAAAGTTTATTAATTACAGAAAGTGTATTAACAACATTGCCACAAACATTAGTAGCAGATGCCCGAGCTAAACTAACAAAATTAACATTGAACGGTGCTACTTGGTGGAGCTTTGCTGGAATAAGTGTTAATGAAGTTGTTAAAAAGGATTCATTTATTAAAAAATTTGTTGCGTTTCTGGATGACGATGAATTAGATAACATCTATCGAATGTATGACGAAGACGTAAATGGTGTTTTAACATATTCAGAAATTAATCTCATGAATGCACATATGTATCGTTATATTCAACGTTTAAGACCATCGAATACGAAGATAGTAAGACAAATAGTTTTATTTTCTTAGCTTGTCTATTTCTTTTTTTCTAAAATTTCAGCCGACTTCTGGTCGATCTTCTGTTGAACCATCAAATACTACAAATGAATTAGATATTTTTAAACAAGAATCCTTCATGACTGATATATCGGGTATACCGTCGGCGATATTTCATCTTGACAATTTAACTGAGCTTAGCCTTGAATATCAAGGAATTAAAGTTGTACCGGATGCAATTAAAAATTTGAAATATTTAGTTATATTTAATTTAAATTATTGCATTGAACTTGAATCGTTAAGTGCAGAAGTCGGATTTTTGCCACTGAGAGAACTTAATTTGACTGGATGCGCTTCATTGAAAACACCACCCATTGAAATAACACGTCGTGGACATGCTCAAACGATGGCTTTTTTGCAACGGTTAATTAGTGGTTCTACACCATGTAAACGAACAAAACTCATGTTAGTCGGTCTTGGTGGAGCCGGTAAAACAAGTTTAGTACGTGCATTTCTCGAATCGCATTCCGATAAGCCCCCGGAAGTTACCGATGGTATTGATATTGTCAAATGGAAAGTTCCATTGAGTCTACCTGATGATTTTCTGGAATTTAGTGTATGGGATTTTGCAGGACAATCAGTTTATTATCATACTCATCAAGTAAAATATAAAAATTGGTCTTTTTCATGTTTAACATTATGTTTTCTCTCATCGGTTTTTAGTTCTTTTTGGCTAAGAAAGCTGTTTATATACTTGCATGGAATATTCGTCTCGGTGCAGAACATGCTGGTCTTGATTTTTGGCTTTCTTCGATTTGTTGCCACGCTCCAAATGCCCCCATATTTGTTGTTGGTACACATTCAGATCTCGTATCTCGTATTGATCTGCGTCAAGATGATTATAAACGACGTTATCCTCAAATAACTGGCTTTTTCAATGTTAGCACATTCACAGGTGATAACGTTAGTGAATTAATTGACAGCATTATTAAAACAACATTAGAGTTACCCTATATGGATGAATTAATTCCAAAAGTGTGGCTCTCATTTGAAACCTTAATTCCTGGATGTAATGAAGATATACTTCAATATAATCAAGTAGCCGATATCGCTCATAATGCCGGTATATTTGATGCAGGTGAAGTACTTCAAGCTGTACAGTTCTTACATGATCTTGGTTCTTTACAATATTTTTCATCGGAACATTTGAAAAATTACGTTGTTATCAATCCACAGTGGATTATTAATGTTATGGCCTGTATTGTAAGCATTCGAGATAGCCCTGTTAAAAATGGACGTCTATTCCATTCAGACATCAGTACTATATGGATAGATTATGATTCACATTTACATCCTTGGATTTTGAAATTAACTGAAGCATTCGATTTAACATTTCCAGTGCCTGATCAAAATATGAATTTAGTACCATGTCTCTTACCTGAAGAAGAACCTGAGGTATGTGTGTACGATTCTATTTCTTATAGTTTAATTCAAAGGTTAATATCACTTAACTATAATTGAATATTTTTAGTACGCATGGGAGGATGTTAGCAGTGAAACAGAACTACGAGAGATGAAAGTTGTTTATACATTTAATTATTTACCAGGTATGCTCTATCGATCTTACACAAGTCAACGAAGTTCACTCTATTAATAGATTTTCAAAAGAACATTATAGAGGCGATTCAGAAAAAAAGCATAGAACTATAGTTTTCAAACGGTTCTAAGTTTTTTTTAGCTCTATTAAATATATCATGAATCTGTTTGAGCTCTGTATCAATATAGCACGACTAGTCCGTACTCAAGAGAATTAAATATATGTATATACATAATTGTATATCTGTAACCATTATTTTTTTTTCTATAGCTGGTTTATTTAATCGAGCCCAAGTTCGTCTTTTTCAATTTTCTGATAAATCAACAATATGGCGTTATGGTTCATTACTAATAAAAAACAATCATCGAGCAGTTATAATTCGTTCAGATGGTTTGTTTCGAAATTTGATTTGATTTTTATAATTACATAGATATTTTTTTAGACCGTCATATAGTGATCAAAATTCAAGGTGTTCGACCAGATAATGTTCTGTTCTTAATTCATGAAGTATTTGAAGGTCTTGTCAATGAATCATTTTTTGGTGTTACCTATGATATTGCATTTCCATGTCCGGATTGCCTTGATGCAGTAGGATCTTTCATAGTGATAATTCAATAAATATTTTCTTTTCTTTCAGCGTATCAACGAACCTTGGCAATTTTCATCTTCACTTATCAATCGAGCTATTGAACTGAAAGCACCATCAATTCAGTGCCATCGATTTTTTCATGTTGCATCTGTTACTGACTGTAAGATTTCGAAACTCTATTGAATACATTCAGCATTCAGGCGTGTATTTTACTTCAATAGTACAAGCACTGATTCCACCAGATAGTAAAAGTAATTATGATTTACATTTGGAATATTCTGTACGTGATCTCAAATCTTATAAACAAAATATGGCAGTTGATATTGCATATCTTTATCCACCACAACATATTCCAACAAAATCAGAAATCGAAATTAAAGTTGACCCAAGGAAAATAAAAGATGATTTAACAAGTAAAATTTCAAACATAAAAAAAAACGCTTGGTTCTTATTTTTTTTCTCATAAAAATTTAGAACAAGGTTTAACTGTTTGGACACCCGAATCAATGAAAGATTTCGTTATTGAAAATCATTATTTAGTTATTAAAGAAGCACGATTTATTCTATTTGGTATTTCAAATGAATTAGTATATAATCCTGAGAATAAAAAGTTATATGACGCGTTTCAAGTCATCACTAATATTTTACGCAAAACAATTATTCCCGTTTTATTTGGCAATGATATGAAATGGAAAGAGAGTGATCTTGGTGTTGCATTATCAGATAAATTATATATTAATATGCAAAATCCAAAACGATATGACTATAGAATAAAAGAAATCATTGATATGACTGAACAGGAAAACGGCCAAAGTATTAAATCAAATCAATTGCGAGATCAATCAACCGATATTTTTATAAGTTATTGTTGGATGAATTCACATGATGCTGTTAGTAAAGGTATTTAAACGACATAATTACAGATTGTAGGATATCTTATTTTGTTTTTCTTTACTTTATTTCTAGGTACCAAACCAACTGGAACATCGATTGGTTGGGGAGATCCTAGAGCTTTAAAAGTATTTTGTTTTCTGAATTATATTTTTGTTTTTTATTAATTTATAATTAATCTTTTGATAGGATTATCTTGGAGAACGTGGATTACAGGTTTGGATGGATGTAACTCGTCTAGGCAAATCTGGTGTACTTCATGATATTGTTCATGTAAGATATTCTTATTTGTTTCTGCTTATTGTGAGCCTCAGTTGATATTATCTTCTGAAAACAAAATAGAGTGATTTTCAGTTGTACACCTTTTCCGCACAATTCAAACAGGACATATTTCATTTGAAATCTGACTCAAACAATCAAAGACAATGGGCTACATTTCTTGGATTTTGTCTTTATGAATAGACAGGCGCTCGTTGGTATTTTTTCGTTGTGAAAATATTGGAGTCTTTGTACAAGTAGAAATATCCAGGATGATTCATTTTTCGTAGTTTTTATCTGATGAATAAAAGAAGCATTCGTGTTTATGGTTTCTTCAAAGTATAAAATAGTTATTTAAGATCTAGTATAGTAATGATAAATCTAAAAAGAGAAGTGCCTTGGTTTAATGTCAGCGAGCAAGATTGTTCCGTAAACTTTTTAATTGATATATTTTGTATAATCAGAGTAGATAGTAGATATAAAAGATTCAAATATTCAAATATTCTAGCGAGTAATGGGTTGTGTCTACAAATGCCATTTTACTTAAGTTCACATTATTGTTTCGTATTCTTTTTAAAGGGTTTAAAAAATACAAAAGTTGTCATTGCATGTGTATCTGATGAGTATACCCTAAGTGAAGTTTGTCGGAATGAATTTTTATTTGCCAAAAATACTCTGAGACTTCCTGTTGTATTGGGTATATTTGGTATGGGAGACAAATGGCGAACAACAGAAGTTGGCATGTGTAGTCTCACATGTTCACAAGTGAATTTTCAATTTGAAAATCCATCGGCTTTTGAAGATATCTATGATATTATACAAAGCAACTTACCTAAACGACCTACGTCAGCTAAAGGAATTGCATTGAACGCCATCAAAACAACAGCTGCAGAAGAGAAAACAACTGCAGCTTATCAGGTTCGAATTTCGAAAATAGTAATAGCTTATCTATCAATAAGCATAAATATTATTTTTCTCTAGGAATTATTTGAATTAACACAACGTAAATTTCTTCGTGTAACATCCGGTTTTGCTGACACTATGAATGCTCGAGACTATCCACGTTTATTTACCCTGGATTTTGTAAGTGAAAATGAAAAATCTGCTCAAGAACTAGCACGTATTGAATTGGCTACTCAAATGAATGCACAACGACAACAAGAAAATGATGAAGACCGAGATCTCGAAGCGGAACGACAACGAGACGAACAATTGGCTCGTGAACAAAATGAAATTGGAGATGCCGATGGTAATAGTAAAGAAAAAGAAGCTCCCAAAACCAAAATTAAGAAACTATGTATACGCACACTTTGTGAAAACGAAGAAAATTGGCATACAGCTGGAAGTCCATTCGAAATTACTGAGCAAATTGTAATACAGAATAGTGCATTATATTTATCACGAATTATGCTTCTTCTCAAACAAAGTGATTTACCATTAGAAATTCTTACCAGTAAAGAAGGTGAAATCGAATTACAAAAAATTAATGAAGTACGCATATATAGTTTTCTTTTTTAATTCTGCTATGAACTTAAATTTTAATTCTTCTTTTACTTCATTAATAGATTTCTAATTCTACGACTGTCGGAGTCAAAGATTCGTATGTATATTTACGTAGATGCATCATGGATTGTGACTCAGAAGAAAGACATTCAGGTCTCAAACAATGTCTCATGCCATCGGGTAAAGTTTTATGGCTTTGTGAACAACATCAAAAACAACCACGTGTCGTACTTGTTACTGGTTCACTTGGTGGTAGTTATAATCATCCACAAGTTGAAGAAAAGAGCGAAATAGTCAAAGCATTAGTTAAACTTAACGAACGAAGTGATTACATATATATTCATTTCTTTTACAATTTCATTAATTATTTTTTACTTTTAATAGTTGCAAATAATGAACTACCTCCTCCTACATTGAAAGTTTCCAACATTGAAAGTGCTCGTCTACCATCAGTGGATAGAAGATCACACAATAGTCGTCATCGTTCACAACGACTTAGTCAACATGATTTTTCAATGGTCAAATCTCAACGACAAAGTATTTTATTAAAGGATAAGACGATCGATGAGAATGATGATGAAAATTATCAAACAAATTTAAATGAACTCGAAAATGAAAATTCGAATGAAACACAGGCGAATACAATCGCCGAATCGACAGACTGCACAATTATGTGAATGTGATATATATATATGATCATCCATGATTTTTCTTAGTACAATTGCCCAGAAAATATTTCCTTTCTGTATCGTTATGCGAAAATAATTATAAGACAAATCACTAGCTAAAAAAGAAGCATTTCATCATCGATATTGAGTATCTAAAAAATTCTAATTTATTCTCATTTTGTCTCGACGCATTTTTTATCAAGTATTTTAGTTTGATTCATTTTAAAATCTTGTTAATTTAATCTTCACAAAAAGGTGAAAAATAAGAACAGATGTTACCAAACACAAATAACCTATATGAGCTTTGATATTGCTTTAGCATTTTCGACTAGGAGATAAATTACGTTTCTTTTTAGACAATAGTATCCTTTATGAAATAGTATGGCTTTCTTAGGGAACTCGGTGTTTATAATTCCTATTAGTTTTATTCAAAAGAATAATTTAGAAATCTTGGGTGGCTTATAACTTAATAGTAAATAAATCTTTCTTTTTTCTAAAACTATGAATTCCTGCTTGTTTTCTAAATAAAGGTAATTACATTCGCAACTCTACGGTGAGCAAATATCTTTCGAGCAACTGTCTATATTTCCCAATAACAAATTGTTTGAGTTTTCGTGTCTATTATTGATTTTCAGTATTTTTTATTTTGAGTTGTTCAATGCATTTTCCAGAATTTTCAGTTTTTGTTATATGATGTTATGGATATTTTCTTGAAAAAAAATACAAATAAAAATATTCCAATTGAACTCCAGAACGTCATTTGAGAAAGAAGACTGTTGATGCAAATGATTTAATCGTTTTTTGTGATAAAGTTGGTTGTGAACTACTTTGTCCACAATTTGAAATGTATTTAGTCAATGTGGTGTAAGTGAATTTACTCAAGAAAATGAACAGTATATTTCGTTCAATATTTCAGTCAATACAAATACAAGTATTGTATGCGTAAAGTGAATTTATCTATCAGACACGTTTGATTTTTACAATTAGCAAAAAGGGAAACAACTGCAGAATATGCCAAAATGCTTGCAAATTCTAAATGAGTGTAGGATATAGGATTTAAAAGATGAGACACTAAAGAATACTTTATATCGAACAATATATGTATTTATCTATTTATGTAATTATATGCATTGTTTCAATTAAGAATAAAGATGGCTAGATTCGTAAGACGATTTTCGTTGAAACCAATAACAATGCATTTCAATGAACTTGATAAAATCTATTAAAATTGTTACAATCTTATGTATTTTGCCATTCCTAACATTTAAATTAGCAATGCATCCGAAGAACTTTGAGTCTTGAGTCGAATACTGAACGAAATAGTTTTAATTAACTTGGTAGTATACACTTATCTAACAATAGTCTTCAATTTTATAATTTCTAACATATGCGAAGAGCTAAAACAGTTACTTCATCACAAGAGAAAAAAATGTGGAAACTTCGGATTTCATCCGAGAGTTATGTGTACTGCAAAAAGTGCATGCGACATATGAGTCATTCTAGAATGTCTGAACACCAAAATCGCCATGAGAAACTAGGCAATTTGATTTCTGGATGCAGTTTTTGTGCATTTTGAGACGTTTTTCAGGCGATGTTTCGTTAGACAGCTACGATTTAGTTCAAAACTAATATCAGATTCGGAATCAGCGTTAAAAACTGAGTCGATTTATATGTGTTGTGAATAATTCTGAGAAAAAGTTTTCTTTTGAAAAAAATCCCTGTACTCCTCCTCAGGGATGGTCTGGTGAAAAATGATAATTTTTCCAACAACTCAGCAATTTCTTGACGGATCCTTCTCATCTTCGAACTCGACCGAGTTATTCATGAGTTTGAACTGTGTAGAAAATTTCATCACGATCTGACTTTCCTTTCGAAAGTTATCGTGCCTATGGCCGGACGGACACACTGATCAATTCTAGAGTGTACTCACTTTTTGAGTACACAAAAAGAATATATAAATCTAAATTTTGTTAATAATATGTTGAATCTTTCATTTAGTATTTTATACATGTGAAAATCATTGAAAAATAATTATTATAACGTGACCTATTCTCTTATTTTATTAATATTTGTTTATAAAGGACAAAAGTATTACGTTCCTTTTCTCTAGTTCTTTCATACAATTTTTACTAACATATCATTTGGCGGACCGTTCACTGTTTTGATTATGGCGACATGTCGATGTAACAATCGGCGAAGATGGATGAGTAGAGTAGGCGTAAAAGAACGTCAAGGGTTACATGTGTACAAATTTACTTTGATCCCTTTCTTTATATATCTTTTTCGTTCTATTTCTTTCTCGTTTTTCGACCGGGAAATTTCTTGTCGAAATACAGTTCAGTCAATAAATCTATACTTTTATACAAACGATTAATTTCCGCCTTCACAATCGCTGTCGATCGATACAAATGACTTTTTGACACGAAACAATTAAGAGAAGAAGAAAGCGGAGAAAAAGAATAGTGAAAGATTATGATCATTGCATCGATTCGAAAAGACAAAGGCATATTATGATGATCAAAGTCATTTGAACAGTATATACTCTAAGACACCGCTAATGACCAGAGGTGGTGGTAACAAACCAACGATGTTGGGTGAGTAAAATAATAAAATACAGTAGCAAAATTTGAATTGAATAAAACAAATACTCATTTGATTGTATTTAACACAAAAGGTCGTTTGATTTTCGGTGAAAAACGAAAACAACATGCATCACCATCGCGGCATCGATCAGCCACACGGAATGGTGGCGGCGCGGCTGATATGTCAATATATGGTGTTCGGGGTGGAGGTGGCATTTCTCATAAAAATCAAATTAATTTACACGATTGGGCTATTTGGCGAATGCATTTGAATGAACAAATGGGATGTGGATTGTCCGATCGAACTGATTTCAAACACATGCGACAATTTCTTCATTCAAATCCGTTTTATCAACAACATAGTAGAGATCCTTCTAACGGTCGATACAATGGAGTTCGATTACTTTTTTCCATTCCCCATGCTAGAATGAAAGCTGATTTAATGGATGCATCTCACACAGGTGTAGGCGTAGCGGCAGGAGGAGGAATTAACAAAATTACTAATTTGGATACAGAAGACACAACAACAACATATGAACAACATAATGTTGCAGTAAATAGTGATGATCATAGAACAAATAGTGCTAATTCAGTTTCAGCTGGATCACCACCAGTTACTCATAAATCAATGAGTCAGGTACTTCCAAAAGCTTTAATAGGAAATAAAAGCAGTTACCATCCTGTTCATCCATCTATAGTTGCAAATGATGTTCCACGTGCTCGGTAAATTTTGATAGATCATAGGATTTCTTTCGTATTACAATTGTTTATTCTCCTGTCATCTATTTAGCCGTTCAATTCGTGCGCCATTCAAAACAGTTGATCGAGTTCATGCAACATTACAAAAAGCAGTCAAAGATGGTAATGTACTAGAAAAAATCAAAGCATTTGAAATGCAAGCAGCTGCAGCTCATGCTGAATCAGCAGCAAAATTAAGTGGTAATAGTGTTTTTGGTTGTGTTAGCAATAATCGAATGCACTTTATGGCATCACCTATTCATTCAGCAGCACATCGTGCGCTAAGTCCAACTATCACACATTCAATTCAACATTCAATATCACCTATGCCAATACAATACGAACGAACGCCACCACCGCCGCCACAACAACCACAACAACAACAACAACAACATTATATTCGTTCTCATCGAAGTCGTCTTATTCATCCAACACGAGGACATCAGGATGTTAGTGTTGGTCCAATGGGGGGTCGTCAGTCTAGAAAAGGAACACATGTATTGGAGCCTGCTCTTGGAGACATTATTCTGAGACGACGAACACCTTCACAAAAAACTGCCAATGACGAAGACTACTCCATTACAGCCATTAATTCTATGCCACTTCCACTTCCGCAAGGTCCTAGTCATCGTCATCATCATCATCATCATCGAGCCAGTGCATCTCGTTCTCGATATCGAAAAGAAACGCCTCATGATAGACGCACATCTAGTGTCCATGAAAATGTTCCAAAGAAATCTCAACCGAAATTAAAAACAAAACAAAAACAAAAACAAAAAGAAACAAAACCATCAGCATCATCGAAAACAACTACACGTCATCGATGGCTTCCAGGACATAAAGGTACATCAGTTGAAACTGAAAAGATTAAACAAGATGTATCCAATGGCAAATCAAATAAAAATAATAAAACAAAGAAGAAAAATACTGAACAAGAAGAATTCGATTCAAAAGATCAAACAAAATCTTCTTCTGCTAAAAGTAAAAAAGAGTCATCTGATAACAACCGTGTTTATGGTGTACCAAATTCATCAACCGTTAGTGAACAATCAAAATTTGAAACAATATCACCACAGCCACCACCAAGAATTGACGAAGAAAATGAATCTGATCGTGAAGAAGAAAGATTAGAAAATAAAAATCATCATACATCACCAAAACCAGAAGAAAATCTCAGTCAAGATAAAAAATCTGACACGAATATCGAACGGCAATCAAATAAAACAGAACAACATCAAAAACTTTCAAGTGCCGATGGCGAAATCTTAAGTAAAGTTGAAGATGACAATCGGTTAGTATATTAAATGTCACATGTGTTGCTTTTTTGAAAGGTTTCATTTCATTTTAAGGTTTTCTCGTCCTACGGATGATCATGCTCATCGTTCCGAGCTTAACGATGACGATGATGAGTGTAAAAGTGAAGGAGATGTTTTTATCGAAGAATCATCGTTAACAAATTTGAATGTTCCTCCACAACAGCCGCAATCATTAGTTAATGTTATTCGACGTTATTCAAGTCAATGTTCAGATGATAAAATACTATTGGATCGACGTTGGCAATGGTCAAAAGAAAGTGGTGGATTAATTGATAAGGGTCATCCAAAGAAAAAACAACAAAAATCAACAACAAGTCTTACATCTAAAGAAGATCATACTGTTTATCAAACACCAAAATCTGAACAAATTCTAAAATCATTACATAAGAAACATGCATCAAATAAAAAACAATCTATTCTTGCAACAGCAAAAACGACATCAAAAGTAACATCACCACCGCCAAATGAAAGTAATGATGAGCAAAGTAATACGAAACAAATCAGTAAACAAATTCTTCATGCTATTCTAAATTCAATGCCGAACAACCAAGATCAATCTACCGTCAATGAATTCTTTGAAAATGGACCTTATACAAATCCAGAAGACGTCATGACTAACATCGTTAGCACAGCTTAAAGGAACAAAATTACACAGACTGTAAAATATGAAATTTTAAAATATTATTTATTAGAGTTTTACGTGAAATAAAATGTGTAAAAGAAAGAAAAAAAAACGTATTTATCCCACTTAATGTTCAATTTGTACGAGAGCTGGAAATGTTTTCATACGTAAACGTTCAACTTCAGCACGTAAATAAGCAACTTCTTGTGCTTGAGCTTTAGCTAAATCTACAAGACGACGACGTCGTACTACTTGTTGAATACGATCTTGTTGTTCTACTTTTGATTGTTCAACAACTAAAGCAAACAAAGCAAAAAAACGATTTTTATCTCTAGTCTTTTTTCTTATCATTATAGATTCATTTACTTCTTTGATCAATAATATTTTTTCTTTCATATAGATTAACATTTGCATTTTGTAGGGCTTCATCGACAGCGAGTGTTACGTTAGCAATAGATAAATTATCATGTTGTAATTTATGAATTTCATTTTCTTTAATGTGTTTTTGATCTTCAAAGCGCTGTAAAAAAAATGCAACTGGCTAAATAGATTGAAAAGACAGAAGAAATTAACAAACTTGTTTCATTTTTTCAATGGTTGCTTCTAACATTTGTAATTCACGTTGTTTGTGCGATTCGAATGTTGTATCATCTCGACATGCTAAGTATTCTTGAACGTTTCTTGTTACTTTAAGGAATGTTATATCTTGTGCGCGTTGTTTTAAGTCAGTTATTTCAAACGTTAGTTTTTCTTTTTCCCTATTGAAACAAGAAGAAAATTTTAATAGATAGTTACAATTAAACTCCTGTTTACGGATATTTAAATTCATTAAAATTTTCTTAAACTCTCGAACGAAAAAAACTTCGAAAAGTTTTTGTACTGCAGAACCTTTTCTGATAACAAAAATTAAGATCTTTCTCTTGCTCAATTTGTTTGAGCGATGATTACGAAAATTTTAAAACAACTCAATCATTCTCTCATCCCATGATCTACTCGTGAAGCGATTTATGAAGTAAACTATTGAAAACTTCTCAAAAGAAAAACAAACTCAGACATCCACAGCAGTTAGGGTATATTGTGTTTAGATTTGCGATGTCTTTTACCATTTCATCGATTGTAATTCATTGACAACACCCTTGGTTTTTTCCATATGGCGTATTTTTAAATTTGCTGATTCCTAAGGAAAGATCGTTGATAGAGAAAACAGTAAATAAAAATCATGAAAAAAAGAGTATAATTACAATAATGGATTTATTTAAATCTTCAATTTCATGTCGATTCACAAGTTCCACATCCGTATTTCGATATTGATCAGGTGAAAGATCAGCTGGTTGTGCTTCCATTTCAATTTGGCCTTGTTTAAGAACAATTTGTACATATAAATCAAATGTATCATCAATACGAGCATCTCTCGACCTGTAAAAATACGATAATAACAAAATTTAAAACAATCTAAAAAAACAAACGCAGTAAGAAGGTTTTGTATCTGTTCAAATTCCATATTTTTTCTTGTCAATTCAGTTTCACGAATATTTTTTAAATTTTTAATCACAAGTTCTTCCTGTTCTTGAAGTCGTAACTAAAATTAGAAATAAATATCTATATTGTTACTGACAATGTTTGCCTGAATTGAAAGAAACCAATGATGATAAAAAAACCAGCACAATCGCGATACACTATCTAAGAAGCCAATCATTAAGAAAAAAAAGCCGAGTGTCAGCACTATGCTTCAATCAAGCCAGTTCATTTTTTATCCTAGTCCTGGTTTCGATGTTTAGAAGAGCGAGGTTGTTGAATTATATTCAATGTTATCACTCGAAACTGCAAGCCGCGAAAGAAGAAATTTTTAATTTCTGATTTGCTGGAATAATGCATTTGAAAGACTCCGTCCTAGGCATTAGTCATCTTTGAATTCACACTCTGTTTAGTACGAGTTAATAAATAGACTCGTTAATTTTGACTTACGTCTCGTTCAAGTTCGCCACGTCTTTTTCGAAAATCAACAAAACGTTCCCAAATGTTGCGAACAATATTTGGCGGTGCATTCGTAAACGAATCAGCTTCGGCTTGTATTTTATCAAATTCAAGCTCAAGTAAACGCATTTGTCGAGCTGTATATGGATTAAATTCATCGACTGCTTTCGTTTGTTTCAATCTAAATTGACAAACAGAAAAACAACGGATAAGATAATACAAAAGTTTGATTTGTTCTTTACTTAGGTCGTTTTGTTAATAAACGTTTAAGAGAATCTTGTAATGCCGACGGAACATCAGCGAATTCTCGAGGAAATTGCTTATCAAATGTGTCATCAGCTTTCAATCGTCGTTTATCACTATCAATATTATTAATACTATCTTCTAAGGCACGTTTCGAAAGTTCAAGTCCATGAACTTTTCCTTCGAGCGTTTTAGCTCGTTTTTCATATGTTTCTTCTAGTTGTTCGATGAGACGATCTTTAACTAGAGCAAATACCAAACGACTAATTTTTAATTCTTCCTGTAATAGCGACAACGAAAAAAAATTGAATGGATCATCTATAATTAGAACAAGAAATCTACTTGAATAGCCGCTGTTTGTGCTAAAATTCTTCGTCTATGTAATTGAATTAGAATTTGTTCAAAAGCATCACAATTTTCTTGGATTTGTTCATTAATTTTGCTGGCTTCTGTAGTTAAAATCTGTTTTTCAAGCAAAAGTAAAAGTATTAGTTAAAACTGAAATATAGAAACGAACTTTTCGTAGTTTATCTCTTTCTTCTTGTTGTTCTTTAACTTTTTGTAAATATTGTTGATAAACTTGTTTTTCCATTTCTGTCCATTCATCTTCTGGTTTCTCAACAGCAAATGGTGGTTTGGGAATTTCCTAAACAGATAAATAGAAGAATTTGTTTTTCTCATGAAATTTCAAATTGAACCTTTTTTAATTCATCTTCTCGTCGAACTTGTAAAACACCACCCATCATTTCATTAAGACCACGTTCACGCCAATTATCAAGTTTTTCCATTTGACGTCGACGTTCTTCATTTAATCGTTGTTCTTCTAATTGTTTTAATTGTTCCGCTGTATAATATCTTTCCACTTTAACCTTGAAATACGGGGAGAAAAAAAAAATTCTCCAAATTATAATATAGCATGAAAAAGCTAAATGTCCGATAGCAAATTATCTTTCAAATTTAAAATACACACCTCGCTATCTTTGACATCGAATAATAATATTGGCTTTTCTTTTTCTGTTAAATCAGGTTCCCAAACTGGAGTGGTATCATCTAAATCTGCATTGATTTGTTTAATTCGAATGTTTTTTTCACGTATTTTTGCTAATTCTTGTAGTTTACGTTGATAGGTAGTTTCAAATTCTTTATTAAATGCTTCTTTTATTTTATATATTAAATTATTTAATAAAACAATTTGTGTCCATTTTTGTTCAGGAGTATATAATTCAAATTGATTATAAAGTATTGATGTATCAACTTGAAATTCATTGCTAATTATAATTAAAAAAAAGAGAGTTAAATAACTATTGGATGAAAGTTTTTTTCTCTTGTTTTAACTACCTAACCGAACCAATCAAAGCAATTGATTGTGTTTTCTGCTCACGATGTTCCTCTTCATTATCAAGTGTTGATGGATCTTCACGCTATAAAGAAATATCTTTAGTATTGAAATAAAAAAAATTTATTTTCTTTACTGCTGGCGCATCAACGCTTGTCTCGTGTACAGTTGAGCCTTCTGAAAAAATTTGTCGTCGCATTTTTTTTTCCGCAATTTCAATACGACGTCGTTCGATAATTTGACGAATATTTTCTACTTCTTCAAGACTACGTGGTAATAATGGATAATTTTCAACAACAATTGGTGCTGCTTGTTTACGAGTTGGATTTATGATACCCTAAATTCATGAATACATTCGATATTCGGCTTGGCAATGATAGAAAAATACCTCAATACATCGGCCTTTTACAGTCATCGAATCCCAACATTGTTGTTTAATAACTTCTCGTTTCATAAGTCGAACTAGATTTTTTGTTACGGTTTCATCACGTATCTTTATATGAGAAATTTGTATGAGAGAAAAAGTATTAAAATAGCTTACTTTACTAATCATAGCATCTTTTTCTTTACGTTGTCTTTCTTGTTCTTCACTGTCTAAATCGAATTCTCGTCGATCAAGTTGAGCTTTTTCTTCGCGAGTACCATTGATTGCCATTAATTCATGAAGCTATTGAAAAGAAAAAGAAAGCATATTTCTGTAATCCTCACGTAACAAGAGTTGCATATGTTATTCCGCTTGTTCAATTTAAACAGAGAAAGACCGAGTATCATCAAGAAATTTATTAAATTCAATGCCTCCCTAATCCAGGCTATTTTATAATACCTTTACAAGATTGATATCTATCAAGATTTCATTGGATAATGCTTTATAAAAATCTTTTAAGAATAAAAATCAAATCAATGATTCATACTTCTTTTCGAATGCGTTCAAGTTCATTATGAATTCCTATTTTTGATGTTAAATGTGCATCGAGATTTTGTAATGTCGCCTGAACAAAAAGAGAAATTTGTTATTTTAATAAAATGATTATGGTAATATGATTAACCTCGTATTCTTTTAATTGTAACCAAGATGAATCTTCTTTTGGTCCTGATGGTGATACCATACCTACCGCTTGAAATTTTTTTTCATATGCTCTCTTTAAAAGGAACAAAAAACGAAAATTGACTGTAAATTACTTGAGTATAAAGAAATAAATGACATACAAAGCGGTCATTAATACTGTCATATAAAGCTGATGCTGCATTTTCATAAGTAACCAGAGTTGCTAAATTTCTCATTTTATGATTCAGTTCTTCTGGTGCATAACTTAGATTTGGTCCAAATCTTCCAGCATATCTAAATCAATATAATCTTAAGAATATTTTTCTTTTCTCATTTGATTGATTCAAACTGACTTCGTTTCGAAAACTACAATAGAACTATCTTCAGCAACGGAAACAATATATTTCGAATCAACACTCCATGCAGATTTACAACATCCACGCGATATTGAACTATGTGCTGGGAGCGATGATTCGACTGCCTATGAACAAAAGAAAGATATATTAAATTAAACTTAATAAGAGCAAATACCATATCTGAAGCACGAATCATTGAAAGAATTCCATCTCTACTGACACAAATAACCCATGATGGTATTGTTTTATTCTTGTATAAATGACCACCTGCCGAAGGTAAACCAGTAAGTGAATCTTGTGCCTCAACACTAGTTAATTTTCCTGGCTAAATATACGAATAAATAAATATTTGCAAATAATAATAAGATAAAATTAAGAGCAAAAAGCTGTTCTGTTTTTTTCGTTTCTAATTTATCATACATCTCGCTTTGGTTTAAATCGACGATTTTTTGCATCCTGTATAAGAAAACAATCAATTATCGAAATCTGTTCATAGTAATAGATCGTGAAAATGAGCGAAATCATATGAAAAAAAAACAATAATTCACTTGTCGAAGCATATAGCAGCAAAATCAGAAAAGCAAGAAAATATCATTCTCACGCCTCGTCGTCCTCGTCGTTCTGTTTTATTCTGTTTATATGTACAAAATTGACCGTAAACATTTCTCATCATTGTTTGATCTCTTCATTTTCTTACCTTGCCAATTTCATCTGGAATACGACACATTCGTAATGACGCCGCTCCTACTGTAATTAGTTGATTTCTAGCTGTTATTAGAAAATCTTCAATTGCATCATGAAAAGCAAAATTGGTTTTTGTTATAATTTTTGTTGTTGAATCATTAATAACATAATCCACGTACGATTCACTTGCAATAGATGTTTGTGAAGTTCGACTTTCTGAAAACAAAAAAGATGCTAGCGTAATGTTTATGGGATTAATATACTGTATGACACGCAATGTAGCTATTATTTACTGGAAAATAACATGAAAAATCAACTGTTACTCGATTCATTTTGGGACACACACATTCTCATCGTCATTTATTCGGCAACTCTTTTTAGGACTGAAATACGAAAACAATGTATTGATCCTAATGAAAATTTAGTTATATATGTAGTTTTTTTTATTGTATATCAATGACGTCTGTGAAGAGTCGCGGCATCCCCGAGAAACCGTTCGAGAGAGAAAAATACTAATCTCTAATCTATACGCTTCGATATTCCGTTGAGGTCGTTTCTAACAAAAGAAAAAATAATATAATCTTGTCAATTTTTATTACCTCTATATTGTTGCCAATCAAAATCAACAATAAAAAATCTTCCATATTTTTCTGTCTTTGCATTCAATGCGATCACAATTCTTGTTTCATTTGATTTCTCTTGTATATTTCCAATATGTTCATCATCATAATCACGTTGAACATCATCACCATTAATTGTATTTCGTTTTCCAAAATCGTCTAAATCAAGTGCAAATGGTTCACCATCGAGGTCAGTTCGATAGATTATTTGAAATATATTATCGACGTATGTCTCATCAGGTTTTATTTCCATTAAAAACAAACTATTATCCATACCAACTGATACAAGCAGTGTACCATGAGGATTAAATTTAATACAACGTATCTCATTTCCATGAACACGTAGACGATGTATAAGACGAAAACCAGCTTTATTGAGCTCGTAAAAATAGAAAATACCCGTTTTTGAAGTAACAACCATAAATGGTAAAAGAGGACTTGTAACTAAATGATTTATAGTTTGATTTTCAATATATTCACAGAATTTTCTTGAACCATCCTTGATTGACCAAGCTTCTAATGCACCAGTATCTCGAATCGTTACAACTATTTCATTGGTTGGATTAACAGTTGCAATATCAACAATTTTTCCAAGTGCAACTGGAACGATTGACGGTTGCTTCGGTTCCATTGATATTAAATCAAATATGTCGACACCTTGTTTTGAACAAATAAATAAATTATTATAAGCTGGATTGAATGTTACTGTCGCTATATTAGCACTTAAATCCATGACATCACTAACGTTGTTTGCTTCTTGTAATGCACCATCTTGATTTTCGAATGTAACTAAACGTACGATGTCATCTGCGCCAGCACAAAATAGACCATGTTTATGTAAAGAAATCTTTTTAAACATTCCTATTGAACCAGTAGTTTTGAATTTTTCTTCTTCGGCAAAACGTGTTGCTCGAAATGGTTGTTTTTCACGATCAAATTGTAGAAGTACTTGAATGAGAGAATCATCGGCTGTACCAATAAATACATAACCTTTGTCTCCCCAACAAAATGATGTAGCAACAAGCTGAATTTTTTCATCGATATATGTTTGAAAAGCATCTTCATTTTCAGTATCGAATGCTACATGAAAAACAAAATACAGATTATCAATTATTTCAGAAGATGAACGTGCAGAACGTCAACCAAGGAAAAAACATTTATTGATAAGAATTTCTTTCACTCTTTTCAAATCTAGTACTCAATGTATGTCGAATGAACTTTGAACAATTGTTTAGTTTTTTATGAATACGTGCCATTGGCTGTTCTGCGCATGTCAATACGAAGCGATTACATTTTCAAGATAGTTCTAGTGATAATATCCTTAGGATATTATTCTCTAACAATAGCATGGTCTCTTTCGAATTTTGAACTGGGGATTGACATAATAATTGATTAAAATATACTTACCAACAAGTTTAACACTGGTTCCTTTATCTGTTCCAATAGTACTATCAACTAATGTAAATGAAAATCGACTTGGAAAACGTCGAATAACATCAGCAACTAAAATAGATTTTTTTTGGCAATAGAAAAAACAAAAGATAACAATCTATTTTCTCTTTATACCTCGAAGTGGATTGGATTGTTTCGTTTTTGTTTGTTGATATGTTGGTTGATTATGAGCAACTGTTTGATTAAATAGTTCTAATGTTAATTGCCGTTCAAATAAAACATATTTATCATTTCGCCGTTCGCATGTATACAAATTAATTTGATCGCGATAAAGTATACCAATGTCATACCAAGAATTTGGATTAAAACTTATTTCGACTGGTGGTTTTTTTGTTGTTTCACATTGAGCTAGTTTGACTCCAGTACGCCAATTCCATATTGTTAATAAATAATCTGGCGATGTTGACAGTGACAATAATTCTTCGGTTGCTGAAAATTCTAATGCACTATATTCAAGTTCAGCCCCGTCAGTAAATTGTTTTATTTCTTGTAACGATGGATATTGTCGTAAATGAATTATTGGTGGCCTTTGATAGTCAGCAAAAGCAAATAAATGAATATCAGCATTTCCAGCCTAAACGAAACAGGAAAAAAAGTTTACATTTTCAAGAAAAAAAAATCAAAACAACATACAAAAACTCCAACACCGATTCCGTTTGCTTGAACTGTTAAACATGTTTGATTACTAGGATCAACAAAATCATGAAAACGTAAGCCATCATCAATTGCGTAGAATAGTACTGTTTGATCGACAAAAGCAATCGATTGACCATGGTAACCATTAGTCCACCTAAAGAAAATCAGAAAAAAGCAACATTTTACTTTCTTTTAATTATTGAATGAATTCATTCGCAAACCATCGAGAAAGTGTAAGAGGTTTAGCTGATTGTAAACGAGTTGCTCGTACAGCCATGGAATAGAAAACCAATTGATATATTTAGTTTTGTTTGCTAAGAAAGAAGAAAATAATTGTCTGATAGCCATTTTGTGTATTTGCAACTAGGCAACAGCCATTGCCATGTCGCATGAAAACGTTCTGTATCGATCGTTAAAGCAACCAATTACAATAGACGTCAATTTGTCTTTCTGTTTTTTCGAATAGATTTCATTTTCTTGTGAAAGAGAGAATATTATTCAGCTGATACCTTAAATTATGAATCCAAATATGAATCAACAGGAATTTATACCAACTGATTCCTTTGATAATTATCAATCGTTCGGTACTAATTCACAAACAGGACAAGATTCTTCAAATCGTTCTCGTGCGCACAATCAATATCAAGGTATATTTATATCTTTTTTTCGTTCAATTCATAGTGTTGATTTTTATTTTCGATAGGTCCTTATCCGACATCTCATTCTCGAATGCGCCAACGTGGTGGTTAGTTTCATTTTCTTAGTTTTATTTTAATTTAACTTCTTTCATAATTGCTCTGCATAGATTTTTCACAGCGTGGCCGATATGTATATAATTCACGAGGTGGCAATAATCGCCCCTATAATCGAGATAGAAACGTTGATCAACAGCAAGAACAGTCATTTGATAATAATGAATATAAAAAAGCAACTTCTAATCGTAATTTTAATAGTTTTTTTCGTGGAAATATGTTAGACAATCCTTGGGCTAATATGAAACCAACCAAGGTACCATCTAATGGTACAACATTAGTGTTTGACTCAGCGTGTCATTAAAAAAATGTACACATACATACTTTTTTTTCATGTTATTGAAGTTTTTTTTCATAGTTATCTTATTTTCCAGATAATATTAACAAATATTCAACAATCCTAAGATATTCTTGATCAAAATACAATGATCAATGGAACGTTCTCTTTAACGAAAAAGTTAATTTATCGAGAATATTAGTTATTGTTGTTGTTTTGTTTTTGTAAATAAATGCATAAGAAATATGTTCTACTTAGTTTCAATTTTCACATTACATACGAGAAAGAAAAAAACCATATAGATAGCGTAGACAATGAGTGAGTGCTTTTTAAAGACTGTTATATAAATACATGCCTACTTAATGGGATATATAGGGTTTCTTATCTACAATTGTCAAACTCTATTATATAGCTGTGCTGCCATCGGTAGGTTATTGAGAAAATGATCGGATATTATTCTCAGAGCGCAAAATATTGTATAGCGTAATTATTTAATTTATTTTAGATGAATTACAGTAAACAAAACAAAAATATTAATGAATTTCAATAGTCTATTAACTAATTGATTTCAGAAGAATATTTCTTTGCGTATAACTGATTTGATCAACAGAAAAGAAACGAAAGTAATAATAAATAGGAGGTTGAGATTTAAGAAATACTGCATAGTATCAATCATTACAATGGGACTGCTTTTATAATTTGTCAAGTCTTAACCAACTTTGATATATGTTTGCCCAATTAAATTTCTGTTTATTACCAATATTGATGCATAGAAGACGGAAAATGGGTCTTTCTTTTGTTCAAGACAACTACTTTGAGTTAACTGGCATACACAGAAAAAGCGATTTTTTTCTGACGCTTAATAGTTGCCTGTTTTTTCTTCATTGGAGATAAACTACATTGTACGTGCAGCAGCTACTAACTACTTGAAGCAGACCGACAGAAAAACAATTAGATAGAGACAGAGAGAGAGAGAGAGAGAAGGAAAGAAGACAGAGTTTGTGGTTGTCATTCTGTGTCATTTGTGACACCCCAAACATAAAAGGAAGGAGATAGAAAAAGAGAAAAATAGCGATGGTAGTATTTGACGATCATTTGGACACGTATCTATCTGTATGAGAAACTAATCAACATCAATAGCTTTTGCAGGTATGCATTTTTAGATGTTTCAAATTCGTCAATTTTCCTATGCCCTTCTACAGCGTGCCTATTGCTATTCTTTGAATCGTTACCAATCGAGCACAACAAATGATGTTGTCAATAGTTCTTCATCAGACACTGACAACAAACAACTAATCAATTCAACATCGTGGGCTACGTCAGATACAAATGGTTTAGTTAAACAGTTATCAATAAGAATTAAATCTGGTGGGCCTATAACCATAGCTGATTTTATGCGTGAAGCACTATTAAATCCAAAGGATGTGCGTTATTTAGATTTCTTCTCGTATCTATGTTAAAATTAATCAAAAGAGTTGGACTAATTTCAGGGTTATTACACGCGACATGAAGTGTTCGGGAAAAAAGGCGATTTTATCACGGCACCTGAAATTAGTCAGATCTTTGGCGAAGTATGTCTAATATTAATTATTTTATTCTTTGATTCAGCACAAAAGAAAAACTAAGTAATAATTAGTTGTTAGCCATATGGGTCATGTATGAGCATTCATCAAACGGCGACAATGCTATGCAATTAGTGGAATTAGGACCTGGTAGAGGTACACTGATGAAGGATATTATTCGAGTAAGTTTTTTTTTCTTACTTTCAAAGACAAAATTAACAAGCATATAATTTTGCAGGTATTAGAAAAGCGAAAATATTCGGATAAAAATACATTTATTGCTTTGTATGAGGCTAGTGAACTTATGCGAAAACGTCAAGCTGAAACATTACTTGGGCAATCGGTAATTGAAATAAATTTTAAGATATGTCATTAGAATTTTATTCTTTTGTTTTTTACTTTTTTTATAAGGTCGATCCCGTGATTAATACTGATTATCGAATACCGAATAGTAATTATTCACTTAAATGGATAGACGATCTTAAACAATTAAATTCTCATAATACATATTTTATTGCTAATGAACTTTTTGATGCGTATCCCATACATAAATTTCAAGTAAAAAGTTAGAAAACATAAATTAGTTATTTTCTTGTTGTTCTCTTATAATCAAAAGAAAACTCCAAAAGGTTGGAAAGAAGTCATGATTGATTGGAATCCAATAACAAAACAATTGCAATATGTGTTGTCATCAAGACAAACAACGATCGGTCAACTCTATCAAAATGTACGCATTCTTATTAAAAAGAAATAAATCATGTCTTCTATTGATTGGTTTGTGCTCTTTGCTTTTTATTTCTTTTTAAGTTTCTTATCGATATAAAAGATAGACAGCATGTAGAAATCAGTCCACAACGTTCGGTGATGATGCAAAATATATGTGCACATATAAAGACTCATGGTGGTTCGGCTTTGATAGGCGATTATGGTCATTGGGGAGAAAAAGAAGATACATTTCGGGTACATATAGCTATATTTATGATAATTGAAGTCCTATTCTTTTCAATGAATAATATACGCAAATAATTTTTCTATAGGGATTTTGTAAACATGAAGTGGTTGATGCACTTTCAGATCCAGGAAATATTGATATAACAGCAGATGTTGATTTTGAAGAATTAGCCTTAAGTGGTTCGCAAATATCAAGCGGTAAGATATTATTCGATAGGAGTATAGAAACTTAAAACAATATTTAATACAAATTAATTTACTGTAGGCAGCCTGAAGTGATGAACTGTCGACGGTTGTTCGAAGGAATTAATAGTGAAAAAAAAATCTGGGGCAGCGATTACGCTTTTTCTTCGTCATTTGTAGTACACGAGAGCATAATGAAGTGTTCAGTAGCCTTTGTTTTGCCAACTGTTTACAATGTATTGTAAGAAGAAAACACAGCACTTAGTAATACAATGTAACCTAGTAGTTTTGAACAACTGATTACTTTTTCAATTTCCGTTGCCTTTTAAAGCCTCTTTGTTACAAATTTAGCATGTTAAGCTCAATATAGGAAAGGCTTGTGTAAATTAATTACCTAGATTGTGTTTTATGTGCTAAAATGGAAACAAAGCGTTGCAAGACGTGAACGGAAATTGAAAAATGAAGGTTTTGTCTGTTATACCCAATTAGCCTATTGTGTAGAAGAAGTAGGTCATCTGGAAGAAATGAAAAGGTAACTCTGAAAACTTAACTGAGGATTCTGAGAAGAAAAGTATTTTTTTATTAGTTCATTGCACTCTATCCAACTATATATAAGTACAAGAGAACGACGTTCTACTTTCATTTTTCATATCTGCAATTTTATAAGTGAATGAAAAATTAAAAACCAGCATGACAGTAAAATAATCCTCGTCGTAGTCTTTAAATATTAGTGAGATTAAGGTTTGGTTTTAGTTTTGAGTATGTTGGACGTTTGTAGAAGACTATTGTTTAAGAAAAGGTTTTTTTAGGATTGGTTTGCCATGAAAATTGTACTTTAGATGTAATTCTGAGTTCATCCTAGAGTATTAGGATTATTTTCCACTTAATTTATGAATACAAACCCTAATAATTTATTAATTTAAAGTAATCTGAGAGATTCATCATGGTTATGTATGTCGGTGTTATAAGAATTTATTCAAGAGAATAACCTTAGTAATGCATGGCAGCTCGACATCTCTTATACTGGTTGCAATTTACCTAACATAACGTTGTATGATCTCATTAGAATATACATTGTTTTTGTAAATTTTTAGTTCACTTCTATGGACCAATATCGCAGAGAAATTTTCTCTATAATTTAGGTATTGATGTACGAGCTACAGTAAGACATCATTTTGTGTTTTCTTTTTCAATAGTATTTACGAATGAATATTTTATTTTAGATACTCGCTCGTAATAAAACTGCAGAACAACAAAAAGAAATTTTAAGTGCTGTGGAAAAATTAGTCAGTCCTAATTATATGGGCGATCGATTTCTTTATCTATGTGTACAACACGAAAATAATAAAAAAACACCTGTTGGCTTTTCTTCTTCCGATTAGATAGAAGAATTCAGAAAAGAAAAGGTTTACTAAACAGACTAATATTGAGAATTTCACTTTTTAGATGCCTGGATATTTTGTTAACGAAATTCCCTCATGTGTCGACGAATCATTAATTGGTTACGTTCGTACACATAGCCATTTAGAATTACATGGCAGAGCTGTTATTGCCCGATCACAAGTTCCATCAGTAGCTGTTATTAGTGGAAATGGTTCTGGCCATGAACCAGCTATGGTAAATAAAAATATGAAAAAACAATCATGCGAAAGATTTTAGTTTATTTTTAGGCTGGTTATGTTGGACGTGGTCTATTAAGTGCTTGTAAGTGATTACATGTAAATTAATTAGATAAGAAAGTGAACAAAATTTTATTTGCAGGTATATCTGGTTCTATATTTGCATCACCACCATCAGCGGATATCTTTCGTCTCATTGTTGAAATGAAGCGTCGTGGTGCTAAACAAATACTTCTAATTATTCTTAATTATACAGGAGACCGATTGAATTTCGGCTTAGCTATGGAACGCGCTCGGGAATTATCAATTGATGTCGATATGTTAGTTGTAGCAGATGATGCTGCTGTTGACTGCGCTATTGGGTAGATTAATGAATTTAGCCAAATTTACTTTTATATGAAAGTTTTTGTTTTTCGTAGACCTCGCGGCTTAGCAGGAGCATTGTTGGTAATTAAAATTGCTGGTGCATTAGCTGAACAAGGCAAGAATATGATTGAAATTGTTGATATTTGTCAAAGTGTACGAACTCATTTACGTACGATTGGTTTATCAGCGTCAGGCGTTCATCCGCCAGGTCAACAAAAAGCATTGGAAGTACGTGTTTTTAATTCCTCTATTTTTGTTTTGTAATAGAAATACATGTTCTATACAACTATCTAAAACAAAGCGGATCACGCAGTACGAAGATAAAAGTTTCGAGTGTTATACAGATCGTGACAAATGTTGTTTATGTAAGATCTAAGACTCTACAGGAATAACGTGCGATTGTGATAAATGAACTAATACGTTATGACATTGCTGGATGATTAATAAATAAGACAAATGACGAAGAAATATGTTCCAAAATGAATAGAATAAAATAATCGTCATATGACCAGCGACATCGTTTTATATTTTTGCGTATTAGCGTTGCATGAGTCAAACTAGCAGGTTTTTATTTTCTATTTAAAACTAGTTACTCGGTGATGAAATAGAACTTGGTATGGGTATTCATGGTGAAACGGGTACACAAAGATTAAAATTATTATCATCAAAGAATGTAATCGATCTAGCATTTGGTCATCTTTTTCGTGGTACACGCGCACTTGATATCAAACGAGATGATAATGTATTTTTATGTGTGAATAATCTTGGTTGGTGTTGCTTTATTAAAGTTAATTCTTGTTCTGTTTAGCGTAGTTTACTGAATATTTAGGTGGTTGTTCCAATCTTGAATTAGGCGTTATTATGAAAGATGCTATTGAAAATTTAGAACATCGTTCCATACATGTAAAACGTGTTATGAGTGGTGGTTTGATGACATCACTGAATATGAAAGGATTTTCATTAACTGTACTTAAATTAACTGCAGATATGAGTTCGATGGTATTAAATCTAATTGATTTTCCAACAGATGCATTTGCTTGGCCTAAAACCATTAGTCCAACGCAATTGCCAAGTAGTATTCAAACATTACCTGATTCATTAGAATTTAATGATCAATTGAGTGCTGAACTTACTCTCAAGTAAGAAATATTTCTAACGAAGAATCAAATAAAAACAAAATACATGTTCTATCTTTAGTGAATCACATTTACTATTCGAAACATCTGTAGTTCCATCAGTTAATCAAGCACTTCTAGCAGTTATTAAAAGGCTTCACAGTGAAACAGATACACTCAATCGATTAGATGCTGTTTCAGGTGATGGCGATACAGGTACAGCATTTGCTCGAGTAGCTGATGAAATGACGCGAGATCTTACGAATGGAAAATTAATATATGATCGACCTTCATTACTTTTTCGTCGTCTTGGTCTTATTGCTGAAAGTCGAATGGGTGGTACATGTGGAGCAAGTAAAAAGCGCAATTAACCTAGAATTAGAAGAAAACAAAACTGTTTTATTTTAGTTTGCGGTCTTTTCTTTGCTGCTACTGCTAAAAGTTTATCATCAACTCAATCCAATACGTTAATCGAAAATCTCAGTAATGCATTTGAAGCTGGTATACAATCTGTTGAATCATACGCACGTGTACAACCAGGTGACAAAAGTTTATTAGATGCTCTTATTCCAACTATCGATTTTATTAAGTCAAGGTGTGCACAACATGAATTCACATCGCAAGATTGGCAAGAATTAGTGTCAGTTGCTGAACAAGCTGTACAAGAAACTAAAAATCTTGTTGCAAAAGTTGGTCGAGCATCCTATACAAAATCTGTCGAAACACCAGTAGTTGATCCTGGTGCTTATGCTGTTTCTATTATTCTTCAAGCCATTAGTGAAGTGTTTAGTGCCACAACAACTCATTAACAAAATATTAACATACTTGTTAAATAACAAATGTTTTTCTCAATTTCATGAATAGTCTCAGTCTAGTCGCTTTATTGTTTTATTTGTGCAGTTTTTCTTCTTCTTCTTGTTAAATTGCTTGCTTTATTGTTTTTTGTGTACTTTTATTTATTTCATTATTATACTAGTTAGAATTCCAACGAGATTGAATATTGAATCGTTTTTCAAAAGTGCAATTATATAGTAATTCATATTGATGACAAACTTATTGACTTCAATTCAGTTATTTTCTAATATTGAAAATTTTTATGCCGTGACTTATAAATTAGTTTAGATATTTTATTTTTCTGTTTTGCATTATATTAATATATATATATATATATATATATTATGTATGCCTCTTTTATTTTTAATAAAGACGTTTTCTATATATCTGTGTGTATGTGTGTCCTGTTAATGATCAAGATAATAGAAAACCCGATGATAATAATTAAGGCTTTTACTTTTATTCCAGATGTCAGCATTTCAAGATGGTGATCATGCAGTTTTGACATGTCATGATAGAACAAAAATTGTACAAATCCGACAAGGACGGTAAGGCAAACGGCTTTTTATATTTAGTATTTGATTCAGCATTACAAACTCAATAAGATAAATATGATATTGAACAAGGAAATATATCTACGTTTCGACTATCTGTCAATGTAGAATGATTTGTAATAGTAGATTCAACCACATGATACTGTTTCAATAAGTAATACTAGCTGTAATTTTAGACAGAAGGCTATTCTAACACAAATATTTTCAAATTCGATAATATGAGCTCTTCTTACACATCTACTGATTACAAGAGAGGGTACATGATAAAAAATAGTCAGCATGCGATTCTAATGGCAATTCGAGACATACAGAACTGAATGACTCGTTCAAGATTTTAACGACTGAAATCAATACCAGCTTACTCACAGGTTTCTATCTTTCAGAGATTTACGAAAACAACATTCAATAGAGAATAGAATCTATGTATAGAAAAGTTCTGACTGATAAGATTTCTAATGCAAGTTTCTCATAAAAGAAGATTTTCATTAAATATCAATCTGTATTGTGATCAAGTAATACACATAATGAAAAGTAGTCGAACAAATTTAAGTCAATCAACCATTTTGCTTGTTCAAAGTACGAGCAAACTGATGATAATTATCCAAAGAAAATAATATATTTCCTTATGTCATATTAATGTAGACAGGAATAACAAAATAATTAATCAAAATATAAATTCTTTATAAACAACAGTCGTCTCTTATCGCTATAGAGATAAAAATACATTTAGACCTTGTTTCTTCGTTTCAAATTATATATTGTAATTAATATACTTTTATTTCAGTCCAATTTTTATCGATAAAAATAAAATATTTCTTGATCATGTGATCGGACAATGTGACGGCTCGTATTTTGAATTAAAAGGCAAATATTTGTCCGTTGCTGATATGAATCAAGCGAAAGAACTCGCTCAAGCAGGTTGAAAACTTTCTGAAAAGTAAAAGAAAAATAGACTAGTCTTGTATTTTACAGAAGATATATCATCGGATAATGCTGGTCAAGATAATCGAGATTTATGCGATGATGGTACTGGAAATCAAACATTACAGCACGATGAAATCGAACAATTAAAATCTGACGGTGTATCAGGCCAAGAAATAATTTCAAAGCTTGTATCAAAAAGTGCAACATTTGAAAAGAAAACTGCTTTTTCTCAACAAAAATATTTGAATAAAAAAAAGAAAAAGTAAATTGATTTCTTCTTCTTCTCTTTATTATTGAGTCAAATCAAATCACTTTGCTGTTGTTTTTTAAAGATATATTCAAATCTATCGTACATGGAAACCAAGTATTCGTCTCTTATGTCAAGCATATACAAATGATCTTCAAAAAATCATGTATCTACAATTGATCTTCTTTTCTATGTTTTGTTTTTTATTATTATATTGATTTCTATTAAAAGGTATTTAAGAAGAGATACATTAGCTATGCTTCTATCATTATCAAATATAAGTCACGGTTCAAATGTTGGCATTGTTGAATCGTGCCAAGGTCTCGTATTAGCTTCTGCTATTCAACGTTGTGCTGGTGGAAACGGATTCATATTTAATTTAACACCTGCTGGTGAAAATAATTCCACTTCGTAAGTTCGAGAAAGAAAGAAAAAGAAAAATATAACAATTCGAAATAAATATTTTAGTCCATGTTGTGATTTTATGGATTTTCCAGATGAATATAAAGCCAATGTCTATAGCATTCCTATAGAAAATGTTGGTATGTGTATGGCATGAATGAAAATTTTTATGGGATTTCTTTCATTTTGTTTTTGTAGGCGATCTAAATACTATTGAACGAGCTAATCAAGCAAAACCAGTAGAAAAAGAACCAAACGAAAAACATTTACTAGCAATGCAACGAAGACAACGTCGTCTTGATGGTTTACAATTATTTGAAAAAACAAAACTTGATAGGTAAGGTAAATTTCATTAGAATATTTAGTAATTCTTTCTTTTTTTGCTTCAGTTTAATTATTGCAAGTAAATATGATTCATTGTCGATTTTACAACACCTGATTGATTATCTAACATTATCTTCACATTTTGTGATTTATTCTCAATCAAATGAAGTAAAATATTTGGCTGATTCGATATTAAATCTGATATATTTTCATTGAATTTATTTAGACTCTACTTGAATGTTATCAATTTTTGAAAAAACGTGGTGGAACTATTCATGTCGAAATAGCCGACTCATGGTTAAGAGAATATCAGGTTAGAATAGAAAAAAAATGATTTGTTCTTAGGCTCATGTATAATTAGGCTCAGTCAAAACTATTGATATTGCTAAGTTAGAGAAAATTCATCCCGGAAGTCGAATAACTGATAAATTAGTTGTCAAATTAACACGATATATAGTTCACTATCAATACCTTAAAAGTACCGTCAAGCTGTTAGCTTATTACTGCAGTGTTTTATGGTAGTTTTTAAAATCAATGTCATTGCATTTGTTCATCAAAAATATTCCGAAAATAAATTTTCTGATTACAAACTGAAGCTTTGTAGGTAGAGTAGCTTGAAGCAGGATTACATATTGTGTTAGGTTTGTTTTTGTTTTCGATTGGCTCCCATCCAGACGTAGCAACATTAAATTCTACTGTAGTTGTATAGTATGATAGAAACAAGTAAAATATCGGAAAGTTTTACAGAAGTAAAACTATTTGTTTAGATTTTTATTTCTATTACAAATTCTAATTACAAAGTAGAAAAGAAAGTTTTCAAGTATACTTGAGAGGTAACAAAATATTTAATTGAAAAACAATATCGTAAAAAATACAAAATCTTAACAGCAATAATCTAAGGATTTGTATTCCACTAAAAATATTCATTACTCATCAGAATCTATATAAATCACATAACTAATACGATTCAAACGTAATTGAATCCATTGAAGGACTCTCGAGACCGACGTCTCCTGCTTGATATTTGACTTCAGTTCGTTGAGAGTAGTTATTAAACGTTTTCATTCTATTTATAAATATGAACAAGTGCCTAAACACAATCTTTAAGTTGTTTCTGACAGAGTTACTAATTAGAACTCGTTAAATAGAAATATTTTGTCTGTCTGGTTTGCATTGAATTTAAATTGCACAAACCGATGTGCAGTGTGATTCATCAGTGTCAACAAGGCAACTTTTCTGCTGCATTGAATAACACAATTATATGGCTAATTTGGTTTTTGATCGAGTTGAAATGGATGAAAGTATTTGCTTTTATTACATGCCGTTAGTATCGAATGTATTCAAGTAGAATAACTGATTGTATCATAAAATGCATGAATCACTTCATCAGTCGATAGCTTTTGTCCTGAATTCTAAATCAAGAGAAAAAAAAATATGAATATACTGAATTTCTTATTCTGCTTCTTCATGTAACTTCGAATAGAAGCTATTAAGTTTTGGAGTTTTAAAATTTATTTCCTGTCTGCTTACTGAGACTTTGAAAATGACCTATGAGTTCACCATCGGAAATCAAAAACTTTCAACTAGGTGAAAATTATGATGTAGAGATTTGAGAAAATATAATTTTTTCCGGTGGAAATACTTTTTACAGTTCTATTATTTTTGATGATGAAAAAATGATTTCCTCTATTATATTATTATTAAGAAATATGGTAAACTCAAATAGTCTTGATATGCAAAATGCACTCATTCGTCCTTACATATATATTTCAGTATAATTTGCGTAGATATTATCAGAGAAAAATCATTATTCATACATAAATTTATATTTAGATTCTTGACGAACGAACTCATCCATTTATTCGTATGTCAGGTGCAAGTGGATATTTGCTTAGCGGCATGATTGTTCAATCATAAAATCTTGGTGTTATTGTTTCACATTAATAAAATAATAGAAGAACGCGATATGATTAATCATATGAGTGCAAAAGTCTCTTTTTTTGCTTTTAATTCATATGCAAGTCTTATTCTTCTGAACTATCATCAGAAAAAAAATGAAATACACAATAACAATCAACATGATGTCTTGTACAAAAAGGAAAGAAAACAAAAGGCTCAGAAAAAAACACAACGAAAAATCGATGTAGACGATAAGTGTTTTTTGTACATTCAAATATGGAACAGAAAAAAAAAACAGTAATAACAACAAGCAATCTATATACAAATATATAGACGTTATGGGACGGGAGAAATCTCTTCTTATTATTGAGATCAATTCAATGACAGAAATAAAGAACTGACAGATAATAGAGAATTCGTTTTCGTCTCATTCTTTCTCTCTTATGATTTCATGCAAAAGATAAAAAAAAAGAAAAGAAAAGAAATTGAACACAGAAGAAGAAGAAAAATAATCAGACTGTTTCTCAGCCGTATTTTAAAAACGAAAACATAGCGTCTATTATCGTTGAATAACTTTTTTTATTGTTAAACCTAATTTATTTGGTTTATTGGATATAGTTACATTATATGTGCATGGTTGATGATTTATCATTGGCTCGTTACTGTTTGTTTTGTTTAATATATCAGTTGATGTTATAGTTGATGTTGATGCTGACGAAGATGCTGACGATGACGAGGATGATGACGATGATGAAGTTGAAAATATATCAAACGCATTCATATCTGGCTCAATATTTTTGATTGTATTATTTGAAGATATTTCTTCAACAAGACGTGTTGGTGTTTTAATTGGCCTTGTACGTGTACGACGTTGTTCATTTACTGGCATTAATAATGTTCGTAGATGATATTCAATTTGATCACTTGTAATTGTGCTCGTTGCTGGTAATTCTTCATCTGATGAACGTTTCTTTTTCACATTACGGGGTGTTGGCGAACGTGAACGTGATCGTGCTCGCGCACGAAATTTTCCATGTTTATCGCGTTGTCGAGTAACCGTTTTTGTTTTCGATATCACCGGTGTTAAATCATTTTTATCTTGATCATTTGAATTCAATTCGATATTCGTTGATACTGTTGATAATATGGGTGCATGAGATTGTTCTGAATGGCATGATGATGAATGTTGTCGTGAACGTGTCGTTGAATTTGTTTCATCATCATCACTACTTGTATTATGTACCATATTAATATCAACATTTGTTAATGGTGCTGCTGATTCATAACCTGATGAGCATGATGGTAATGTATCATCAAGTTGAATTTTTCCATCATCACATTCATCAGAACTAATAATAAGTAACGATGCATTCATGTCGAATTGATTAGATTCTTGTAGAGGTTGTTCTTCTTCAATAGTAGCAACAACGGGCATAATGTCATCATCATCGTCATCGTCATTATCATTATCATTATCATTATCATCGTCATTATTATTATTATTATTAATTATTGCATTATTTGTACTTGATATAACAGGTTCTTCAGTAACAGGTAATTCTGGCGATTGATAACCATTATCATGTGAGGGAGAGTTTAAATCGTTTTTGGTTACTATTGATAATGAAGGTGAGGATGACTGTTGTGGAGGTGGTATATGACGTGTTGTTGGTACAGTTGTTTTACGCTTTTTAGCACCTAAAATAGAAGATCAGGGCAATTGTTATATTTCTCTAATTAGAGGTTAAATAACGGACGGGGAAGAAAAATTTATTGTATATTTACTTTTCCCAAGTCAAATAACTAATTAGTTCATATCCGTTTTAAGAGTAAAACAATTCTATAAATATGCACTACAATTGAACTCAAAAATTTGCTTAGGAGATATCGAGTTCAATTCAGGAATGAGGAAGTTCTGAAGAATAGCAACGTAAGGAGAACATCGTAAAGTCATATTTTGTTTTCATAATAACGTCCTTATCCTTGGCTTAATTGGTATTCTAAATATTGACTTTGGTTTCAGTTGCTGCATTATAGAGAAAAAATATTTTTGGGTGGAGTCACTTTGGATGATGCGCTTTGACTCTTACAGTAGATATTACAAACAATATTATGCATGGTTCAATCACGAGAAAAATAATTGAAGCAATTCATTGCGATCGTGAAAGACTGCTAAGCAAACAATTTGTAGAATTCTATAGTGTTTTGCGATGCTTTTCTCGTGTGATACAGAAAAATGCGGTCTGCGTTTTGAATCCAACATAAATTTAGTCTAACCAAGCCAAAAATGTTCTAGAACGCTCAGTGCCGGAAGCAAAAAGTTTTTAGGAATATATTAATGAATTGAATTTCCTTGTAAATTTGCAGGAAATAGTTTTCCATTGTATTCTAACTCGTGGCGTATATATTGCTCATATGATGAACTTAAAGTGCAAGAAAAATAATGTACTTTAAACTGAATGGGATTGAACAATGATTTAAGAGCCATTTTACGTTAGTACTTATAGAGGTTAAATAAATACCTGCTAATTGTGATTTGATAGATCCTATTTGTTGTTGTTGTTGTTGTTGGTGTTGTTGTTGTGAATCAATATTTGACGGTGGCAATAAAGTCATACTAATTGTACCACGTTTAAGATCATTTAATAGTTCAATACATCGATCAAGATGACGGTAATCAACATAATAATCATCATTATTAATATTTAGAATTTTTTTCTCTTCGTCATCTAGTTTGACTAATGGTAATAATAGATTTGTTTGACACCATTGAATAAATCTACCATAATTTATATTAAATAAAAATTGTTGAAAGATATGTCGAATAGATATTTTTGAATCATTCATCGGTTGATCAGATGATTTCAAAATGACATTTAATAAACAATTATCATATTTAAGCGTTTTTATTTGAGGTTTTCTCGAAGATAATTTCGTTGCCAACTCTAAATTATTGTTTGGTGGTAATAGGAAAGGATTGACAACAACAGAATTTGAATATGACGAAGATAATGCTGGTATCGATGTTGTTGTTGTTGTTGTTGTTGTTGTCGCCTGTAGTGATGGTTGTTTTATCGGTGATATCATCGATGGTAAACCATAAAATGATGGATGATGAATTAATGGATTGACAACAACATTTGCAGGTGGACATTTATTTGATTTATGAGTTGATGTGTTGGCTGAAATGGATACTTTTGTTGACTGTAGNGGGTGAACTTTATTATTGGTTTGTGCTATACGCATAATTGTATTTATTATTTTATTTCTTTCATATTGTTGATGTTCACTTAGTGTACGAAAATGAATCGGTGGTTGCAGATCTGGTGATTTTACACTGAACGCATCAACCAGTAACGTGTCCGATGTTAAAGATGGCGAATCGATTGAGAAATAAAGAAATAATAAATTTAAATAGTCGAGTTCATATTGTCTTGGCGCTCGTGCACCACGTTTAGCTTGTTGAATAACATGTGGCAATGAATGAAATGCATGGGCAAGTGGAACATAAAAACGATTATTTTGTAAAATATATGGTACAAGTTTATTTTCATGCATGAGTAATGTTCCACCTTTATGTACTAAAACTTCAGCATGATATTTATTAACTTGTGTGCGTGGTTGTTTCGTTGTTAATAGTTTAACATATAAAATTTTCTGTAAACCAATCATAACATGATATAAATTTACTAATAATGTTTTTTCAGGAACTTTTTCATCAAATATATTTATATTTGATATAAGACTATTAAATATATCAAAATCTTGTTGTGTGGCTTTAATTAAAAACTTTTTAAATGCAAATTCACTATCAGAAAAAATATGACATTTAATTAAAATTTCATACGGAACATAAAATTCACGTTGTAATTGTGGTATTGATTGACGTGTTGTGCATTTTTCTATTTATTTAGATAAAAGAAAATGAAAATAAAACAAAATAGGGTGAAATTTTAGTATAATTACCAAGATCACTGTCACGTAATTTTAACTTAACAATATATGGAACAAATACATTATTGATTTGTACCCAACCAGATTCTTTAGTTTCACGAGATAAATTATAATTATCAATTGATTGATGAGAAAGTTTTTGTGATAGAATTGGTTTATCGTGTATAATTTGTTCTTGACGTGGAGCGTTATTTATAGGCACTTGTGGTCTTGGAATAGGTGGACGAGTTTTATCGTTTAGTTTCGATAAATTCTCATTCCACTATAAGTAAAGAAAAAGTAGATTATTTATGAAAAGAGTTTCTTTTCTAACTACTGATTTACCTGATTTGACGGTGTTGATAAAACTGGTACGTTTGCTTTTGGTGGTGCGGAATTAAAATTATATGCATGTGTTGGTGGATTAGAAAATGATGGAAGTAGATCAGCATTTTGTTGTAAAAGATAATGTGATGAATGAGAATGATGTACTTGTGGTGGATACATTTTTCCTGGTGTTGCATGACGAGCTGGATGAAGTTGCGGTTTTAGCGATGCATTACCAGTCATCGTAGGCAATTCAAATGATTGTGCTAAACTATTTGACAATGATGAAGTTGATGGAAATATACGTTGTTTCGGTGGTGCCATATGTAATGACGGTGGTATTGGTGGATGAGGTAATGTACGATTAAAAGACGTAGATGTTACTGAATCTCGTAATTTTCTTAATGCTCCATAAAAATCCAAAAGATCATCGAAACGTATGAGACAATCCGATGGTAAGATAGTTTTAAAATGAAAACTAGCTAAATGCCATTCAACGATTAAACGAAATAGTTTTAATTCATTTTCTGTATATGGAAATGATATTAATGGCGGAAGTGAACGTGCTAGTATAGCATATCGTTGCCATGATTCACTTTGAAATAGAGTATTTTCCACGTACATCTTCGATGTATACCGTTGCAAACAATCATTTTCATTTCTTAAAAAAATAAACGATGTTTTCTTTCAATTAATACTTCAAAACAAGTATCTCAATGTTTTCTTTTGCTATTTTCTTTTTAGTACAAACCTGAATATAACTGGTAAATAACGTCCTTCGATTTCTTCCCATGAAAAATGATTCAGACGACTTGAGTAATCCATATTTGAAGAAGGTGGAATGGTTTTCATTAAAGTGTTACTTGAATTAGTGGTGGTAGTTATATTACTTAATAGTTTAGTCATTTCAATTGGATCAACCATATGATGACGATTTATGCCGGTACCATTATAATGGTGAGCATTAGTAGCAGCAGCCGTAGTGATAACTTCGGATAAATGAAGATTTTTAACCATAGCTCCGTGTTGTTGTAAATGCTGTTGTCGATTTTGATTATTTTCAAGTTTAATTGGAGATGTCATGGTCGATGATGGCGATGATAATAAAAGATCATCTATATTAACGATACATATAAAAATGAGAAAATAATCACCATGACATCAGACTGGCGCTGGTAGAAAGCGCATCTAGGTACTTAATGAATGCTAATATGGGATGCAACGAGAGAAAAAAATCAATAATAAGAGTTCCGTAGAAATCGATTTCATCTATTTTATGATATCTTACTCTCATATCTAAATGATCACAAAATTTAATTGCTAATAAAACTGAAGATGATATCTATATATTGATTGAAATAAAACATCAATCTAACTGTTTTGTCTTATTTGTTTTTCACTATTAAAAAGTAGATTGTTATTGTTTATAACGCTTTCACGTAGTTTATACTACATCCCATTTAATAGAAATAGGATCAACTGAATGTTGCTAAGCGATTGATCAATGGATAGGCTTCTTCGTTTCCGACGTTAATTTCATCTCACCTTTCAAATTTGCCAGAACATGAGCATACACAATTTTTCCTCTTCTTCGTCGTTTCTGTTCACGTCATCATTATCACGAAGAAGGGTCGAGACATGGGGTCGAGCCCCTCTTGTGCATTCTTTCCCTCATCCATTCTCTCAGCGACGATAGTAGTGATGATGGTTGCCCTTTTCAATCGCTCGGTCTCTCTCTCTCGCTCTCTCTCTCCCTCGTTCTGTTCTTATCCAATATGCAAACGAGACACACGCAAACAGCATACTACATACACAGATGCGAACGAAAGAAATCTCGCACTGGTTAAAGGAGAAGCAGCATAGCCGACGTCGGTCTTGTTCGTACCAGTTTATTGCGAGCCGGTTGGTCGTGTCTAAAAAGCTTTCTATATAGCCGGTCAAAGCAATCAGTGTCAGATTTTTTCTTTTCCTCATTGGTTCTCAATAAACGTCATCAACAGTATTCATATAAATACGTACATGTAATACCAAAAAAAAAATGAGGAAAAAACACAGGACGTCTTCGTTAATAATCAAACATCAGAGAAATCTAGAAAATCTGAGGAGTAAATATCTACAAAGATAAAATAGTGAACTGAAAATAAGAATCTATTGATTATATTACGCGAGAGAAAAAGAAAAGAAGCATTCTTTTAATGATGTGTACACATATTTAGATCGATATGTGGAAAATAATTCAGGCAATCGTGCACTTTCCTTTGGATTGCTGTTTAACGAGAGGGTGAATGGTGTTAATAAGTACGTAGGCGTTTGTGTCAATTGAAAATACACCAAACATCTACTACACAAGCAACTTAGCCAATAATTATTGTTTCTTTTATGCAAATGAAACTTTTCAGCCAATTTTCCTACTATGTTTTTCTTAGCGAAAGGAAAATACATGGAAAAGCAATCATTCGACGAATGATTTACAATCAACTTTTTTTTTAATGGAAACCAAAACACAAATATACGTGTCCTACCTTATTTAAAGTAGATTTAATCATTATCGAACTTATTCTTCAATAAAAAAAAAGATAATATGATCAACAACAATAGAACAACAGTTTTTCATAATGCATTCAAGAATATTTTTTTATAACCTAAATTCTGGTGAAACATGTATATAAACGTATACAAAAATACAAAATATGTCACTTGCTTCTTTCCTTCTTTGACGACCCGTCGGCTTCTGCGAGCAAAGCGGACGGGCATTTTGTTCTTTTCATTCGTCGCTTCTCTTTTTCTTTCACCGTCCCATCATCCTTATTGACTGACTACCCTCCCTCTATCTACTGGCCCTCTTCATTCGTCATCACCACCTGACCATGTGAAAACACACATGAAAATGAAATGTAACGATGCTTACCCATTTCATTCTGCTGATAAAAGGGTGTTTTAAGATTTTGTCGTCGTTTTTGACGACGTTGGCCATCAACGGTCATACTTTCATTTGATACTATATCATCAGCCGATGGTTGATGATTATGTTTTATAGTTAGAATAGGTTGTGATCCATTGCCAACTAGTTGATGTGCACGACCGTTGCAATGTGTGCGATCTTCACATCGCCAATAAATAGTTTGATTTTGTATTTTATCTTGCACATAACGATAACCAAGAAATATTAAACAAGGTTTATGTCGTTTTGTCTCAACAACACTGTATTCTTTTAAATGATTGATATCATTATCATCCGCCATTATTTTGATTGTTAGTCAATTGCATTGGAAAAAGAAATTTATTGTGTCTATATAATTTTTGCGGCTTTTTCGCTCTACGTGTCTGAATGAATAACTGATATGAGCTTGTCGGTAATATGTTAATTATTCGACGAAACAAACGCTGCCCCTAGTCGGCCCCGTGGACGCATACATAGAGCGAGAACGACTTCTCTCATTCTCTCTTCGTTTTTCTTCTCTTTTGGCTTCTTCTTTTTCTGATTCTTTTGTGCGTTCGCACTTTTTTTTTTATAATATTGCTGTTTCTATTTATCTAGGTCGTTACTTAGCAACAATTTCGTTATAAACAATTTTCGCGTTGTTATACTACATTTTTTGTCTAAATTATTTGTGCGATTTACTTTTTCTTTCTATCATGTTAAGTCTAAATTTTTTATTCCTGTTTGTCTTTCTTTTTCCTCATACGCACTTCATTCGGTGTCTTCAAAGTTATTTCCATCGGCATCTAATATGAATGCTAATCTGTCTGTCTCTTATTTGCTTTCGATTGTTTGCATGCAATGGACTCTATTACGCATTCTTTTTTTTCCCATTTATTCAAGCTCGTTTTCTTGCCTTTATTATTTGCTATCTTTTTACAAGTTTTTGTTGCACTCTATCTTTTGCTTGAAATTTATGTAGAGAGAAAATAAAAAGGAAAACCATGGAGAAAAATGAATGCAAATGAGAAGCATATCTCGTTGGTACTTTTTTTTTGTAACATTCAACATAGTAATAAAATTAGCTCGGATGTAAAGTATATGGTATAGGCGGTCAGAGTAAAATTGTTTCTCTCGCCCGTCTGCTGGGTGAACCTAGTGGCGAGCATTCATCTTTGTTGCGTTCTGTCGTCTTGTTTCAGTCGTCCAGTAATACTTTTTTTTGTATGTGTGCGGTCAATGAAATTCATGCGACCTGTATATTTGTGGTTGGCTCACGTCCAGTAGTAGGGCAAGAAGAAAAGGGTGAAGAGAAAGAAAGAATAAGCAAGAGAAAAAGATTGATCGTCTCCATACGCATTAATATTAATAATCGAAGTAAAAAACTAAGAAAAGAATTTGAATCCGATCGGATATTCGAAAGCAAATACTTGTGCTCATTGAAAAGCTTTTTTGTTTTAAAAACTTACATAATACTCAAAAACAAACGATTTTATCGAAGAAAGAAGGAGAAAAAAAGAAAAAAGGGTTAGATTTAATTTAGAATAGAAACGAGTAATCATGATTACATCATCATCTTTCACTAAATCATAAATGATTACGCCATTCAAGATAGCCATTTCTTTATCTTATTACACCATAAACTATTTTCCAATTATCAATAATGGATAAAATGCATATTCATGATGTGAATGCGACCGATTTTATTTGGATAATCAATGAAATCTAACACTTGCGAAGAAAATATGATTACTGCACCTCCTAAAAGAAACCAAATCGGCAGACTAACTAATAACATTTTTCTTTCGGCGTATAAAAATTAAGTTGAAAAAAAAGTTAAAGAAACCAAGCATAAGGTTCATTTGACAATTCGTATATAATATTTATTTCTCAATTAAAAATTTATCTTTGCCACTTCAAAGATAAAAAAAGCACCGAATTCAAATGTCAAAATCATCTAAAACAGATGAAGGCTTATAAAATAAAGCGCAAAAATTTGATTCTATTTTCCTAATAATACTGTCATTTGAAATTGTTCACGATCATTGTATCTTTTGATTTCTTTTTACCTTGACATAATCTTGTCTATGTATGTCTGCATTTTTTTAATCATCTAGTTAGATTGGTAAATTTCTCATCCTCCATTGTGCCCATAGTATCCTCCTCATTTAAACCGTTAAGATCAATATCAATACCACAACATAGCATAGCCTTGTACTATGCCCAACCAGACAGTAGCAAGGCCACTATGTCCTTGTAATGTGCTTACAACTTTTGTTCTTTCGAGGCTTATATGAGTATTTGCTCGTTTTTCCTGACAAATCTAATTTGTCAAACAGGAAAAAACCTTCTCACTTTTATTTTCAGGCTCGAAATTTTACTCAAAAGAAATGTTGCCGTTATTACATTTCTCTTGTCTTGTTTCATTGCCAACATTAATTATTATCTTTATAGAGTTGCTTAAATGTTTTTAAATGTACTATATATTCATTTATTTGTGTGTGCGAATTGTAAGGGATTTTTATATTTCTTGGCCCATTAAAGAAGCAATCGTCATATCACATCAATAGGTTCTTTTGCGTATGGATGAAAGAAAAAGAAATTCGATTGATGATTTGTTTATAAGATACCTTTCAAAAAAGAACCTTGAGGAGAGTGGTAAACATTGTGCTTCAATGCTGAAATCCAGCGTGTTTGGTGTTGTGCCGAGCAAGAATGAAACGGACACTTATCAACCAGACGAACATGATTGTCGCCTGCGTAAAAAGATTGCTTTAGGCTTCGCGTTTAATTCATCAAATCGGAGAAAACAAAAGTTGGAGAATACTTGAAAATAAAAAGCCTAAAAAATTTTGACATTTTCCTCAAGCATCAACAATAAATTATGTAAAATAACGCAAAAGAAAAATAGAAAGACGAAATTTTTTGTTATAATGATGTTTAAAAGAGCTGTAAGGATGAATTTCTTATAGTTTCGTTAGACCTTTTGGATGATTTTTTTTGTGATTAAATGTCAACTAAATCGCTTTTTGACTAAATCATTTACACATAGTTTCATAGAAATTTGAATGAGAATTCTGCCTTTTTTACGTTTTACTAAATACAATATTGACTATTAAAAAAAAGATCATGCATCAAATCAACTACGTGGTTTTCATATTGATCGCATGAATATGACTAATGAATTCAATCATTCTAAAATATATATTAGATTAAAGAGAAGATTAATTGAAAGGCCAGTAATCACGATCACTTCTACTTGGAAAGTATTATCACAATACTTATATTTAACAACATAATGTATGCCATATAAAATAGATAATATTTGTCGATTTTGATCTGTTTATATTTAAATATATATGTATGAAATTGTCTTTCTACACTTATTGAGCCAAAAACACTACTTTTCTAAACTGTCGGATGATGATCATTACTATCATCTTTAGCATAGATATGTAATAGACACGTACGATATGGATATAAAATTACGTTCAAAAAATAATAAATCCTATTTTCTTTTTCCGGAAACGGTGCTGTATGGTTAATATAAATGATGCAATAAGAGATTTTTCACTATCATGAATCCATACAATAGAAATCTATAATAATTCAAGTATACATCATAGAGAGTCATGGCCTGACTGAGATTTATGAGAAGACCCATTTTGTATTTGATCGAATTCTATTGTTGCTGAATAGTGACGTGTATCGGGTTTCTTTCGGGTTTGAGTAAACAATCAATAAAATTTTTTCGCTAATATGAAACTCTATTTTGAAATGTGGATTCGATAAAAGCGTCCTCCAGCTTTCAAATGATGTGCCTTGTTTCGAGAAAAATAATCAATCCATGAAATTGAAGACGAAAAATATGCGAAAAAAGTCGGAGTCCGATTTAAACCCGATTCCGATTCTTTTTTGTAATCGTTTTCTGCGTAGAACGACAGGAATAAAAAGCTTTTGAAACCCAAATGCGTCATTCGAAAGCTAAAATAGTGCACTATCGAATTTACACCTAGAGAAAGAGTTTAATCTTGATGTAAAATTTTTATTATTGATTGTTTACTCAAACCCGAAAAGAACCCGATGCAGTTCAGCAATGCTGAATTATCCAATGTACAAAAAGAAAAGTCAAATCGAGTAAATCTATTGTAGATAACATGAGCAGAGTAAAACAAATAGTTATTTTTATTCGCATAGTATAAATACATTTAAATTCGTATTAATGATAATTCTTGGAACGTTATGAAAATCATGGATTTGTCAACAAATATCGCAAGTAAATTTACTTAAACAGTGTATACAAAGAAAACCGATTGGGCACTCATGAAATGAACCATTCATATCTTTCACAGTTAATCTCGATTAACTAGACGAAAAACATCGATGCACAGAAAATTATAAAGTGAATACTTATGTTTCATATGTAACTATTGTCAATTAGAAGCAATCGGACAGGAATAGTGAACATAATTCTACTATTTAAAACTGAATTCCCTAGAGTATATATAACAACCATAAGTTATATTAGAAATGAATGAAAAACTAGTAGCTAATATGAACTAAATATTTATTCAAATTTTCTAGTTTTCTTTTGTTGCTTCAGGTCATTAGCGACATTTTACACAATGGGATATTTTTAGGATTGCTCTATTATATTAACATTAATCAAGTAGGGTTGTTCGACGTTATCTTAGCTACTTTTAGTATGTCTTCAAGGCATGTCTTCTGACATAAGATTACATAATAGAAAAGAATCTCATTAAAGTCAAGGTGAACTTCATATAGATATTTTATGATTGGCTGGTGACTATTTTGTTCTAGAGATTCTTTCAAAATAGTAACCATTTTCATCACGTTTCTTTCATGTAAGATTTAATCATTAGAATTAATATTTATATATGGTGTTCATATTGTTATATTATAATCTTAAACAAGACTTCTCTAGAAGAAGTCTTTTCTTTCAAATGCAACTTCGCTAAAAGTTATATTTGTTACGCTAAGAAGAATTCAAACTACAATAAATTTCTATTTGCAACAAAACTGTACATTCAGTTAAACATCAACAAATAGTTTTGGTGAGAAAATTCCTACTAATATTCAAGAAAAAACACAAGATCTATCAAAATAATTAATCTTTGTAGACCACAATAGTAAAAAAAATGGAAAATTTTTCTGATGATATCACATTGATAAAAATGACTCGCTTGATATTTATGTAAATATACGATTGAGTAGTTTTTTTCATCGCTTATAATTTGTTTTCTTGTGATACAAAAAAAAGTAATGGAAAACATTATTTAGTCATAGAATAAACATTTCTATTATCTATCCAGGGTATCTTTTTCTTACCAATAACAAAGAGATATGTATATTTCTAGCACTTGTAATGCTTTACAGCTCCCTCTGATATAAATGACATATATAGGAAGTCATTTATTTTTCTTAATTTGTTGACATGAAGATCCTTAGAGTTAAAGAACAATCCTGGAAGGGAACGATTCGAATTACGTTTTATTCTCTTCAATAAATAAGAACCAATTGTAGATGACTGAAATCTAATTCAACATCTGTAAGAAGATTGCTTAGAACTCTAAAAATTTGTTTGAATTTAATTTTCTCAGTATAATATTTCCTCCATGCATATCAATACTGAAAAATGATTGTTCGAAACCAAAATTGAACTTTCTGTTAATGCTTTTAATTACTAGGCAAAATCAATGAAACGTCTGACACAACAAAATAATTTTAGGGCAATTACATTTCGTCTGTATGCCATGTGTCTGACATTTATCGATTCTCATTGATATCCATATGTTGCATTCAAAAACAGGCGGAATCTGTGATTTTTTAACGATTGTAGTAATATTATTCTCTTTAATCGTACTGGACAATACGTAGTTGATATCATAAGAAAAATTAATGTGATTTAGTTTTTGTTTTTGAATTACAGAAGTAAATTTAAATTAAATAGCTATTATAATCGGTCAACACAACCTTGTTCAACGTATACTAATAGATGAATATATTATTCTCTATATAATAATCAGCCAATTAAAGTCTTTAATATTCTAATAATAATTGAAATTGATTGCTTAAAAATAATATCAAAGAATGCCGCAGTTTGTCAAGATTTCTATAGTTAATAACTGGTTCGAGAAGTCTTGCTGATTTCTGCATGACGAAAAATATTTCTATATGCAATTAACTGAACGTAATTATGCTTATTTACTAGATTGCTGTTATTATTTAAGCGCAGCATGAAAGTAAATGCATACTTATTCTTCTTTAAAGTTTTATGTTTCATGCATTTCAAGAAAACCTATTTACTTAGTTACGAAAAAATTGATTAGAATCAAAACATTCGCACAGGCAACTAATTTTCACACATTAACAATGATTAACGGATTGGTAACTATCAGATGGAGACAGAAAGCGATTTATAATAGACATTTGATAGATAGATAAAACATTTCGACATAATATTAGTAATGATTTATGTCTCTCATATTTGTTCAACTGTTTAGTTGGCATCGAGTGTTTTATTACCAATATTATATCCGTGTATCTTCGAAATGAAATGTAAATTTATAATGTCATAAATGGTTGAGAATGCAAAGTAGGTAAATGCATGTAACAATTACACGTGACTTAACAATGGATGAATTAAAAATTTCGGTCAAAAAATATATTTATATATGGAACAGTCTTTACTCGGTATTGATGAAAGTATTCGTTCAGTCGAACTGAGGGTATAAGTGATATGTCGTAGACAATCTTTTATTCAGTGGTGATTAGAAAGCATAATGAATAAGTATTTGTTTTGTAATGTGCACTCAATGAACATTGTTTCATTCATTCGAATAGCAGGCATACATTTTAATAAGCATGCTTTGTATAATTCTTTTTAACTACAGGCAATCGAAATTAGTTATGTAGACCTCCTGTTGGGCATAGAAATAAGTAATATATTATCTGCAGGCATTTCCAATAAATAGCTATTGCTCAATCATAGTATTCGCTCAAGCATATGCAATAAAGTAGGTACAATAGTACATGGATATCCTATTCAAGTGTTGAAAACTTTAATTTTTATTCTAAGAAAATTATCAAGACATGACCTTTCGATAACAGCTGTAACACAGTCGTCACTTATTAAATTGAATGTCGATCATAGTGACTAATTATAATTAAAAATGGAAGAAAACACTGCTCTTGTCATAAATATATGTCAATTTTCGGATTTTGTACTATTTGCATAATTTTGCAATTATTATATATCTTCAAGTATACTTTCCTTAAATTCAAGTATCTCCAGATAATTGAATTTGAGGTACACTTCTAGAACGTTGCTAATTGTTGTACTATGGGTATTAGTCTGATTAATAAATAATTGAATCAGATCACGATGACCTGTACGTACGTGACAAGGCAATAACAACTACTATGACATGTCCCTGCTTTCACAATAATCGATGCTAAGTCGATACTATTATTTCCACTCTAGAGAATCCGATTACTGAAATAACTAACAATCTCATACAAGATAATTCAGCTATTGAAAGAGTTTATCAAATGTATACAAAAAGTCAGTATATAAAACTGAAACAAGTATATGGTAATTGAGGACTTACGGAACTCGCTCTAGTCAACAAATATACTAAGATAGGTTAACAAAGGAATATTTTCGAATAGAATTATCTAATCAATTTGTGTTAACTTTCTGCACGGTTAAGTAATCTGTTTAATGCATTCAGAGAGTACTCTCAAAACTAATTCAGTTCTATGAGATAATTGTTTCCATTACTGACAAAAAATGATTATCCTCAACGGATGACAGTAATTTATTTTTCCAAATTGTTAACTCTCCTGCACTGTTTATTTCTCGCTAATAAATGCTCCAGAAATCTATGGAATGTTAAATATACAATAGTAGCGAAAACTTTTACAAAACCATATACACTAATCTATATTCTTCTGCAATATCAATATAGTAAATAAAATAATTAATAATAAATAAATGTTCTTTTTCATTGATATTGAATTCGATCCTAAAGCTTTTCCAGTTTGATTTATGGTTGCATTTTCTGTGATTGTGAAATTTCTATTGTCCGTAATATTTTCTGACCATTGTATATTAACGATTGTGGCTATTGTTGATGTTAATTTTGATTTATTCTTTTTTTTCTTCTCACTTATTTTTAATTTTGCTTCACATGTTCCTTCGTATATGGCACGTTCGGCATCTGCCCAATTACAAGAAATCGATTTTGTTTGTTGTTGTATATTTAAACAGGCATCATTTTGACAATTGGAAAACCAACTTGTTAATGTTGATATGTAATATCGATCTTGTCCTTGTTGATTACATGTTAAATCATTATATTTATTTAGAAGCTTTTGAAATTGCATTAATGTACAATTGCATTTTAAATTAATATTATTGTTAATATCAATTAGATCTCTTTTTTCGGTCGCATTTGTTAAACGACATAATAGTTCAGTGAATGTATCCAATGAGAGAATATTATTTGAACGAAACGTTAATTTTTCTAATGAAAAAATATTCAAAAAACAAAACGCACGTAATGATGTATTGTTTAAATTAGGATTGTAATCGAAATCAATAAGACGTATTGCAGGAAGATTCGATGCAAAATAATCGCTGATATAATTAATTTGATTTGATGAAAAATTTAAAACTTCTAATGAACGACTTAATAGTTTAGGTACATGTTGTAATGAATTGTGTGCCAAATTCAAAATTTTTATTCTTGTAACTGAACGAAGAAAATTATTATCAACTAAACGTATCATATTATGATTCAGACGAAGTTCAATGAGGTTATATAAACCATCAAATAAATGATAGCATATAGTTGTTAAATTATTATAACTTAAATCAAGAATTTCTAATTGATGATGTCTACGTCCAACAATCGTTTCATTATATTCATCAGTTGTATTTTGAATTAATTTTAATAACGTATAAATACTTGTATCATTTAACTGACATGCTACAAGATGTAATTCTTTCAATGCAGATAAATTAAGAACAATTTGACCAATGTCCAAATATTGAAATGGATTATAAGATGCATCAAATATTTCTAACAAAAATTTTTAAAAAAGACAGCTTTTATAATTAACAAAGAAAAAACAACCAAACAAACAGACATACACACCTAAACTAGCACCTGGCGATATCAAAGTTGTAGGATGAAGGTCTTTCAGCTGATTGTTATTAATATATAGTTGTTTTAAATTTTTTATTTGATCAAATGCTGTTGTCTCAATTCGACGAAGATAGTTTGCATTTAAATATATCTTTTCAACATAAATATCAGCAAATACATAATTATCAACAGATGTTATATAATTAAAGGAGAAATCGAGCGCATTCCAACGCATGTTATTTGGTAATTTAGGTAACGAATGGAGTTCACTTTTAAGACAACGTAATTGAGATTCATAACCTGAATGATAGCATTGACAACGAGCAGGCAATATTAAATGTTTACAATCAGAAAATACATAAGGAGATATAACTTCTTGACTTATCGTTAAATGTAAAATAAATACAAACCAAAAGAACATCATAGTTGTTATATCTGAAAAAAATTAGCTATAGAGAAAAAAAGCAATCAATAAATGGTCTATAACTGAAATCATTTATCATTGAGTATTTTCGTTGAACATTCTGTTACAGTATCATTTATTATAATTTTCAGTCAACGATAGTCGTAAAGAATAAGCGCTGATCATTTTCATTCATTCTGTCGGCTGACAATATTCAATTGAAATGAATGCAGCTCTCTCGAGAATAGATGCTTTTAGGATTGATAAATTTTTGTTTTGTATTGATTGGTAAACATGAGATGTACATTACATTTCGAGAGACATGGTACTTCAATCGATTTACATTTAATAAAATGCATTGAAGAAGAAAAGAAAGTAGAACCTATTTGATCAGTGAATAATAAAGAAACGATAGTAAACATTTTATGAAGAACCTATAAATGCATAGTAAACCATAATTAAATAGACTTGACTAATCATGCGTCGAATATGTTTTATTACCATTAGATATTTTACATAGATCGTGTCACCTACCTGTGTCTAACTGTTAAAATGTCAACACTGCTATTGGACAACAAACACGTTGAAAGATGAACATGACAAATGTTAGACTGCCGCACACGTCAATTCTACTTGTAACATGTAATGTGTCAATCAATTTCATTAACACTCTTGGGAAAATTTTTCTGACCTTGATTTACAAGCTGCCACTAGTAGTTATAGTCTCGTGTATCTTCATACTTGTCTCTTTCCTTCTCTGTCAATAGTATCTGTAATATAGATGTACAAGAAAGATCAGATATACACGACAATGCATATTTGATGAAAGACGACGGATAGATAGAAGAACTTTTTGTCTATTATAGTATAGTATAGTATGCATATGGAATAGTAGAGAAAAAACATATCTATCATCAAGTCTTTCGCGTGTGCTATCCATTAAGATGATGATAGAATACTAAAATGACGTATATAGGCCATACATATAAGTGTGCCTAAGGCATTTTTATCAATGAGAAGAGAAAGGTGCCGATGTGTTGATTTTTTTTTTCAAGAGTATCGTACACAATGGCGATGATTGATGAGACTAATTGAAAGAATCCGAGCTAATTTCCGGTGTTCTGCTTTTTCTCTTCTTCATATGATTCACTAACCTCGTCCTATATGTGCCATTGATGATCTATTGCTTCCTTTGCAACTAGTCACCCAAATTATTATTTTCAGTCTGACGTATTATGAATCATAGAGATGTGCATATGACGCACACATATATTGACATATTTAACGCTATTAGCTAGTTATTCACTTCGATATGAAATGAAAAGTTCAGTACATATTGAATTATATAAGATTATAATTGATAGCAAACTTTCTATACCACTAACTGTTTTTGTTGATATAGACATCATAATTTTTGTCAGATGTGTTATCTTCTTTGATACTTATCAACAGAGAAAAAAAACTATCAACATACAATAATATATGATGAGCACTTCTTATTTATGATGCGTAATGTTTCCGTTCTTTTTTTTTTATTTGAGATACTTACATAGCAAATAAATGTATTATTCTAATGAAGACATTATATTGTTCATTTATATTCATGATATTCAAATGTATATGATATATGTATAATATAAGGGATGGCTGTCTGTTTTTCGGCAGATAGTGACATCTACTATATTATTTGATAGTCGAAAAAGAAATTATTAAAACACGGACATATCTTTATTCAAATTTGTTTTTTCCTTCTAAATTTTTATATTTATATAAAATTTTTATATAAAAATAGACTTGAACAATGAATCATAATAAAGCATCATGTGAAAGATCAAACTAATATCGTAATGGTACTTGTACAGTTCTCACTTTTTTTGCTCTGTTGTTTTTGTTTTCTTTTTCTATCACATACATACGCATATAAGTACAAAAAAAAGTCACGCACATACCTTGTTTCTTTTTATGTTAGATAAGATCTAAGCTTTAAATGGCTGCTTTACGAAAGAAACTTGTTATTGTTGGTGATGGAGCTTGCGGTAAGTTACATCATAGAATTAACTCTGTTCTTTAACTACGATTGTTTTTTCTTTTATTGTATTTAGGTAAAACCTGCTTGCTAATTGTGTTTAGTAAAGATCAATTCCCTGAAGTTTATGTTCCAACTGTATTTGAAAATTATGTTTCTGATATTGAAGTCGATGGTAAACAAGTTGAATTAGCATTGTGGGATACAGCTGGACAAGAAGATTATGATCGCCTACGTCCATTATCTTATCCGGATACAGATGTTATACTCATGTGCTTTGCTATTGATAGCCCAGACAGTCTTGAGAACATTCCTGAAGTAAAATAATGTTCAATATTTTATTTTTAATGATAAAAATTTTGTGATTTGTAGAAATGGACTCCAGAAGTAAAACATTTCTGTCCCAATGTTCCCATCGTACTTGTTGGAAATAAAAAAGATTTACGTAACGATGAAGCAACAAAAAAAGAATTAATGAAAATGAAACAAGAACCTGTACGACATGAAGAAGGACGTAATATGGCTGAAAAAATTGGCGCAGTAGGTTACCTTGAATGCTCAGCTAAAACGAAAGACGGTAAAGAAAAATATAAATCGAAAAATGATTTTTTGTTTACGAAATTATTTCTTCTATAGGCGTACGTGAAGTATTTGAACATGCAGCACGAGCTGCATTAGCTCGAAAGAAGAAACGAAAAGGTGGCTGTATTATGATCTAAGACAAAAAACATACTCTTATTTCGTGTGTGTGAAATTACTAGTCGAAATATTTAAAAGAAACAATAAATATATGCAAATATTCTATATCTTACAACATCTTGTTACCTAGTCGTGTGCGTGTGTTTCTAAGAACAAACTATAAAATAAACATAATATTGGATTTTTTTTTTCTACTTATTATTCTACTATTACTCATCCCCCCTTTTCCCCTCATTCTCTTATTGTATATTTCATTATTATTATTTCTTTTTTTTTCAATACTCTGTATTGCTATTACTACTGTTTCCTCTCGGTCAAAAGTTGAATGAGTGTACGTTTTTTGTATATTACGTTGACCCCTTCATCTTCTTTTCGTTTTTTAAAGCAAAAAAATAAAACAAAACACACACATATTTGAATTGAGAGAAGTATTCGAACTCTTCCTTTTTTCATCTTGTTTAGTAGTAAAACGAGAATCAAGTTTTTATTTGTCATTTGTTGAATAAGTTCATCGATTTAGTAAATCTTTGCTGCACGACGAGCAGCAACATTTGAATCGCGTGCTGCGCGTGCTACTGAAATTTTAATTGATTTTTTCATGACTTCAGTCAGCTGTTCTAAACTTAGTTGATCATACAATCGTGATGATTCAGTTTGATCGAATGCATGAAGACTATCTAATTTGGATGAATATTGTGATTGAATTGTATCCAAAATAGTTGATGATTTCGTCGTTTTTTTTCCATCAAATTGTTTACCGGGAATATAAATACTTTTTTCCCATTCCAGTGATGTGTTTATATTGTGAACAAGAAGACTTGGAGAATCAGATAATGATGTATCACTTGCATCACTACATTCAGACTCACTAATGGACGCTGCACTGTTTCGGCGATTAACTAAATGAATTTTACCATGTTGTTTGTTTAGAAAAAAAAACAAGTATTTGTGATTATGCTTATAAATTAGTTTATACAGAAAAAAAAACGATGAAGTAATCATATACACTTCGAAGAGGTTGACTACTGTCAATAATTTTATTGTCTTGCTGAACACTTGACAGTGATCTTTATCTCTAACTATTCTCGTATTGCATAATAAGAATAGAAATATCTCGTTTGATACGTATCAACGTCCAATTTGCCATATATATATATATATATGATATTATATCATCTTATGTCATTATTCATTGTATTTGGGAAAATTTTTCTAATAATAGTTTATCATTTAAGTACTATGCTCGTAAGTCATAATTTACTTCTAAAAAATTTTCTCGAAATGATTGATCATCCGTTGGGATTTCATAGTGAGCGTATAGACTGAAATTTAAAGCTAGTAATTAAATACCCCTAACACACATTGTCTTGCTGAATTAGCGATTTTTTACCATTGGATAGAATACTGACAAAAAAAATTTAACCTACCAGTGTTTGGCCTAAAGTTGCATCGATGGTGTTTATATTATGACACTAGTATTCTACATTCACAGATTTATTCAGTACACTAAACTTTGTTCATACAATTGTGAACTCAAGTATTTATTTTGACGAATTTAATTTCGACATACACAGTTCCTTTTTTTCTAAAAATATAATTCGAAGAATAAGAAATTACTTCAGGCAGAGCACTCCTCATTTTTTTTAAAATTCATCAGACTTTATTTTTTTGCCATTGATAAGTTACAATCGCATGTTTTACTATTTAGACAATAGAACACAACGAAACGAAAAATTCTTCGATTAACTTCTTTCTAACCTACTTATAAATCATAACAAAACAAAAAGAGAGACATATATCGATTCTATACGAAAGTGCATGAATTTTTACATAACGTTTCCAGTTCAGCTTTCATTGGCATAACATATCAAATTTCATTAACGCAGACTATTGCCAAATGCGACATCGCTCAATGAATATTTACTAAATGGTCTTTCAAGTGTATTTTAGCATTAAAATATGCCACGAATAAAATAAAAGCGCTGCTTATTTTCAATTCCTTAAATAATAAAAAGGACTCGTAAAAGTTTACTTACATCTGTTAAGTCTTTTGAAAAATTTTCTTTGGTCATTTTCGTGTTGCATTTGATGTAATTGCAATTTAGTAATATGTTGATCACAAGTTATCCGGGACACTGCTGTATTTTTTTCAGAGGTTATTTGTCTAATTTTATCATTTAGTCGCGTTAATTCATGTCGATTTTTATATCGGGCACGCGTTTGAGAATCTAATATTTTCAATGGTCGCGACGGTGTTACACGAGAACGGCTGTTGCCCATTTTGTCGTTTACTTGTTAGAAAAAAATTGAATGAATGCGTTTTTCAGAAGAATTAGAAAAGGCGTGTCAATGGCAAACAAACATTTACAAAAACATGTATGCTAAAATAACTTTAGTATACTTCAAGATCAATACTTTCATTTTATCTCAAACAATAATGTGTTTTTCTTTTAAAGAAAGAAATCCTTCCCGATTTACATACAAACGTAATAGCTTTTTGGCTGCTCAGAATGCAAAAATCCTAGTAGTTATTAAAACAAACATGACAACAGACTTCTTTTTTCCTTTTTTTTCCAACGATGTCAACAATGACTGTATTATTATTCTTCGCAATCGTTAAAGTTGATTGATTGGTTTCAAGTTGAAAATATTCAAAAAATTTTTAATTAAATAATTATTCACATTTCTTTGGTTTGATAAAAGTAGATTTAGATTTAACATTATGTTCAACATGTTACCAATTTCAACAAATGAAATTATAAATAAAAACAAAAGAAAAGTTAATTGCTGATCATTCTTGAACATTTAACGTAATGTTTTTGTTAAACAATGGATTCTGTTTAGTTATTTGAGACTCAATGTTATGCGCCTATTATTAAAAGTTATGTGAGATAAGATCAACGAATCTTTAGTAAGAATATGAGAAATCGTCCAATGCTGAAAATAAACTCGTAGAGTATAGAATTTAAAATATTCCAGGTACGAATAATTTCAAGGAGATACAAATCACGAGAAAAAAATCCGTAAGTCAGCATTCTAATGGCCTGTAAGCAGATTGCAGGATAAGAACAGACTAGATTTGTACTTTGGCACGGTTGATTACATAGCGATCCCATCTAACTACAAAATTACATATTTTTGTGTTGAAAATTCTAGTATGAGAATGATTTTAAAAGCTGTTAGCACAATTCCTGTGGGATTTAAATATTTAGAACGATTTAGTGTCTGTAACTAATAACAGGGAGGCTGTTGTGTACCATATATTTCCGAGAACATGTTTGTATCATCATTTTACTTTATCTTTCAGAAATTTATAACGAAAGTGTTTCATAGACTACAGTAATACGCCGTCGATATATGATGATCTTTTAGCTAGTTTCGTTCTTGGTCTAAGAGGTCAAAAGCTATACTTCTATACTGTATTATCTATTTAATTTACGTACATCATTTTGCAAAAAATGTCCTGGCAGTTCTTTGCAAACTTTTCTCATTTTATATGAAATATATTCAATTTATGTTAATACGAATACGGCAAAAAATTGATTCTTTCGTGTGCGCCAAATGTATATCTAATTTAAGCACAATCATTCACAGGCTCTTTCTTTTGTATTTTCGATGTTGCAGCTACTAGTCGTTATCGGTAAGTAGTTCGTAATTCTTTTCTCTCGTTTAGTATTTTCATTTTTTTTCAAACGGTATGAGTTTAAAGCTTGATAGTAAAAGACGTATTTGATTAAAAATATACAATGTATTCATTTGAAATCATAGATCATATATATTAGTGATGTCTATTTGTTATTCAAAACTAGCACGATAACTACAACACACATACGACATAATGAATAATGTAGTTCTATTAAAATATATATCTTATGTTTTTCAGGGAAAACAAAGACAGCAGAATAAAAATGAGAGTCCTCACACTTTTAATCTGTTGTCTATTTTTAGTTTAGATAACATTCAAAAAAGTATTGATTATAAGCTGGACCGTCGAGTGCACTTTAAGCATATATGGATTCCTCTCAAGTTTTAAAAGAAAGAAAAACAAAAGTGAATAATTATGTTATTATAAGTTAGCTTTATTCAAGATTCATATTTTACATACACTTGAATGTTACTATTGTAATGATGAGCAAGGTTACTATAGTCCTCAATCATTTCCATCAAAATCTATGTGCAAAACTAATGAACAACACTGAGAACAAATAGAAAATATATCTATTGGTTCTAGTAATAATCCATTAATGGAACCAATCATTAGTTGCTTCGTGTGTAAGAAAATTCTTTTGAATTCGTATTTATTTTACTTTCTCAATAATATAAATATTTTTCATCATAGACAATAACTTATTACAACAATAATTATAAATATCAAAATATGTATCGAATTTCATTAAAAAGTTCCGGGAATGCTTCAATAAGACTATCGGTTATCAATAAACCCTAATTGCCCGAGCTGTCAAAGGACATATTGGTGTTATAAATATCGATGTAATCCAGCACGAACGATTTTGACGGATTCTAATCCTAATACGATTATTTTATTTTATTCTATATTTTTACAATACCAGTTAGTCATTGCTCCCTGAATAAAATTTGTCAACTAGTAGTTCTTTTCTCCTTGTTTTGTTACATATTAACTAATAGCAGCAACATTTAATGAAGGTAGATTATTTCGATGAAGAAGAAACACCTTGAAACTTTTTTTTTAATCCATGAAATGAGAATGTTTTATTAAAAACTATTCTTCAGCTAAACTTGTTATACATAAAATATGATCTATCAAAATACTGTTTCTAAGCAAAATAAAAGAATATTTTTCTGCTTCTTCGTTAGCAACCAGAGAATTTAGAATGATGAATCTATTTAACTATTTAAATGGATCAAAATCATGAATAATATATTCGATTTTTATAGCATGTTTTGAAATCTGTTGTTTTTTTTTTGAATCTCATTAGCTGCATGTTAATATGATGATCGACTAGACCTGTAGTAATACTTCTCAACCATATTCTAACATCATGCGCTAATGACAAACAAAAACTCCAGATAGATAATGTAAAGATGCAAAACAAAGATGAGGATGTCACGGAAACATTGTCTCAAAATAAAATCTCTCATTGATGAATATTAATGATATTATCGAAATTACAAAAATATTAATCAACTTTTAGATATTTATATAGATAATTTTCAACAACAAAAAACAAGAAAAGCAAAAAAATGAATAGTTTATCATGAAAACGATGAGAAGAAATTGTGCTGTATTGGTTGTCACTCGTGTGCTTTTTTCTGTGCAAACGATATTCTAGTGTCTGTTGTTTTCTGTTCAAATATTCTATATTTATGTGATGTAGTCAAAGTAGCTCATGTAAATCAATGTCGTTTATGTCTTGTCTGTTTTTTCTCTACATTAATCGTCTCACCGTACTTCAGCCTATGAAATCTTAATGAGCATATACATACGTACATTGAAATACCATAACTATTGACACAATAAATACACGTATATACATGCACTAGTCTCCTATTGCCATACTTATCAAGAGTACCCATGTAGCTGATTTTGTGAAATAATGGACATTACAATGCATTGAAAACTTCTTACTCGGCACTTGCTACATAAGATCTATTAAATCGATATCCCAATTACCATAATTGTATTTCTGCGGTTTTGCACATCTATCCCCTTAAATTAATCCCTTAAACTTAATCTATTAGCTTATCTATGTCTACCACCTGAGCCTTAATCTATCTCTCTAACGTAACTTAACCCTTAACTTTCATCAATCCTCTTATATATATATATATATATATATATCCCATAACGTATCATTTTGATCATATCGATAAGAATCTAAAAGAAAAGAAAAGAAAATTAATGAATAACTAAGTTTATTATTATTAAATTCGAACTTACCATTTCGACCATAATCGATATGAATCTAAAACGTAGGAAAAAGAAATAGAAATAATTTTAATATTGAATTGTAACTTTCTATTTCGAACAGATCGATAAAAATCTAAAACAAAAGACAATGAATAAAGAATTTTATTATTATTGAATTCAAGTTTACCACTTGGATCATGTCGAATTGTAGTTGAAAGCGAAATCAATTGAAAAACGTATATATGACATAAGGCTATTTCAATAGTATTAAAATAGTTTCAGATTTGGAAAACAAAATGATTCATGATCTAATCTGTTATACTTGATACTGTGAGTAGTTTAAGCCCACTAGACACATTCGAAACTGAGCAATGACGAATACCCAGGTCGAACAGGCACGGTCGTAAACGACCGTATACGGAGAAATACGGCGAAATACATGTCTCAGTATTGCGATCGTTTACGATTCCTGTACGCTGAGCCCGTATACGGTCTCCGTATTACTCCGTATACAACACGGTGATATGCGATCCTAATACTGAGCCATGTATTACGGTCAAATACGATCGTATACGGGGACAAACGGAGCGTATACGACCGTTTACGATCGTGCATGGACTCCGTAAACCTCGAGCTGGGTAATGAAAACTTCTCTTGAGAGGTTTGAAGACTGGGACCTCTTTCATTTTACAGAATATTCTACAAGGATTCAAAACTCTAGTAGTCTTTCGTTGCATCAAATAGAAACTCGAGGTCGGATTTCGAGTTGTTAGTGCACATTTCAACGAATGAGCAAACTCGGAAACTCTTCGGCTTGCCTAGAGAAATATTTTGGAAACTGAAAGAATAATCCGATATACCTCATCAGATTTTGAGTCAAATTTTCAATACCTCCCGCCCCCTTCAGAATAAAAGGCCATGCCCTTGCACAATGTCTCGGTACATCATTACTTTTTTCACGGCCTTCTAATTAGGGTGACCTTCTAATACGTCTGAAATTTAGAATGTTCTATGTTTCAATAAGTTTCATTTCTATTTATTTTTTTATACGAGATACAATTTTTTTCCACATATCGAGTAGAGTCTTATACTGTTTATCTTTCTCATTCGTTTGTGATGTGATATATGGCTATCCTATTCGAATCTGGGGGGGGGGAGGACTTTAGTTCAGATTTCAATTATCAGAGAAAATGGATTCGAAAAATACTCTAAGCGCTGTAACTCAGGTTGCATGTTTTATTAGATCTTTAACTTGCGCGACTCTTATTGGAAAGAGCTTGATACACAGAATGCTGTGGCAAATCAAGCATCTATCTGTCAAATCACTTTTTCAATATATCTGGTACGCAAATAGTGAATTTTCTAATTTAAAAACGGTACTCCAAATAATACTTTGAAATGCATTGCATTATTCCCAATTTCTACATTATGCCTGATAATACATTGAAATGTCAAAAAAGAATTAATTATAATGCACTAATTAATTTTTTTAAATAATGGAAAAAAATGGGTCACTTTTCCATTATTCATCCATTATTGACTACATTAGTAGTATATCCTACTTTACGACACGATTTATAAAACCTGATAAAGGTTACTCATGATAATAGAATAATTGAAGTTAACCTATTGCACACTGCGAATGCGTGATTTGACTTTAGATTTTCTAGTACTTTCACTAATTCGTTTGTGCAGAAATAAATAACTACTATTATCTTAGTTCAATTCGAATTCGTAACATGTCTTTTTAGAGATCAAAACAACTGAATTTTATATAGAAGTAACCCCACCGAGTCAACTTGTTCTGAATCAAAACATTTGTATTCAATCTATTCTTTGATCTTAATTATCTGCGCAAAAATAAACGGTTCGTAGATAGATCCTATGATTTTTTTCCGGCCCATATAACAATATTATTGCAAGCGGTAGATGAATGTGATCCAGTGTACTTTAATATGAAGCCCAGTAATTTTACAAAAGCTTCTAGCGCTTGAAACTCGGTCTACTACTTTTTATGATTCTTTTTTTGTAGTATTCTGTGACAGCTAAAGTTTAATTAGCTATTTCTTTTTTTAGCTTTTCATAGTTTTGCGGGGGAAAAAAGAGAGAAAATATCATCGTGTATTGTGTGTATTAAACTGTCAATCAAAAGTACTAGTTCGATTACTGTAAGAAAATAGTTCAGACTCATTCATACTTTACAGTTTTCCTTTTATTCTTGTTGAAATCTTTGATGAGTTTTAAAGTATTCAGTAGGGAAATAATTGATGATGTCAATGCGTTCTTATTTTCGACATTATGGAAAGGATTGATGAACATTAGTTGGATGACTTTAAGATTTGATTATGCGTGTTATAATAATTCAGAAATATAAGCAAAAGTACGAAGCACAATATACCAATCTCTGCCATTGACTTCCTGTCTTCTTTTTTTCTTTTGCCGTTGTAATATTTTTGATATGAAGTATCTACTAGGGAAACTTGGCTCGCTTTATACTTCCTAGATTGAAGCTACGTGAAAATATTTGTTTTAACTTTGAAAATTAATTATCTCTATACTTTTATTGATATAAAAGTGGATCTTTTATGAGTTTTCTTTGCCATGTGAACTTTTTAATTGCATTATTCTACTTAGTTCTCTCTTCAGCAAATAGTAGAGTGCTCGTTTTATTTTTATATCCTGACTATTAATGATAGCGTCTCGTCGGCATAACTTTTGTCTATGCTAACAAAAACAAGAGAGAATGAAGAAGAGAAAGATGAGCTGTGATGAAGAAAACGAGTCTAGTAGTCTTTTATGAGAAAACTAGAAATAGAGAAAAAAAAATATTGCTATTGATGTATTTAGTAGAGTATTTGTAAGAGAAATGCCATGATTATTTGATTCGTAAAATCTATTCATTTCTTTTTAAGAAATCCGACGGTGTTTACTTTCACTTGATTTGTCCTTTATAATTGAATGAAAAAGTAGGTAATGATGCACAATTAATATGCTTTTTCTGGTTATATATAAATATATATCTTATTGTTCAATACTAGACAGTCGTCATTAAAAGAAAAACAAAAATGAATCAATTTAATGTATTATTAAATTCAACTGCTTCATCTCTTTTGTTTTCAATAAATCAATCACTAAATCGAACATCATCGTCATCATCGACTAGTCGAAATACTCTTATGCGTTATTTTCAAGTTATTTACTATTCTGTATTAGTGATTCTTGGTGTTTTTGGAAATATAATATGTGCGATCGTCTTTTCTACTAAATCATTGAGGTAAAAATAAGAAAGAAAAAGCAAATGATTACTAATTATTATATTAGATAAATGACTGCGTCAACTTTGAGAGTATTCTTTTATTGAATATAACATTCAAATTCTTTTTTCCGATGTCTTTCTGAATGATGAAAAACGTGAAAGGAGTAGATGTTTAAAAAAAAAATAATATCTTTTTAGACGTATTCGTTCATCGGCATATTTATTTACTTTGGCATTAATTGATGTTTTTTTTATCCTCGCTATTCTACCTGGCACGATTCATACAGCATTCGATAGTGATTTATATCGTAAAGTTCGTTTCATTTGCTATATTCAAACGTACATGTCCTTTGTTGCTTCGTTCGTACATATATGGATGGTGCTTGCGTTTACGGCTGAACGATTTTTTGCTGTAAATTTTCCATTAAAACATATGTCACAGTGTACACCAAATTTATCACGTATAGTGATATTAATAATAATTATACCAACATTTATATTTTATATTCATCCTGCATTTTTTGTACCTGAAGTTGATATTGTTGGTCAATGTCGCGAAAAAGATGGATATAAACGTTATTTAAATAACCTTAATATGATCGATACAATCATGACAATGTTTTTACCGTTTATTCTTGTATCAATATTAAATATACTTATTATAAGAAAATTATTCTGTTCAAAAGCATTTCGTCAACATGCTTTTGCTAATGGCTCACGTTATCAATGTCAACGGATTTCAGATGGAAAAAAGAAAGACGACTCATCACCATTAAAACGTAGTTCAATGTCATTACCACAAATGCCAATAGTATCACAATCAAATTCACTATTCTCACATCGTTCGCAACGTATGATTCGTCCGACTCGTTCAACCGGAACAGAAAAAACATCATATCTATATCGAATCTATAGTGGCTGTGAATCATTAAATAGAAATTTAAATAATAACGATCATAATGATAATAGTTCAATAAATCGACGAATATTATCAATAAAGTCAAAAACAAAACCAATTCCATTATCGAAACGTCATGATTCAGTACATCGGCATGTATTAACTGAGTTACGTTTAACAAAAATGCTCTTAGCTATATCATTAACATGTCTTTCATTAAATTTTCCATCGTACTATCTTCGTTTCATATTTTTATATGAACAGTCAACGCCGAGTTCATCACAATCATCAGATAAAAATAATCTAAACGAAACTGAGTTTGCACTTTATCGAGGTGTTCTTTTTCATTGTATGTCATATTTAAGTTATGCAATTAATATATTTATTTATTTATTATTTGGTGGAAATTTTCGCCGAGCTTTAAAACGTTTATTTTCATTTAAATCAGCACATTCGGAAAATTTTGCAACACTAAATCGAATAGCAATGCCCAATTATGAAAAACATAATGGAAATATTGCTGATTATAATTCAATGACAACGGCATCATTCCAATGTTCACTACGTGACTATACCGAATCACTTAAAGCTCGAGAACAATCAAGTTTACCTCATCGTTTACATAAAAAACCAGTCTACATACGAGTTAACAAGATACATTAAAAATGTACAAGATCTATAAACATTGCTGGAAGAACAATAAAACTTTATTTCAGAAAATTTCCGGTGATTATTTATTGCATTTGTTTTTCTTTTGTGCGAATTAACATTAAAAGTTTTACTTTTCACAAATAAGATATAATCAAACAGATGAATTGATACTAACTCATTCTATATTGAATTAATAATGTTACATCGTTTTACTGAAAACAGTATCACGAAATGTCCGTAGCACTAATTGTCTACTTCATGATCAATATTAATCGAATAAGAACGGCATGCATGCACACAACTCACACTTTCTATTTGTTCTTTAATTGTAAAATCTCAGCACAACTGTTCACAGGTAAGAAAATGTAGAAAGAAAAAAAAACTCGAGATACAAACTGTATCTTAGAAACAACTGTCGGACGGATTTAACAAAGCGAAGTTCAATTAAAGCAAATTAAACAGGAAAAAAATGCGAACAAATCAGATTATATATCATTCTAATCTACATCATAGCCAGAAAACAAAAATAAACAAATACATCGGCCTTTGAAGAATTGTTGCGCCGAGAAAAATTGCCTATTTATATAAGTTTACAAGAGAGACGAGAAAACGGAAAACAAAAATGAAAGTTTGTTCTTTAAAATACACGAAAACATAATGAACAAATGAAATGTGTTATTCCAAGAACGTACACACAAGACTATCAAAAACAAAAAAGAAAAAAGAAAAGAATGAAAAGAATTCATGTCTGAAAAATTGACATAAATTATCACTAATCATAAATTAGTTTGTGATTGAAATTGAAAAGGTGTAAATCGAAAACATTTTCATTATTTCATAGAGTAGAATCATTATCCGTCTCAGTATATGGTAATGTTGCTGGTAGTTCAATTAAAGCAACAGAATGATGTTTAATATGACGATATTTTCTTGTTATTGCCCATTTATCATGTACATGTGCTTTGGCAACAAGAAAGAAGATTTTTTCCATGATCGAATAAAATGAATGAATTGAATAGCCTGTTGCTTTTTTCAATGTGTTCGACTAAAATAATATTGACGATACGAAAAATTTTATTTTGTAATTTAATAGATTTACCCAAGGAGAAATATGACGCATGTGAAGCGCAAGACATAATATGGCAGCAGCTTGTAAACTGGATAAATGTTGCAGACATTCAGGATCCAACATAGTTAGTTCAGCAATGTACTAAGAAAAAGTATGTTAAAAATAAAACTTAATTGAATAAATTTACTCGAAGGAAGAGCTTTTTATCCATTTCATTGAGACTAAAAAACATCATCGGATTCATCCGTAAAGACAAGGAAAATATTTATCATAAAATTACAACTACGTAAGAATTCAAAAAAAATTGAATAACAAGCTAATTATATCTTCTCGCGGACGTGTGAAAAGAATTAAAAATGATTTGCTTTTAATAAGCAAAAGGAAAACACGCTATTATTAGCTGGGAGCAAATTATTTGAGTCACTATGTGTTTTATATTAGCAAACATAAGAAAAATGTTGATTTCCTTTTCTTTAAAAAAAAATCTATGACGAAGTCAGACATCTGAATAGGAAAATCAATTATGCTATCATGAATTCATTAACAATGACCGTTTACATTGCTGTTTTGTTTCTCGATGAAAGCGAGATTTAAGATAGTTTTAAAAATTCTAAATCAAATAATTTCATTAACATTCGATTTGCTCTTGGATACAATATCAAAATTAAAAACTGAAATTTTTGAGGCAAAAATGCTACGATGCATTGCAGATTTAGTTGCAAAAACGTCATACCGTTTATGTTTGTTATCTCTGGCTGTTACAGCAGATTACAAATGTTCTCATTAATTTTATACAAAAATAGATTTAAAAAAGTCACAGTCAGGTGGCAAACTTAATTCGAGTCATGAAAAACGTCGATAACAATAAAAAAAAATTCAAAAATAAAAGTTTCTTGCTCAATGAGCAACTGTAAAGAATATCATCAACTGTTTATTTTAGTTTTCTATTTATTAGTGCAACTTTCTCATCTACTATAACGTTGAAAACAATTATCTTAGTGATTTTTATTTTGACTTTTCCTAGTAGAAATTAGTATGATATTGTTTTTTCGAGTTCTAAATATCACATCTAATACTGGACAATTTTGAAATCTATTTCACTACTGAATTTTACTAACGTACAAAAAATAGATTTTATCCTCTAGTGAAACATGATAGTTTATTGTCCTGATACCTCATAATATTTTTCTCTATATTATTTCTTAAAACTCAGGAGGAGTCTATAAGTAACTGTTCACATATCTTTGAGCTATGCTTTTATGAGCTTTACTTAGTATTTATTTATATCGCATGCTGAATAACTTCTTCTAATGATAGGCGTATGTCATTCGATTCGTTTAGAGTAATAATCATAACAAAAGAAACAAAACAAAAAACAAATATAGATTCATCTATAATTAAAAATAATTGATTGAATAACTCCCAGAACAGGTTAACAATACAAAAGATGCATGCGATATAGTAAATTTGATTGATGATAAATTTTGTTTCAAGAACAAAAGCCTTTGAAAAGTTAGATCATTTAGCAAGATTACTTTCAAATTAGAAACTTTGCAGAGCAGACGAGTTTATCAAATGAAATCAATTTTCAACAGCTCTGTGTAGATAGACTGACTAAGCTGATGTAGGAAATCTTCCTTGTTCATTATTTCTATCCCGCGAAATGGGCCTGTTTTATAAACCGGATGTAGCGTCAAACACCAGCTTAAGTTGTTAGGCAACATACAACATAGTTGTTGGTTACAGAACACATCAATCGAGCTATTTTTAGATTGTCGAGAAGGAGAAGAAAACTATTGAATTAAAAAAAATTGTGTCTAGTTCATAGTTCATCAGTATTAAATTTTTATCTAGATTTTTTATATGAAAATTGCCTTCGAGATAAGCTTAAAAAAAACAGCTTTAGTAATTTTTTCTATTATTTTTTCTCTTTTATGAAAACACTAAGTCAGATATAATTATATCTATGTTCTTATTAAAATCCTTGTGTTATTGATTTTGACAGGTTTTCTTGTATCATCGACTTTAGATTAGATGCAAAAATGATTCGTTGTAATTTTACTGAATAACATAAACATTATATTAATTTGTTTTCTACTCTTATGTATAAATTAGCGAAAAACCAGAGGGTCAAGTCTCGACAGGAGATGAAATTTTCAAATGTAATATTTCCATCAAGAGCTTCCAGAATGAATATTAACCATTTCGTATTAGAAGACAACAAACTTCAACAAAAATGTTCCTATGATTTCTAAAATGAACATTTATTTATTTTTTAATTACTTACTCTGGCTAAGTCTTCAGTAGTTTCATCAACTTCAGCTAATTTAAGATAATGCAATAGAAATGTATGTGTTGTTACAGTGGATACTTCAAAATGAAGCGTTTGCAATAAAAGATCTTCAATTTTTAATACTTGTTTTTTTGTATATGCATTGTCCGTAACATAGGCAAATTCAGCTGCATTGGGTGGGTAAACTTCTTCACATTTTCTAGAAAAGAAAATTTCGACTTTATTTATAGAATATCATGAAAATAATAATAATAATAATCAGTAAACATACGCAGCTAGATAAAGTGCTGTGGTACCAATTAATTGAAATTTTGATTTTGTTACTGACATTCGTGAAAGAAACCGATCAATAAAATTCACAGCTAAATGAAGTGTCTCAGAAAATAATTTATATTCATCAGCTACTTCCGATAGCCAATCAATTAATATAGCTCTCATGTCCCATGTTAATTCTGCTTGTTTACGCATATAATTTGGTTTTGGTCGTGATGAATGCTATAAGAATAAAATCGAGTAATTCTATTAGAGAAATAATATCTTATACCTCTCGTTTTCTAAGATACATTAAAATTTCTGATGCATATTCATCAACATTAATCAGAACTTGTTCATTTTCATTAGCTTTACGTTTTTTCTCTTCGCGAATTGCTTTTTGTTTTGATTCAACATGATTCTCATCATTGACATCATCGATAACTTCAATGGGTTCTATTGTGTAATGAATAGATGGTATAGGCGTTTTCTTTTTTTCTTCTAACGATGATACAGATTTTAATCGAGATCCAATTAGACTATTATTATTAGTATTATTAGTATTGTTATTATTTGGTTTTCTTGGCGAACGATTTAAACGTTCATCATGTAACGATTGTTGTGATTTATCTGTTGTTTCATTATGATCAGGCAAATGATGAAGAATTGTATTATCGGAACTTGAATCCGATAGAATCGTTATTGTGCCTAAATTGATTTGATTTTGATAAGCAACTGGACATGATGAATGATGATTTTTATCGATTGGATTATTTGATTGTGATTTTGGTATAATAACTAAACGATTTGATATTGTGTTCTGATCATTAGTCGAACTTATTGAAGATTTACTTGATGCATCAGCTGAGTAACGTTTATTTTGAATAGATTGGCCATCTGTTTGATGTATGGTTGACGACGGATTTAAAATAGTTGATCGATTATTAAGTGTTAGTAATGATGAAAAATTCGATGTCGATGGTACCACTTCAGTTACTGATGTTCGACGATTTGATAATTGTGATGATGACGAACGTGATGTTAATGAAATTGGATAATTTTGTTGATTAGAACGAGACGATATTTGTTGTTGAGGTTGTGATCGATGATATGAAACAATATTTGAGGATGATTGTGGATAATTAATGATTTCTGAATCGGGCCGACGACGTCGATAACCATTTGATGTTTGATTATCACGATTTGATGTTAGAACATGTACAGTACTTTTGTAACGAGAACTTGGACGTGCTAAAGGCGCTTGATAGCTCGCGTCCGAAGGTATATGAACTTTCGGAACTCGAGACTAGAAAACAAAAAATCATGATATACGTTATGTGCATAATTTTTTTTATGTAGCTACCTGATGAATTGTTGTAGCTGACATGATTGAATAATAATAACAAAGAAGAAAGTTTTTTTTATTGTTATTCTTATTATCAAAAGAAAAGAAGTAAAAATCACATTTTTTTTGCCTTTTTCTTCTTCGTCAGTGCTTTCAATTCATCTGTAAAGAAAAATATAACTTTCATAGGCTAAGGCGTAATAAGATGTTTGAATGTGTGTGTAATTATTTTAAAGAAATGTTTATTGACATAGGTGGAAATATTAAAAAAGTGTCGATTGGACAAATCAATTCACACTCTTACCATACAATAGAAAGGCATAAAACAAAGAAAAAAAAACTTGCAATTTCAATTTTTTCTTCTTTTGTACTTTCTAGCTCTCTCGAAAATTCATTTTACCATTTGAGTATGTGTGTTTTTTTGGTGGTGATGTGGCGTATTCATCCGCTCTCTCAAAAAAAGAAATATGCTTGATTTTAATACTTGTAGGTTTTGAAATGTGAACTTAATTCATATTGAACATATTTGAATGTCTATTCTGTAATTAGAAACTTATTTAAGTATACAAGCAAGCAGAAACAAATGAAAGATAAGAACATAAAAAACTACGCATTACGGAAAGCAAAAAAAGAAACACGACATATGTTGACATCCGATAATTTTGTCTCAGGCTCCACAAAAAAAAGGAGAAAGTTACACATGTTTTTTTTTGATAACAGAGATGCGATTTTCTGTTTTTGACTTTCTTTTTTAACACATATTTTCGAGAGAACGAATCACTGCGCCAATTAAACTGTTTAACTTGAGTCAACTCTAGCAATTACTCACTCTATCCTGTTGTGCGACAACATAATGCATAACTTTACATATGAAAAACTTAATTCATCTTTTTCTCTTATTTTCCTTTCGGTTTTTTAAACATAATCATGAAAAACGCTCGACAACGTACCTACCTACCGACAGAATTCGTCATGTTGTCAGTAGCCATAACTCTTGCAGTTGGCTTAGATAGACCTTTATGACAACAGTTTAGTCGAGATGATGAGAAAAATTCTTTTTTCTCTTCTTATCTTCTATTTAATAAAGAAAATCTTTCACATATCAACAAAAATCGTTAGTGAAAAATATGCATCTAGATGACGCTATAATCATTCATAATAATATTATTAGCGACAATATCTGAGAAAAATATCTATTTCATTTACTTTTCTAAAAAAACCAATTGACATTATTTTTCCATTCAAAATATGAATAGAAATTAATAAAACTATTTACAAAAGGATTGACCGATCTAATAAAAATATTAAATGGTTATCAATAACCAATGAAAATAGCAAGTCAATTGAAGAGAGGAAGAAAGAATGAATGACTAAAACGGTGCCTTGGCAGTTCTTCATCATCACTCGATATATCAAGCATATTCTTCCATATCAAAAGCGTCTTCTCTTTGCTTTTTTATGTTTATTTATTCTATATTCTTCTTGAAATAACAATCAATTCAGCTGGACGTCTTTCTGTTTGCTATTAAACTCCGATCAGTTTGATTTTTATTTAGATGAATCAACATTATTTTAGTGGTGATTAACATTGAAATGGAACAAGAACGGTAAAGAAATTTTTCGTATTCATATTGATATAAAAATCATTCCGCATGATTCTTATTTATTTAGTCTATCATCATATATAGCTGATCCTGATTTACCCACTGGTTTGTTTGTGCATTTTATAATATGGACAAAAAACACAATTGTTTGATCATTCTTTTTAGGTCTCGAACAAAAAAATGTTATTATTCAACGAGATCGTTTTGGATATGGTCTCACAGTATCTGGTGATAATCCTGTTTATGTATTAAGTGTACGTGAAGGTGGTGCAGCTCATCGAGCTGGAATAAATATCAGTGATCAAATCATTAAGGTAAAAAAAGCATTTATTATTTAACACTAGCTCTAGTTCTCTTAATCTTTTTACAATTTTCTTTAAAAAAAAAAGAAGAGCAATAAAAAGAAATTTTAAATTCGATAAAAAATGTCTTTAGATATATGATAAAAATCGTGAATATTTTGATAATAATGTTCTTGAGATGATGCTAATGTTGTTGCTAATAATTCAAGTGATGTCTTATATTTTATTGTAATATGTTCTGGTATATAACGTATTTCTGTTATAAATTTTTCAATACGTTGTTTTGGAAAAATAAAAAGCGTTGTTGAATAAACATCTAATTGAAATCGTTGATTATATTCAATACCATGATATAAATTTTTAAGATGATTATTTGTATTAATTCGATTAGAATTCTTTTTTGAATATAATTTTATGCATTCACGAGAACGTAAATCTGTATGATCATTTGTATATGAATAAAATATACGTTCGCATGAAACTGGCTGAGGTATGACTTCAACTGTTTCTTGAACACGTGTTTTATTTGTTTGAAAAGGATATATTTCATGTAATAAATTGACTTCACGTAAATCTTTAATAGTCGCTTTTTGAGAGCTGATAGAATTCAATAGTTGAGGATTGATTGGTATGGATGATTGTAATGCAGTTAATGTTGGGTATTTCATGGGAGGTAAAGGAGCATGCATTGATTTCGAACTGGGACGAGAATGTTCAGTTGCTATCATTGAAATGTAATCGATAATACTTATGATATTGTAGTGATGATATTCATTGTTGATTTGCAGAACTAATATTTGTTGTCTTAATGATCGCTTTAAAAAGACAAAGAAAAAGAATGAATGTCTTCGATTGTTTTTAAATGAATTTTCAGTATCTATAATATATAAATATATTCAACAAGTCCGTAGGCTTTAACGTTTTCTTTATTGAGAAAAAGACAAACTAAGAGAACTTACGGTGACGTCAGAATATCGTTGTCATTCCTATTAAGATCCATTTATGAAACAATTCTTGTCTTATTCTATTCGTTTTTTCGCTTTCTGTGTGTTTCACTAGTATATCAGGTAAAGTTAAGCGTCTGATGTTCGATTCAAGTCTCTTCTTTTTCAATATATAGTTTTTTTTGTTCGACCTAATGTTTTTTCGCTTAGCACTTTCTCCCATTTATCTTCCTTCTTCTTCGTTTTTTCACCTATCCTTTCTTTTTCATTTTCAATAAACTATTATCGCATCTACCAGTGCCAATACCGCCATTTTACGCTTCACTTCGATTTTCCTTCTCTATCTATCATTGCATCATTCTTTAGCTTACCTCGCTTAACCACGATGAACATCAGGAAAAAAAGAAGAGAGATGAAAAAAGAAAAGAAATGAATTCAATCTGCCTTAGAGAGATTTAAATATGATCATAGGGATCATAAAAAAATGTGCTGCCATTTTTATCCTTTTCACTTGCTCTTCTTTTCACTCGTTGTAAGATTTTGTGGCATAAGAATAAGAAAGAGAGAGAGAGAGAAAATAGGTAGATAATTGTCATCTAACATAGTACATTGAAGATTGTAAAATATACCTCAATCGAACATACTCATTTGTTTGCACCTCATTTTCTTGTTTGTTCGTTCTCTTTATCAGATTGTAAAAATAGATATATAATCTATTGAAAAGCAACTTAAAAAGAAGTTAATCATTTGAGTCATACCTGAGAAAAAATAACAATCACTTATTAAGATCTGTGTCTTGAACATATTCGATTAATAACCATGGGATCGGAAAGTAATCTCCCGCCACAAAAAGAAAAGAAAATTCAATATCTCATATGAAACTGATTTATTTTGTCTAGTAAATCGTTCTGGTTGAACACAAATCGATACAATGATACACCTGTTCCCATGTGGAATAAATTGGACACCTGTTATCGATTCTTTTTGATTACATCATGTGATTTGATTGAAAAATTTTGTTTTATTGAACAGTACTAAATATTAAACAGATAAATATTTGCAAAATAAATCGCAGACATCAAAAATATTGAACTATTGAGATAGAATCAAGGACACCTACACAATTGTTTTCGAATGAGTTTTGTGATTTTCAAGTGTTTCATTCAGTGAAAAAAAAGTATCATGGCATCAAAGAAAACAAAATCTTAAAATATTTGTCTATTTACAATTTTTTTCTCGGAACAAGAAACAGAAAGTTTAAGTAATTAATGAAAATCTGTCATACAAATATATATTTTTGCCTTCGATTCAATGTAAAAATTCTTATCGTAGAGAATACTTGAAAATTGAAACAATGGCTATCTTGTAGACAAACAATACTTTTTTTTTCGAGGTCATATATGAAAACAAGTTTTTTTAATGAAGAAACCAACTCAATAGTTATGTTTGTCAGTTGAATAATCTATATAGATCTTGAACATTGAAATCATCTTATTCATTTCGTTTATCATCAAAAGACAAAACAAAAAAAGTAATAAGTTTTGTTTTTATCTCAAGTTCAAAGAATCAATTATCATTATTCGCTTTCAACTCTCGAAATTTTTGATAAATAATCGATTTGAAGTTTCCATTGATATTGAATATAACAAATAACCGAAATCATAAATGTAATAAACCTGTTGAATTTTCATTGTTTGCAAGAAACAAAACATATTTTGTAGAGATTTTAATAATGCATTCAATAGAAAATATCTCGAATGTTTTCTTTCTTCTTAAAGAAAATAATAAAATCAACTTGAATGTTTCTTTTTAATATAATTATATATTCGATTCAGCTCTTAACATTTATTATTACATCACAATATGTTTAATTTTTATTTCAGGTCAACGGCACGCGCGTAACTCATTGCACTCATATTGATGTAGTCAATCTAATCAAATGTAAGTTTGTCTTTGTTCATGGCTTCAGATTTTTTTTGCTTCATATTAACAAGAAAAGAAAAGTCAAGTCTGTTTATCAATAACTACTTCATAGCATTCAGATTTGGTAGATAGAATGTTGATGTGTCCGATACGGTCGTTTATTTCTTGTCAAGGGTTTTTTCTTCTTCTTCTGTTTCCCTCGTCTCTCTTGTTTGAACGCGAGAGTAATCATAACGAAAGAGAGGACGTGCAAATGTGTGAAAGATTATCATCAATCGTCAACGTTTGTTGCCGAGTCGATGATGTTCTTCTCTTTCTTCTTCGCTAATGATTGGCGTCGTCGGTGATGCAATAAACTAGTACTCCGGTCTTCACCTCCCTTGAAAATCGTTTACCCAAGGCCCAATATGACAATCGTCATGTTTAAATAAACAAACGAAAGATATGCGCTTGATTGAACGGAAAATCGCTTCCTACATGTGTTTTATGATAGCCGATGGTCGATCGGTATTTCTTGAAGTAGTTTTCACAATGTGTCGGTTATATAGCATCATCTATCGCCGTATGGCTTGTTTATTTTTCTCATTCGTCCTGATTGATCAGACGTTGCCGTTGCCATCATCCTCAAGCAGACAGAAATTTATAGACAACGACCAACTTGATAATCTATTCTCGCTTATATTCTGCCAAACTTGCTGTTGCTGTTGTTATTTGTTCGTGTTTCTCTCGTGTACCATCTCTTAGTTGTCTTGTCTTCTTCTCTCTCATTTCATGTTATATTCTGTTACACTTCAAATCATCCATGTCAACACGATTTCTATTATTGTTTAGCGGTTCCATCAGTCGTTTTTGACATGATACTTTTTGACCGGTGGCATTTCTTTCATCAATTCCGCCTCTCGTAGCTTGGCTCTAATACGACGATATATATAATCATTTATTAGTGCCACTTTTCTCGGTAGCATATTTTTTTATAGTGCAAAAAAAAAAGAAGAAATCGTATTCGTATCTATTTGCTACTACAATTATTACTAAGTGATAGATATTAGCCTTTATGATGACTCGACTTATAACCACTTCATAATGATCGATGAGATCTTCAAGAAGAAGAAGAAGAAGAAGAAAAGTCTAAGACAGAATGATAAAGAATGAAAAGAAAGAAAACATGATAATATGTATCAGCATGCAATACATCAGTAAGAAAGACATAAGTCAACGAAGATGAAAAAACGACATTCGTCCTGTATATTACCGATGACGCTCGTCAGTTTTGTTAACCATGCACGTTTATCCGGGGTATTATGCAAGAATCAGCATACAATATTCAAGGAAAACACGTACACAAGAACAAATTCAAATGATGGTTTTTTTTGGTTTATTAATTATTTCCATATTTTTCTTTGCTTGGTTGTTACCAGCATTGCTATTCTTCTTGATCTAATAATCATCATCGAGCTTTTTTGCACTGAAACAAATCTTATCAGAAAAGAAGAGAAAAAAAGAAAGACTGGTAAAACGTTCTAGTTTTCTGTACAAATATACATAATCATCAGTGCGCATAACTTAATCTGAGAGATTCTTCTCTCTTTCTCACTATATGCATACGTACATATATATATATATATATATGTATATATATCGAAAAAAAAAGAAAGAGGTCGGTGCTATCTCTCTTTCTCTCCTGGATTTTCTTCTCGACATCTTCCTCTCATGTAGCATCCTCGTCATATTATTCGTCATTACGGACGATTTCTTTTGTTACTCGCTTATACGTAGTAAAAATTGTACGAGGGCCATCTACTCCGGCACTGTTTTTGTATATTGAAGATTAACAAGCCATCATTCTCAAAATATAACATATACAAACACTAGTAGGTGGTAGCGGCTACTAGTTACCTTCAAGCACAATCATGGCATAATGTTGAACATCATTTATTTTTCCTTTTTTTCTTCTTCTCTCTTTTCATTCTTACACTCTCTATACGTCGTACATACATAGTTCTTTTTTCTCTTCTCATTCTCATACTCACTCTTCCCATTCATACTATTAAAGTACAATGTCGCGCTCATTTCTTTCGTCGTTATATATATATATATATATATATATCACGAGGCAATTGATTGAAAAAAATCATTTGATATTTTTATGTTCATTCGACATCGTTGTGTGATGTGCATGATGCATATTCATTAAGTCTCGTACACACACAAAGGCACATAAACGTTTTAGATTTTTGACAAACTATATGAGGTGATAATCTGTTCAAAAGAACATAACATGGCCACCGCCATATCGGTGAGAATACCAGCTGGTAAACTAGGTACAGTTCGTGTTGATCGAACTATCGATGTTTATCCAGCTTCGATCATCAATGATAACGATAATTTTAATTCGAATTCTGCTACACCATGTATTCCAACGTTGGCATCGCATCGTCAATTAACAAAAACAACTGTAACAGCAACTCCCATACCATTAATCATTGCTCATAGTGAACAAGAACAACAACAACAACTACACAGTTTTGTACCTATTACGAAATGGGTCGATCATCCAAATGGGAATAATAGCAATAAAAAAAATAATCTCGATGATGAACAAATGTCTGATATAGCCGTTATATATTCATTAGTTCGGCATGCATCAAATCATCGAACATCATCATTAACATCATCACCGAAAATAATTGTTTCACCAATATCAGTAAATACTAATAATATTAATAATGATAATAGTAACAGTATTTCACGTTCGTTTATAAATAAAAATTATACATTAGAAGCTCCGTTGACACCCGTTGTTACACATACATCGAAACAGGCACAAATAAAAACATTATCATCAACACGTACAATAGCTGCTAGTTTTACTCCAGCATCAACATCAGCTCCAACTTCATCTCAATCATATTTACATGCAAGTCTAACACCACCACTTGTACCATCATCCGTGCGTATACAAGCATCAACATCATTTACATCACATGATCGACCAACAGTACCTTCCATTGCAATCAAACCTCGTCCATATTCATTTCGAGCTTTAAATCGTACATCGCATGAGATTAAAAAAATACAAACGAATAATACTAATGACAATAACAATACTACTACTAATAGTAATAATAATACGTCTCAAACAATACGTTCACGTCGTTCATTTCGAACAGCACCACGTAATGCTATTGAACGACAAATATCGAATATAACAGGACGTGTATCACAATTACACGATTCATTTCTTGCGCGTCTATCAGATTTAACATCGAGTACAAATAGTCGTCAACGAAATCGTTCATTAACATCTTTAAATTCGCAAACAGTGAATACAATTAATCTAACTGAAAATGATCTACGTTTAACACAGACTTCATCTAGTACACGTCAACAACGACGTTTAGTTAAACCAAGACCGAAATCGGAAACTTATGATGATCATCACCGTGTCAATGCAGGTAAATAATCTTGCATCATCACATCTATGGGTATTGGTTATCGTTGCACAAAATGTCTTTCTCTGTCTCTCTCTCACTCTTCACTCCTTTCTTTTCTTTTATACACACAATTAGTTAAGAATATGATCATATTTCGGTTCGATCATATTTATGAACAACGTACGATAATAGTGATGATACGTTTTTTTGTTTTTATGTACGTTTGCGTGCGCGATAGACGGACAGATATGTAGTATTAGGGCGAGAAAATGACATTTTAAGATGAAAAGAAATCGATGAAAAGAATATTTGTTGTAGGCAAAAAGCAAGATGTAAAGATTATTGTTTGACCGTGAAAGGAAAAAAAAGAATGATGTAGAGAAACGACATAGACATGATTTACTTGAACAAGGTTATCGAGATGAATATATTTGTCTACTAGTTATAGACATAGAAAATCGATAATTAATTATGTTAATAGAAAATTAATTTAACAAAAACTCTTTATTTTTTTAGCTTTCTGATTATCGTCTTTCCCTATTAGTGTTTGTTGATGTTTCTGAAAGAAAGAAAGAAAGAAGAAAAAAAACTATCTATTCTCAAATTACACACATACTTCTACACAGTTCTAATCATATCTTAATAACTAGTTTTGACTTTATTTTTCCATACACATATATTCTTTCGTGATTGTGACATTCAAAGCATGGCTTTTGGCATTCCGATGTTATCCAAACGTATCATATCATCGTTTGTATGTTGATGGATAACGCTTGTTGAATGTCCTGAAAAAGGAATAAACTCCTATATTCTTTTTTTCTTCTTCGTCTACAATACGCACTCATCAATCTTTGTCATTCGTAGGATATCAAAGAACACAAAAAAGAGGAAGAGAAAGGAATTCTTTCTTTGAAAAAGTACATAAACATGAAGTTTTTCTTTTTGAAATAATTGCTTTCAACACAAAATGCTTTCGTCCTTGTCTAAATCATATTCTTTCATTCCATCAACGATATCCTGTCGTTGTATATTATTATTATGATTATTATTTTTATTATTATTATTCTAACTTGTCGTGCGTTGTATAATGTATAAGCAAATGACGAGACTAATAACAATCAGAAGAGCTGTTTTGAGTAGAGAAGAAGAAGAAGAAAAACTGAAAGATAACAGGATGGCATCCTCCTACACATTTGCGTATTTGATATCATTGATATCAATAGATTATTGAAGAAATGTTGGAGGAAAAACTAGAAAACAAAATGCTTTTATTGCTTGTCTTTAGCGGGTTCTTATGCTCAATTAACTCTTCTTGGTCAACCAAAAGTGAATTCAACATCAACACAAAAAGTAATTCCAGCTGATAATCAAAATGGTCGTGTATCATTTCGAACAAATAATAATCAGACACTATCAGGTCCTGAACGATCAAATAGTACAACAAGTACACATTCATTGTCAACGACAGTTGATATTAAAAAAGTCAAAGAAAATTATGATAGAATTTTTAAACAACTTGAAGTTAGAAATTTTTTTTTATTTATTTCAATGGAAAAAATTTTTTTTTTATTTTTATCTTAAAGAAATCAAAGGCAGATCTTGAACGACAACGAGCTAAAGGTCCAAATCATAATCCGACGAAAGTAGCATTTATTGAAAATCAAACTCGACAATATGAACAACAATTAAATGAACTTAAACGACGTTTAGATCATGTAGAAGTAATGCAAAACATAAAAGAAAACATCTTATTGCTTTTCTATGCATGTGTAGTGCTATTGTAAATACTAACAGTGTGTCATCAACATAGGATTTAATGGCATTCACGTCCGCTGTAACACATTGAGACATCTAATCAATCAGAATGTGTCCTTTTTATAGCGGTACACTGCAAATATTTCAGCGAACACTTGTCTCCACTGCGTATTGAGTCACTTGGAGTTAATAAACTTCACATTGCACATCCTTATTGTTATCTCATTCTTTCTCGAAAACAAATTAAATTAACTTCTTTTTTCGTTTCATTTTGTTTTAGTCATCAGTTGATATTTCACCTGTGAAATCAAGTTTAAATGTTGAAAATCTTGGTAACCAAACGAATTTATCGGTCGAATCATTCAGTCGAACATCCATTGTAAGTTTGAAAATCTCTAAAAAGATGAAAAACATCTCTTAGCTTGGTTATTTTCGTTTGCCTTCTACTAATACTTCCTAAAACTTAATTCTTTTGCCTATTCTCCTCATACATTTCTACAGTTATCCGATGGCACTATCGATAACAAGAAACATAGTTCGTTGTCTGAATCAACCATTTTACAACTAATGACTGCTGCTGTTCCTACAGCACCACCGTCTGCAGTCAGTTCACCAATACAGCATTTAAGACGTAAATTAAATACTGGTAGATCCGAGTTTTATGATTTAACAAAGGTAATCACACTACTAGGATACACATAGGCTTATTTAGGACATCATAAATATTAAAAAATTGATTGATTTAAAAAAAAAAGACAAATAAATTTATTTGAATGATTTTATTTGAAATTCATGCTTCAACCACATGTACATGTATTCATTTGCTAATGCTATTTTAAAATTATTGAAAGTAATGCATCTAAGCTTTTAATCTGTATTTTTATAGTGGTATATCAATAATCAAGTAAGCTACCTAATGTTGTCCTAACTCACTAGTTTGTTTCTTTTTATTGCTTTGCTCTTAAACAAACATAAACTAATATTTTAATAATAGTACATGAATTGAATATTTTTTCTGTACTGTTAGTATGGAGATTCGTCAAATGCAATACAATCAGCAGATGACAAGTATACACGAGTATGGGCATATTTCTATTATAGTTATCAGCCATTTCGTATTATGTTTTTCTTCTTCTTCTTCTTCTTCTCTTAGGATACAACCGATAATGATGATGAAGTTACTGAAGTAAGTTTTTAGTTTAATAACTCAAAATTTTATTTATTTATTCTTTTAATTATTTTTGTTTAGCTACAATCAAAAACATCGATATCATCATTTGAAGATATTCGACTATTCATAAATAAATCTAATTGGGCACCATTGAGTGTTTTTCTTCATTTTCTTCTAACTGATTCGAACAGTGATCCTAATTATTTGGTAAATAATCTTTACGAAGAATGTTTTATTTTTTATTATCGAATTTTTTCATTTAGTTATTCTATATATTAACGGAAGAATTGCGTCCAAAAAAAGCAGAAAATCGAAGCGAATTAGTACGATGGATATTTGAAATTCATTCCACATTCACTATGAATGGCAGCGTAAATATATTTATTAGATACAGGAAAATTTTTTAATATAATTAAAATGTTTTCTTTTTTTGATAGCCCTTGTATATTGGCCTTCCTCAATCACAAACAGATTCAATAAATCGATGTTTAGAAGCTCAACAACAAGATCTAAATGATGATATCAAACTCATATTTAATGACGCAAAAGATTTTGCACGATCAATTATAAGCGATCGACAACTATCTGATTTTAATCATAAACGAACGCTCGGTAATTAGTCTTTGCAATCATGCAAAACGAAACGTTCACATCTCCTTCAGTTCATTTACACTTGAACAAACTACTATGACCTCTTTCTCTCTCCCCCTCTCTCTCTCTATAAGAATAATGATAATATCTTTAAAATAACAAAAGTTAACAATGTTGTCAATGTCATGAAGTTTTCACATCGATGAAAAGATCCCTTGAAAGCTCGATTTGAATTGTAATTTCCTCTTAATGAATTTTTATCATCGATATGCTCATTTGAGCGATGAAATTGTTCTCTTTCGATGTACAAAAAGATGACCTTTTGTGATTGTTTTGTTCAAGGATTCTCTCGATACTTTTGATTTTAACCTACCAACCTTGGCGTAATATCACACGGGAAAGATCAAAATTGAGGAAATTTCGCATAGCGAAAGATTTGATCATCATACGTTTCTGTATTAACGTAACCGATTGTTACTATATTGAGAGTATCGATTGTTTTGCCTGTTAAGCATGAAACTCAATCTTGAATAGAATAGTTTGATAAGTCTATCATTTGATAAAAATCGATTGAGAGTTTTTATACAATCTTAAAGAAACGTTTTTCATTTGTTCGTATATATTCAAGTGTTGAGTTTTTTTTTGAAATTACAGGTGTTTATCGTGATATTGATTTTCCATTAACAACAAAACAAAGTCATTTTATTGAAGAATTATTTCGATCAAAATTTGAATCCTATTATAAAGCAAATACTGATGATTGGAACAGTATAAGAAATTCAAAAGAGTATGTTAAAAATGAATAAAAAAAATCTTTTTTTGTTTTACTAAGTAATTTTGTTTTCAGTCTTGCACTAATATGTTCATTAGCTACATTTTTAAAACGTTGTGATATTAAAAAATGTGGTAACATTCCATTGGAAAAAATTCCAAAATTTCTCGATCGAGAACAAAGACGATTATTATCAAAATTACCACGAGCACCACAAACTAAAAGAGTAGGCTGCTATTAAATTTCTTGAATTACTGAGAAATAAAGATCAATTCTTTGTTTTTTTTGTATCTAGGTTAAAGATCATCAATTAAATGAACATCAATTTTCAATTCAAACTTCATGTAAAGTTTGTTCTAAACCAGTATGGGGAATTAACTATCAAGGATATTTATGTGGATGTAAGTCGTAAAAACAGCAATGTCTATCAGCAAAACAAGCTTTTATTTTTTATATAGATTGTCAACAATCGTTTCATCGTGAATGTTGTTCACTAATCAGTGAAAAATGTTCAAAAGATCGAAAAACAAATAGTATTAACAATCCTATTCAAATGAAACCACGTAAAACACCAAAAAATACCTCAAGTAAGTCTTTTATTTTGTTTTGCAACAGAATCATTCGGATTTCGAAGTAGAGGATTTGAAAAATCAATAAAAATGATATTGCTCAGAACTGAAGGTGGGCAGAATTTCCGTTTGTAATATCCGTAATATTGAATAGACTCTACGATTATTGATTGTTTAATAAAACAAAACAAAAATAGAAAGCTAAACTCTTTCAGAATCGTCATCTCGTTCGCTCTCAGAATCATTTTCAGCTGACAATCTTATACAACCATTATTTGGTGGTATACCCTGTTCATGTACGCAACAACATATGCAACAGCAAGTAGTTTCACCACAACGGGTATTTATACGACGTTCTGTTGGTGGAAGTAGTACATTATTTAACGAAATTATGATGACATATAACGGTACATTGTTCAATACATGTTGTTTTCGTGTTAATTTTGTATAGTACACAACATTCCTAATTCTACGTGTGATGTTTTGTTTATTTGTTTGTCTTTATCACTGTATTAAGTTATTGATTTTGTTTTAAGAACGAGAAAAATAATAAGAGGTTTTAATTTGTTTAGGTCCAACAAGAACTTCGAGTTTAAATGATGGACGAGAAGGAAGTATTCGTAAGTTGAAAAACAAAAAACAGAATTGAATTTATTATTGTCTATTTGAATTGAATGTTTCCTCTTTTAGCAAATGAAAATTATGAAAATGCGTCAGGTACAAATGAAGGAAATGGTGAGAAGAAATTTAGTTTACTTTGCTTTTCAGCAATTTAAAAATGAATTTTTCAGATGTGATCAGTGCAAATCTATTATCAATACAGGAACAGAATAAAAATTCAAAGTAAAACTATTGAAAAACCAATGATAGAATGTAAAATATATTTATTTGAATAGTTTGGGACGACGTTTTAGTGATCGACAAGTAGCGCCTCATCGGCCAGCATCGAAACATCGTTCGAGCAGGTATATAGAAATACTCTTTTTTTCAAATTCATAAATAAAAATATATTGATTTCAGTGAAAGCAACGATAGCGATGAGGGGTATTGCAATAATAATGCTAATTTTGTTCCTCTTAGCACCCCATTTCCGTTTTCATCACTATTTTCATTGATTGCATGAGACTAGTTATAAAAATAGAAACAGGAGAAGAGAATAGTAAATTTCACCAAATGAGTAGTTTTTTTTCTTCTATGCCTAAACGCATGAGCGATTGATCTACTCATTCTAATACAAAAAAGTTAATTGACCGAATTTGACTTTATTTACTCTCATCTTGCTGATCCGTCAGCATGTGCTTTTATTCTCATATTCTTTATCAACAGTAAAGTTGGCAACAACCTGCTTTTTGCTATTGTAATTTAAATGGTGATATGAGAAAAGCGTTTTATTTTTTCAATTCTAGTAATCCGCAAATGGGTGGAAATACAATTGATGAACTTCTTAGTCGCGGTGACAGTGAAGTAACTATTCAACAACAAGATTCAATTAATCAAAAGTAAGTCCATTAAATTCATTATAATCTTACCAAGAGAAAAAAATCGGAGTCTCAAAATCATTAGGTCGCTTATATTTGTTTTAAGGAGTAAAACTTTTTAGTGGAAAAAAATTTTCTTTATTTTTTAAATTCATTATCTAGAACTTTGAAAAAATAGTTGAAAATATTGACGATTAAATCAGGAAAATGTTTTTTGTACAGAAACTAGCTGTATTTTCTATACTTTGAGGTATAAACAGTCCTATGTTAACCAGTATTCATATCTTCGATTTGAACTCAAAATACAAAGTTCTTGTTAACTCCGAAGGACTTTACCAAAAAACGTTCAATTCCTATTGTCTTGATACTAAAGGAAGATCCAAATATTGTGATTCTCATACTTTCTTCTATATACACTTCCAAATTATTATTTCTTAGTGGCGAAAAAATAACGAAAGATCATTAAAACCAATTAGATATCTGTTGGGAGAATTTTTTTTTTACTACGAAATCTTAGCGTTTGAAATTGATATATTTCTTCTTTTTTTCTAAATAATTTTAGATCAAACTCATTTGATACACCAACAATTTCTGAGTCGGCTAATCAACAAACAACAACCTACGGTGACAGTGATCTCGAAGCTGATGTCAATACATTACCAAATTTGAGTGATTTTATTCCAAACGATGTTCTTCAATTGCTCTATCAATCACGTGAATGGAAATTACAAACTACAATAAACGAATTAATTCATACGGAACGGACACATCTAAAAGGCTTAAAAATAATGAAAAAATGTTTTCGAGAACCAATGGAACGTTTTCCTGGAATGAGTCCTGTTGAACTTGACTGTATATTTCGAAACCTTGATCAACTTATCGATTTACATAGTAAGATAAAAGATTCCGCAAAAAAGACAGCAACTAATAATCATCATTCTGTACTTTCTAGCTCAATTTAAATATGCGTTACGTCAGCATCGTGAAGAAGCAAAAGATCATGTTGTTCGTCATATTGGCGATTTGATTCTTAGATTTGTAAGAGCATTTTAATTTTTTTTTGTAAATAAAACAAATAAACATAATTTCTCTTTAGCTTGACGGCGACAAGGGTGAACAATTTGCTCGTGCCTGTGCTTATTTTATTGAAGATCAATCTCAAGCATTGAAATTAATTAAAAAGAAAGAACAATCAGCAGATTTTGCAGCACTGATGCGAGTAAGTTTAGCGCTGAGTGTTAAAGTATTGTATTCTTAGAAGCAATTCGATCATATTCCATATTTTACTCAGACAGTAATGGCACTAGCAAGTTTATTTTAGCCTGCATACATTTAGAAGGCTCAACCCTGAAATTCTTTACTTTTACCTCATTTCTATTTTATTAATCCATTGAAAATGACTATGCATTAAGGTCGCGAACCCTACTCACAGTTTGATTTATGGCTATTTCAAACTTTTCTTTTCTTTTTTTCTTGGGTATCATAAAACATATTCTTTTTTTAGGTGTGTGAAGCAAATACTTTGTGTCGTCGTTTAACATTGAAAGATTATTTACCGTCTGTTATGACACGATTTACAAAATTAAAAATGCTATTTGAAGCAATGAAAAAATTTGTTTCCGATGATGAAATCGAAAGTGAAAAATTAAGTAAATGTGTTGACTGTGCTGATAGTATATTAAAGCGTATGAATTATGCACGTTTGAAAAAAGAACAGGAAGCTTTATTAAAACAAATTAAATCAAATCTTGAAATCCAAATACCAAATGATGATAAATCAATTAATTTACAAAATCTTCATGTAAGCACGAAACAAAAATAGAAATTCGTAAAATCTATTTAAATATTTTATAGGATTGTCTTGAAGTGACCAACAATCGTCTAATCTATTCGGGTACATTAAAACTATTACCTGATACAACAACACAAAAAACTGAATTCGAATGTTGTCTTTTCACGGATGTATTTGTTTTCTTTCAAAAAATTCCAATGCAACCAACAGAACAACGAGGCATTGATGAACCATATCGTTATGTTTTAAAAGAACATCAACGTGATGCTAACATTGGCCGTCACACGCGACCACGAGCAGCTGTACCTGGGGCAAGATATACTGCAACACAAAATTTTATTCTAACACCAGTTATCCGATTGGAACATTTATTGATCAAGAAAAAAGCATGTGGAGGTAATTACATTTCAAGTACAATGATTAGATATTTCTTAGTTTTTAAAATGCTATTCTACAAAAATTCAAAGCATTTTCAAATATTGACATATAAGACTGAATATTATAGGGGTATATAGAAATTTTTCTTTCACAAATTATGTTTGTTTGCTTAGAAAAAAAAACAAATCCTCGCTTGTATGATTTTCGACAAAAAGGGTTGAACCATATATTAGTTTATAGTTGAAAACTATTGAAAATATTCAGATAAAATACTATTGAAAATGAAAGATGATTGAAGTTTTTGGATTATTTCTATTTTGCTATGCAAAACATATATTATCTGTTTTAGGCGCTCGTTCTTTTTATGTCATTGATACTGATAAGAAACAATTGATTGAAGTTGAAGCCAATTCTAAAGATGATCTTGAAAAGTAAATCGAATATTTCTTTTCTTGCATTCTAAATCATCAACATCGTCATTCTTTTTCGTATTTAGATGGCTAGAATGGATTGAAAAAGGTCGAAAACCATTTGAAAAATCCAAATCAGTTACTTCATCAGCAAGTGAAAAGAGTTTAAGCCCATCTCTTACTTCACAATCTACAGTTGCATTACAACCATCAAAATCAACAACTAGGTAAATAAAAAAAAAACCTTTTTCCGTAAGGCCAATGCATTTCATGACGCACTATGTATGTGAATGCTAATAAGTACTTCAGTTATGATCAAACATTTTCAGGGGCATATTAGATAAATCTGAGATATAGTACTTCAAATACATCTATTTTTCATCTTCGAATATAGCTTTCAAGTCTTTGATGGATACGACGTCTATCAGACGAGTTTCTTGGATGTGTGCTTTTAACGAGAGCCTGTGACAAAAATAAAACGTGCAGCTAAAAAATTACTTGAACAATTTTACCCAAACCCTATGGCATTTGCTATTTATAAAATGATCACATCACGTGATTAAGTGCAACAATAATAAAGACATCTGTCCTAGAATAGATTTCTCTATGATTAGCAACAGTAGCTAGTTCCTGTTCTACTTATTTTATTCCGGTGGGATTGCACTAATGATTTTTTTCTTCTAAATTACAGATCAGCAATAATCGAAGAACAAGAAAATATTCAATTAGTTGAACCAAATCAAGTTAAAATAATAGAAAAACAAACGTTAATTGAAGATACACCAGACTCATTGTTCAATGCAATTCTTGAGAAAGACAAAGAATTGAAACGTTTATTGCATGAAAAAGAAATGCTTCTTTCACGTCTTCTCAACATTCCTGAAAGTAAAATTAATGATATGCCAGGAAATGTAAGAATCGATTTAACAAAAACTGTAATTCTATTCTAATTCTATTCTATTAAATATAGATTGCATCAGTACACAAAATGAAACCAAATTCATCGTTAGAAGCCATTACAAATGCTGCTAGCTATCGTAAGAAAATATTTTTTTGTTTGCGTTCTGTTTAATAAAAAAGCATTTTTAATATTGATTTAGATAATCAATTAGTACAAGCAGTAAGTCAAAGACAAAATCGAGCAGCAGAAGAAAAGAAAATTTCAGCAATTGAAGTTCAATCATTTTGGACACCATTAACTCAACTTGGTGAACAGCTAACTTTAGCTTTGGTACGTTTTTATTAATGAAAACACGAAGAAAATAATCGAAATTTCTGTTTTTTTTGTAATTTTGTTTAGAAATTAACAAATCAACAAAAAAATGATGGCCCTCAAATACGTGAATATCGTGTACAAATTTCAGATACTGAAAATCCAGTTTTGCGACGAAATAGTAATTCAACTAGTACAATTAATATAACGCCTTCAATGCTTAGTGGAACATCTCAAACATATTCGGATCTAAAAGACTCGATATCTTTGTCATCTCTACATTCATCTGAGTCACTTGGCTCAGTTAGAACACCATCACAAGCGCAAACATTTCATGATATGACTCAATTCGAACGACGATCACCTTTAGTTAATGAACAACTATCGTCTATAACAGATTTAGATGAAACAATGAAATCTCCACCACTAAAATCGAAATTACAGCAATTACATATGGCAACAGAAGTTATTGAACGTTACGATGAAGGAGTATTTGATGATGGTAACGGAAGTCCAACAGAAGAAGATGAAAACAATAGTGCTGCTGCTGCTGATAGTGATGATGAAGATGAAATTGAACATTTTGATTCTACTGATAGTATTATTGCATCTGTTGATACTGCTCCACAACAATCGAACAATTATTTATTACAAACAAATAATGTTCAAACGAATTTAGATAATTCAACAGAAGCTCAAACAGTTGACTTAGGTAAAAATTATTACTCAGACAGAAAAATCTATCAATTGTAATTCGACTATTAGAACTTTGATTGTATGTTTATTTCAAAACGTTTCAAAGTAGGTATTTCAAAGGATCGCATTAGAATCGCTTGCCATTAACTGCTAACTTTCTCCCAATAGATACTTATAGTAGAAAATAAAGTTTCAGATAAGATAACCGATTTCATATTATTTAAAACGCTTCAAGTTCGCACAGGAAATAATCTATTAGATCTCAGTGACATAAATCTTAGTATCTATGTGAGAAAATTCCAACCTGATCAAACAGATTTGGAAAAATATTGTCAATGAATTCTTTGCGGATGTATGAAGAACTGTTCTTTTTTCTTTCGAGAACGAGTATCTCGTAAGTTTAGATGCTTTCATTCCGATACAAAGTTCACAATAATTAATCATAGTTTCGTTTTTTAGTAGGTCAGACATAGTCAAAAGTACATCGTTAAAAGATATCGTCAATACATAAGCGATGTTTATCAGCTTATGAAGAAAATTTATAATAAGAGTACATTATTCGAAGTGTTAATGATCTGCTAGCAGATTAGTAGGTCGTATCGTATAAGTTGATTGATGACTATTGAATATACTACACACAGGATTCGAAATACTAGAAATTCCTTTCTCTTTTTTTTTGTCTTGATTGTTATATTAGATTATTTTTGCTCAATAGGCAATATTTCTTTCCTAACAATGTAGATTCCTAAAACAAAATATTCTTCGCTATACTCAAGCATCTAGCAATAGCTTTTTTTTTAGATCTATACAGTTTGATAAAAAAAAAAGAATTTTGTATTTATGTATTTTTAGACATGTATGAAGAAGAAGTTTATGACAATGTAAAATCTAATGATTCTTCAATGAATAATGTTAATGACAAACCAGCAATACGCAATGTCAGCGATGCATAAATGTTTGTTGTTATTTATAATGAATGATGATTTATTTCTTATTCTTTTGGTGCTCTTTTTTTTGCCATGATTAATCGTCTGATTTTCATTTTTCTGGTTTGTTTCTCGAAACTCTATGCACATTGATTAGACATTCATTTTGATTACATATATATACACTTATATATATATATATATATATATATTTACACATAAATACGCTATGTTGGCCTGTTTTTAATATGCTTTTTAACAAAAAAAAAACATTTTTTTTTCATTTCTTATTATTATTGTCCACCGCGAAACCATCCAGATCAAAAAATCAATTAGGTTCTGTGCTAAATATTCTGCTTTTTTGTTAACTGAGAAAAAAACACAACAAAAATATGTTTCAAATTTTTTTGTGTATTTTTTGCGCGTTTGCTTGTCCGTTTTGTTTTTCTTTTGTGTACAGTTTCTTTTCGTTTGTTTTTCTTGCTGGTTGGCAGCTATGCGCATCTTCTTTCTTTCTACTTTTACTCGCAACGAACCTTTTGTGCGGATTCTCGTTCTCTCTGTACACATACGGTGTGTGAGAATGTTGATTATTTTGTTTTTACTTTGTTCTCGGTCTCTCTTTTACAAATGGCGGATTGCTGAATGTGTCTTTTTTTCTCTCTTGAAGTATACATATATATTTTTTGCTTGTTGCTGCCTTCCACTTTGTCATCAACAGAAAAAAATAAAAGTCAATAAGTAGCGAATCATTTTCAGGCGATCAAAATTTATTAAACGAGTTAAATATGGAACATTAACAAACGGAGAAAATAAAATAAAGTTATTTGTATTTGGAAGACCAAGCAGAAAAGTCTGTTTAGAATTCTGTACAGAGAAATCACGGGGACAAAAAGAAAACGTATCAAGATGGCTGACAACTTTTCACATTCAGATAACCTTGATAGTACACTATTTCTTTATCATCAGTCACGTTTACTGCTGCTGAATATAATAAGAACAAGAAGATTTAGAAGTGTTTCATTCGGATACTGAGTATCTAACTAAAATTATGATTGTGATATGAACGATCAATGAAGTTCTTCTCTGTCAAATACATAAGATTTCAAGGTTGTTTTTAAGTTGAGATGCATACAACAAGCTCAATTGAGAAAATAAACAATTTCAAACATAATGAGAAACTATCTCAGTTCTTACGACTACTCCTCATTAAGAAACACGCACAATAGGAAATAAAAACAATCGAACTTTAGCGTTAAACGGTGCATTTTTTAATGATGTTTTCAACGAACGACAGTAAATAATATAATCACGCTTTATTGTCTGCAGAACTCGATAGTTTTTCACACAAAACAACAATAAGATCGTTGAAGCCTTCAAAACTAACTGATTTTTAAACAATACTTTACTGTAACTATGAAATATTTATGAACTTGTCATGTAGAAGAGAACTTTATTGACTAGCCATATCATCAGTTAAATTTCAGTAAGGAACTCAGTATCCGAAGTAAAAATCAACATTTACCTTATTCTCATAATTTTGAGCATGTATCGAAGTTGGAATGGATTGAAATGAGATGAGGACATTTATTCAGTTAGAATCTCTCTGTTTTACACACACATTGAGAAAGCAAAAAAATAAAGAATTTTTATTGTTTTTTTTATCGGACCATTGGTTTTTGTCGACTACCATTCACAGATATTGGTGGTGTCGATTGTTGGTCTTCATCATATGTTCCTCTATGATACGATCCACTATTGTGTATAACTGTTGTTGATGGGGATTGTTTCCACGGTCCTTGGGCTGCTGCTGCATCGAAAATATGCTATAAAAAATATATAATTTCGAAAAAGAAAATATAGTGACAGCCTTTTGTAAAACAAACAACTTACACGTCGATTTGTTCGCATTTGAGCTTGTCGAAAAGGCATACTATCAAGATCGGAAAGTAATAATTCTTTTTGCATACGTTCAAATCTTTCAGCTGCATCATCATAAACTTGATAATCATTATTATTTTTATTTGACGTTAATAAATCATCCATAGCACCGGTATTATTTCCACTTACGTAGCATTCTCTATACCATACATCGAATTCTAAATGAATATAAAAGCGAATGGGAAAAATTTCAGACTAGTCTCTTTTTACCTTGAAGAAGTCGATTTTGACATTGATTGACCAAGTTTTGACAATATGTGATTTCGGATTTCAGATTCTTCCATTGATCGTAATCGGTACGATAGATGCCTTTAAGTTCTTGAAGTTTTGCAATCAATTCATATTCTTCTTCGTCAATTATTGTCTCACCATTTTCATTTAGAAACTCACCTTTTAATGAAAAGAAAAAAGTTCAGCGACTAAAGAACAAAAAATAGAAATCAAACCAATTCTTTACCCATTGTTAATCGCTCATTCTTTTTACGTTCAGCTGCAATACGTGTTTTATCAATTTCAGCTTTAGCTTGATTAACACGTCGTGCTAGTTCAGCAAATTGTTTCTTCTTTACTGCCATGATGTCTTTATTCTCGATATAAATTTTATTTAAATTTACACCTCGAGTTTGTTTGAATTCTTCAAAGGCAGCAGTTCGACCCGGTGGAGCACTATATGTAAATTTAATAAAAGAAAACATGATTATGCATGTTTGACATAATAATTTACTGGAGTCCTTGATCTTTTGTGTCAACCATTTCACTGGGTTCTTTTACACGTGAATATTGTTCATCGTCAGTAGTCATAGTTCGTTGAGGGCCATTACCTGTGGGTTTTAAACCATTAGGAGAAGCTTTGTCTTTAGTACTAATTTAATATTGAATAAATAATCAACTGAAATCAATCGATTTATGTCTTAAAAAAGGAAATTTACTTTATTTGTTGTACTCCAGGTGCTTTCGTTGTTGCAGCAGGAGCAACAGCAGCAGCAGCTGGTTGTCTTTTATTTCGTGTCATTTTCAATAATGCTTCTTTATTTGTTCGTTGATCTTTTGATGCTGTACCCAAACCAAAACTTTGACCATCCAGATCTCCTGCAGTACCGCCTGCACCGGTCAGACCTGGATTCGTGCCAAACATCTGAAGAATCAATAGCAATATTTTAATGCATATCAATAAAACGATGATAATCAATAGTTATGGCTTCGGGAACAATGATTTGTGTCGCATATGATAGTTATATTGATTCTTCAAATGAATATATTTCTTTCTGTCCTAAAGTCCATTAATTCACAATCTCAAACAGATGCTAAACCAGAGGTGTAGAACTATCATAGACCGCTTATATATATATATATATATATATATATATGTTAAGTCTCGTCCCTAATGACATCTGTAGAGTGTTTAGTAATAGAATGATGAAGGTCTACTCCTCTTATCTATATATACAGAGAGAGAGAGAGTGAAACAGTTTATCTGTTAACAACTGCCGAAGGTATGATATTCAAATAAATCGTCATGTTGCTCTCAACTAGCACATGTATTTTGGTTTTATCGATATAGAAATTTTTTTTTAATTATTGCTTTTATGTTGTCTCAAAAATATAGGAATTTACTTTTTGATTATCTTGCTGTTCATATTCATATTTATCTGCAATAGCACGTCGATCATGTAACTTTTTCTCCACATCTTTTTCTGAGGCTCTAAAAATTAATCAATATTTTAGTTTTAATCTTTTCGTTCAAATTAACCTACCGACAAATATGCCTGAATGCGTTGAACACAGCTATATAGAAGATTAAAAAAAAAGAGTAAATCTATTTTAACTTGTATAAATAAAATAACAACAAACCTTGGACTTGACGAAGATTTTTCACTTCAATGTCATCCAATGTTCCATCAATAAATCGACGACATTGATTTTCAATTTCATATAATTGTTGTTCAGATATAGGCTCATAGGATGTACCATTTCGATTAAGTAATGCATCATGTAATGCTAATTCGTCTCGTAGTTGTTTATTTTCGCGTTTATAATTTTCAAGAGCTTTTACTGGATCAATAACTTCATTTACAGTTGGTTCAGCTGGAACACATGCCATTCGGCTGGCAAAACGAAGTGTTGAAACCTATTCAAGAGAAAAGATCTTCATAGAATAAAATAATTTCTATCATTATCTATACTGTTTCTTCAAGATGCTGCATTTCTGGCCAAATATTTGCAATCATCACAGTATTACATCGCCCGCCAATACTATCTTTTAATGTGTGTGTTAATTTTGAGCTACGAAAATTATGAGAATTAGCTTTCTTATCCGTTAAGTTTAGTACAGCTTGTTCAAGAAATGATAATGATTTATTAATGAATGTTGCTTCTCTTTTTGTCACACCTTCAGACTAAAATTTAAATTTAAATAATAATAAATTAATCTTTGAAGAAATCATTTACATTAGTTTTAGCTAAGCGTTCACTGCCAGCTAAATCAACAAGATTCAATTTTGATATTGTATATTTTTCATCGGATGATAAAATAGATCGACATTCAATAAGAACTGTAAATATACAATGTGACCGAGATGATTGCTTATTAAGTACATGTTGACCTATAGCGCGATTTGTTTCGCCTTCAAAGAGTAAATTCAATGCTTCTTCTTCACTGTTGGCAATACGATAAGATAATCCTTTTATATAAACTAGACCCGAGTCTTCACCAATCGATAATTGTTGTAATTGTTGTTGATAATCCGATTGTGAATTTAATGTGCGAAGTAAATCACACATTTGATCGTTATAGATCTCAAGATAGGCGATGCTTAAAAATAAAAATTGAAAACATAGTTGATGTAATTGTTCATAAATGTGATTTTCATTACCGAACAGAATACGAATAATCTTGCCGAGCATTAATTTCTTGATAGAGATGTTGTAGACTACGTGGTATAATGCCACGATTTTGGTAACTTTCAGTAAAACCAGTCATCGTATGAGTTTTTCCAGCTCCCGTCTGGCCATAACACAATATTGTTCCTAGAATGTTTCGATCCATGAAAAGAAAAATATCTATGCGTTTTATAGAACAAACCATTGTAACCATCTAGTGAACGATCGACAACATCTTTTGCAACCGAATCAAAAATAACTTCTTGACCAACATTATTAAATAGCCCGTCAAAATGAAATGCCCAATCATTGATTTTATTATCAACCACACTTGCTGATGGTGTTCGATGAATAGTAATTGTCTATAAAAGATTTAAAAATACGTTTTTACTAGTTTCGAAAAAAAGATCATTCAATAAATAACTAACGCGATTATCTCGGCCGATTCCAATCATGTCCGATGCAAAATTATTTGTAGGACGAGATCGAATATAGACTTTGACTTTATTTGATGTTCTTGGTGGCATATTTGAAAGTTTTTGCTTTTTTTTCTGTAATTAAAAACTTATTTCTATAGAAACTAAATAAACGCTTATATCTTACATTTTATTTATATTTCTAAGGTTCGTTTTTTAAGTTTAATTGAAACACAATTACTCATGAATCAATACGATGGAAGAATGTATCTATCTAGAATAAGACGAAGTCGAAATAGATTAGAACATATCAATATAAATGGAAATGGGAACGGCTCGATTCGATTACCTGATAATTCTACGATGAAATCTGATGAATTACGACGTTATTGTCGAAATTATGTTCGTTTTCGTGAGAGTTCATCACGTTCGCGGTCACGTAACAGTTCGAAAATTTATTCTCGGCGATCTTCAATTGATTATCGAAAAAATCTAATCCTACTAGTTTTACAAATCATTGCTTTATTACATCTATGTTCAGTCATTTATTTTCATAACAAATCCTCATCGTTTACTGTCAAATATACAATAATAACAATCATTCTTTTCAATATTTTAACGTATGGCTGTGTTAAATATGACACACAACAAGTAGAACACGGAGGACTACTATTAGGCGAAAGCTCACTTCTATTTCTACTTTGGTATGGAGGAATCATTGGTGGAGGACTTGCATTACTTATCGAAAAACATAAACATCTTCGAAGTCAAACATTTACCTTTCGACTAAAACTATTATGTGCATTCAATGGTACCTGGCTTTTTATTGCCTATATTTTATACATGTATCGCAATGGATTCCTATTCGTAGAAGCTTCTGGTGCGTTCTTTTCTCTTTTTGAAGCCCTGCATTAGTCGTGATAATAGATGACATTAAAAATAACGAAACTATAGAAACTCCTTGTTGAGTAAATAAAAAGAAAAAAGAGCTCACAAAGATGTCGCAGTTGGAAGGCTGTTAGAAAATTTATTTGATACTGAACTGGAAAAAAAATCAATCGAATTCATCAAGTTTCATAGTGTCAAACATATATGATGCTTTAAAATATACATATTATTATGATTGCTTTTGTTTTTGCCTTACAGAATTCTAATGAAGGAAAGAAAACGTCCATCTTCCAGAAAAAGAAACATGTATTGAATTACTATGGGCAAATAGAGTGACTATTCGATCTGCTATACACATGCGTATCTGACTGCATGAATTCTTCTGCTCGACTGTGTCTGACGTTTTTTCTTCTCATATACTATTCTATTGCTGTAGTATAATCTGAGAATAACTTTATATGGATGTATCGTTATCTTCATACACTGAATTTCTATGATATCATCTGGCTTGCAATAAAATGGGGAAAAAAACAATTCTCTTTCAAAAAATATCAGACGCATCCCTGACGAAAGAAAGAATATTTCATCGAATGTCAAAAAACTGAAGAAAAAATTGTTCTTAACATCTAGTTAAATTAATGAAAAAGGATATTTTATTATGATCTTGAATTTAAATCTAATCTACAAATTATCTTTCCGCTTCTGAATGTTTGCGAGCGTTTGAACAATTTTTTAGTTTGATAATAAGCTTTTTTTTATTGGAAAAGACCTCTCAAAACCTACTATTTATGCTAAAAAGCATACATACTAGGCGTCAACAAAATAGTGTAAGACCAATTTCTCATCGTTGGCATATCATGCTGTGTGTAACTACAAGAAAATATACTTTTATTTCTACTTGCAGACATTGTGAAAAACTCTTTGTTATATTGAAAACATTTTCTATGCATAAGTTACAGTTTGAATACTTCTTCGATTAATTGCACATTCAAAAACAAATTGTTTATTTTTAATCACAAAAAATTTCTCGTCTACTGCTTTAAATTACATGGTGACAACGAAACCATAATTATTTATTGTTTTCTTTTCTATGTTAATACTTGACAATGTAGAGGAAATACATGCTTCGCTAGTTCTTTTCGAAGTGAGAATAAAAGATTTGAATTGTTGAAAGTTTAAGAAAGACTGCTGTCCATATGAACGCAACTTGTTTCCGATTCGTTTACTACAAGTAGTACTAATTCTTCATTAAAATCTGTGTCTAAATATTATCATGAGCTTCTTGTTTAATTTTTAGATTAGTTGTTTGTGTTAAAAGTTCAATCGCTCGAGCATTGAACAATCAAACAACAGGAATAAAATCATATAAAAACATACAATTGAACCGTTAAGAGCAGAGCCAAGAGGTTAAAGTAAACTATAAATAGAATTTCTCATATTATTATCATTGAGTATTGTTCGTTGGCACTAAACATTTTGACAATACCGTTGTCTTGTCATTTCTTTCAAAAAAATATTTTCCACTCAATCAATTAATTTTATTCTGTTGATTGCTATAATAATACATTTAAGAAAAAACAAACGAGTTGATATTGAATTCAACTCTTTTCCTATAAAATGATTCTGGTTTTGTAAAATCTTCTGCAATACCATCTGTATTCGTGTTATATATTTTGATGAAACAAACTATATTTAGAAATGAATGAATGTGTTCATCATGTCGTTTTCAATATTTCTCATTTTGAACAAGTCTTGAATGACTCCCGGGCGATTAGTGATAGTTAGTTCTCCTGTTCGATAATGCCAGGTTTATCGCAGGTAATCTGTGTATAGACGAAATAATATTTGAAAATCGTTTGGATGATTTATAAGTATCAGAATACAACGAAATTGGTTTTAGTCTTTAGTCCAATCAGCAATGTAAAAATCAGCTAAAATATTAATGACCAGAATGAAGTTGTGCACACCGTTGTCTGTCACCTACATGACATGACTCGTTGAGCCATACAATAATAGTGCAAGCGTGCGCATACAAAATGGTTCAAGCAGAAACTTTGCATGATGGCAATAAGATCTATGTGCCTTACAAAATGCTGACTATTCTTCCATTACCCTAATAGTGAAGAGAGAATTCAGTTAAATACTAACGTATGAAAATGGATGATTGTAATCATTCAGAATCATTCCACCTTTTTTTTCTTGTAGATTTTTAAAACGCCTGATCCGTAGACCGAAAACATTCTGTGACATAGAATACTTTATACACACGAAATGAGGCATTTGACAAACAATCACTGATATATTTCTTGAGTTGTTATACTTTACGGAACGATAGATAAATTTACAATATATTATGTTGTTAGTCTAAGAGTATGATTTAGAAAGATTATGTTGACCCTAGAAATAAGTACCGAATGTGATTATAAAACTGAAATGATGAACTAAATAAAGTATCTTGAAATATCAGTATGATTATTTCTAACTTTATCAGGAGCATAAGGATCTGATGAAGCAAAAATATAAGAGTTTACTGTCCTCTATAGAGTTACTGGTTTTTCTTAATTAATACTTTCACAGTCATCAAGAATAAGACAAACCATTTTCAGAAGAATGAAGAAAGTTAATTATTTTTCTTTAAAAAAATTATAAGGAAAATATTTCGAGAGACAATCAACAATTTGATTATAACACTCATGCAAATTATTTTTGATTAAACTTCCTTTTTTCATGCTGCTCATCTGAGAGAGAGAGAGAGAGAGAGAGAGAGAAAAATAGCTCTAGCATATTGTAAGGGCATTTTTTGCTGTTGATTCTAAATAACAATAGTCAATCAAGATGAATATCTGCATGTGATCATCTGCTAGTATACTTTATTCATCCATAATTAAGGTGTTTTGTTGAAGGTCTCTCGGAGTATTCAACCAGAAGAAACATCACTTCTTTCACCATTTGCATGCAAGAGGGATAATTGATTAGTAATCGTCGGTGGAACAATCAGATGATGCATAGTGTTCAGAAATTAGTTGTTTGCCAACAAGGAAGCAAACGAAAGCCAATTGTGAATTCAGCATACGAAAATTTCAACCTTTCAGTCGAAAAACAAATAGGTTGACCCGGAGTGCCCTGAACCAAATTAATTTTCTCAGTACAATCTAATTTGTGGTTGACAGTTTTCCAGTCATTTCGCTGGTTATTCATTGAATATTAATTTTTACCCAAAGAGAATATATATTCCCACGGCTATTAGAATAAAGAAAATTCAATGAACTATTCAGATCATCTGAGATCAGCAATGGATGTATGTGTACATTATTGTAGTATTGCCGATACTAACTGGTCGATAGATGATAAATGATAGGGATAATTAAAGAAATTTTCACTCGTACTAATCAATTTTTTTGTGAATTTTTTCAAAAATCAATTATTCATGAAGCAGTTAATGAATAATTTGTAAGCTATTACGGAACTCATTGATTGATACATACGTATCAATGGCAAATCTACCATGATAATTAAACTGCATTCAGTTTCCAGCCCAAAATATTTTTCCACAATTTTGTATTTTTCTAAAAACGCATTATTATAAATAATAAATTCAGTGTGAACGAACATCATTAATATTTCACTCGCGTTTCCATGCGAATAAAAAAGTTTATTAGATATATATACGCTATTAAGAAAACAAAAATTGAAAAATAGCGTTATAATACTGAAAATTAGTCGTTTTCAAATATGATTTCGTTTTCCGTAATGATATTATCTAGGAAATAAAATAAACATATGTCATTCACAACACTGCAATGATCAAAAACTAGTACTTCGTGAAAAACAAAAAAAGCATACCGACAGCATCCAACAATATTTCCTAATTTTTCGTGCTTGCCAACTAAATCAGTACGAAGAGAAAAAAACTAAACAATCATTTCCATAAATTTTGCATGAATTTATTTGCTTTTATTCTGCTCATAAGTTGTTGTGCTAATTAACTATTCTGTATTTGAGTAAACACCGACTATTATTTTTATATCAGGATAATGTCATACTATTCTTTATCATATTAAGTAATTCTTATAATAATGTTATCGTTTCATTTCAATAATGAAATGGAGCTTTCTGTTCTATATCTTAAACAATTATCCAATACTGGTACAGAGAAGTATTAAATTGACGTTACGATCAGGGATGTGCCGAAAGGAAAAAAGTGGGGGGGTTCAACGTATAGAATCCTGTACTCCCCCTCAGGATAGTTTGTAATATCCAGATTTTATAGTAAAAGTTCTACAACAATTTTGCTAAAGAAACCACTACTTTTCAAAAGTGGGGGGGTTCAGACCCCCCCTGTAACTCCCATGGGTACATCCCTGGTTACGATAACTCATAATATTCAAGTACTGGTACATGGCTCATATTTCTTAAATAAGATTAGTATGCAAACAAAATGAATGATTCTAAAAAATGCGAAAAAAGCATAAAAATCTGAATCTATGATTTGTGTCTTTCAACCTTTGAATCTCTTATTAGTTAACTTCAATCGATCTGATGTACTTCTACTGATTTGCGCACACGAATGTCTCAGTTCAAGTTAGTTTTCTCTTGAATATAGTAAATTTCAATAAAAATATAGAAAATGTTTTTGAAATGCCTGGTAAATGGTTTAGCAAGATGCATGTTTGGCATTGTTTCTCTAGATAAATTCAACATGAAGTTGTATCTTGGTAGTTGAGATTGATGTGTGTGTGCTGTTGGCGTGTGCAAGAATGTTTATTTTGATCGATGCCAGTTGTATGGCCGGTGTACACGAGACGAAATAAATTTCTTATTTTTGTATACAAATTAATAATACTAAGTAAAACAAAAGTGAAGATAAAATTTTATACTCAATAATTACTATGTTTACAAAATAAATTAAATTTTTTTTCAACATTAAAACTAAATTATGAGTTACTAGTTTAATTTATTAACTTCAAATATGTGTCAATTCCTTCAGTAAAGTATAATTATGTCAGCAGCTATTGTTGCTTTATTTTGCTATGAAAACATTTTCGGTGTTATTTGAGGAAGAGTTCTTCATACTTAAAATGGATGAAAGTGTGACTGTATCTATTGAACAACAATGGCATTCGCGCCATCAAAGAGCCACCTGCTGCTAAAAATGCCAACATTAGTGAAAACAGACGCCCTTGCGAACCATCAAAATGCAACAAAGAAAAAGGAAGAAGTATCACTGATACAATAGACTTCTGTTAATTGTAATTATACTATTTTTAATGACACAGACTAAGGAAGACTTCAAAAAAACAACACGAATGAAAAATAATTCATATTTTCATATTAATAACCAGAGCTTTACAAAGTCTTTTATATACTAAAACAAAAAATTTCCTTTGACTAGAACCTACTGAGCGTACAAGGATGGAATACTCAGTCGTGCCCCTCAAGATTATTATAAATACTTTATTTCTATTCGTTTAGACTGTTACATGGTGTTCGATCTTTAACTATTTCATTTTGTATAGTATTTTTAAAGCAATAACGACAATAACACATTATTTATTGATATACAAGCAAATTCAAAGTCGTGTACTATATGCTGCTGTTTTCTCATTCAATATTCAATGCCAATTGAAGAAAAATCAAAGTTAAATAATAGTTTCTTTCCTACTTATTTGGTTTCTTTTCCGCTGGAAAGAAAAGCCAAAATCTTCTACCCTTGACGCTTGTGTCTTTTCCTCTCCCTTCCGTTCGGTCGTTTCCTCTACATTTGACATGAAATACAGAACGGAGATGAAGACCACAAGATGTCATTTAAAATGTAGAAGGGAAAAAAAGGAGAAAAAAAGCACAGGATCCGCTTTTTTTCTTATTTCTTCTCGTATTTCCTTTTATTCATAACGTTAGCGTTCATATAACATCAGCGTTTTTCCTTTTAGTATACTCTGGGATAAGCTTTTCAAGGTTATAGGATGCGGTGTGCTCTCTAATTCTTCATGCATCAATGTTGAATATCTATTGGATTCAAAAAATGAACCATATTTTCATAATTCTTTTATTAAAATTTTCTCTATGTTTTGTTCAATCACAACAATTTTCAGGTTAGTTCATAGAAGAAAGAAGAAAAAGGCTTAGTAGACCTTAACTATGAATGTGCATTTTTAATTATTTTTCTTTGATTTAGAGGAAAGTCCATATCTAACTATTCGTTTAATGGATATTAAGATTCATGAGGTTGGTTGTTGTTTTAATTTTTTACTTCTCTTGCGATTGTATTTTATTTCTTAGTTGAAACCTGATCTGATAAATAAAATAGAAAAAGTGCTCGACTCTGAATTGAAACATACCGATGAGAAAAAAAGTGTTACATGTAAATCAATGTAAGCAGTCTTCATGGTTGAATTTATTTTTGTTTATTTATTTTTGCCTTATTTTAGTTATTTTGAACAAGACGTAAACTCTCCTACACAGGATGGTCGTTTTCTTGATTTGAGTATTCGAGGCATGTGCTTGGATGAACAAGGCCAACAACATATTGTCGATAAAGATTTAATGACTAGTAAGAATTTAAAAACGCAACACGATAAGTAGCTTTTCTTTTTTTTTTATTATATTTTCTAATTTATAGAGGCTATAATACGAAAAAAAGATCAAGTTAATGCCATAACTCATGCGACTCTTTTTCGCATTGGTAATATACAATTGTATACTCGTAATCGAAATCAACTTAATGTAATAATTATACCTGTATCCATTGGATTTGTTTCATTCTTATTTATTCTTACATTTTCCTTACGTCAGATGAGGTTTATAAAAAAAAAGAAACACTTTTTTTCTTATTTCTTTTATTTTTCTTTTCAATCTAGAGCTAAACAAAAACGTCTGCATATTATAATGGAATTACAGAAGAGAAAAGGTGCTACCACCAAAAAAGCGCCTGTTATACCTAATATTGATCCACTTGCAAATGATAAACAACGTTTATTGCAACTTGATCCAACTGTTGTTGGCAATGTTTCCAATACAATGGGTAGTCCAAAAGAATTCACTATGGAACAACATTCATCTCCAATTCGTTTTAATACCAAAACTGCTGCCGACAATCGCTGCTATCAAGGAACATCATCCCCACCAGTAGTACCATCGAAAGAAAATCGTGCAACATATGCGAATCGTGATAATGAAACATCATTTCAAGCACAACGACCATTAAAGTCTGGCCATGAAAATATGCATATACAATACGAAAAAGAACCACATGCTTCATCGAACCATTCTCAGTATCAATATGAGCCACAATATCCAGATATGATCTCGATGCAGGAACAAAATCCACGAGTTGTCGTTCGATCAATACGAGATGATCCGAACTATCCAACATATCATCAACCACAGCAGTACGAAGATACATCACAAAAATTTGTATCGATTCCAGTACAAGTAGAGCAAAGTTCCTCCTATCAACGATTTGTTTCACCACCTTATCATTCCGATCCTTATTATCCGCAAACAAACTCCTAGATCTAGGTTTAATAATGACCTTGAAAAAACGCAAAATTTCGGATTTTATACGTATTGAGTATATCAAAAACATATGCAATTATTTACCCTTCCAGTACTAGTTTTTTTATTATTAGAAAATAAACTTTTCTTCTAGCACTATATTTAAATGGTGAGCGAGTCAAGCTGAATTTTACAATCTAAGTCGTTTCCTTTTGCTTCAGTTTGTTAATTTTCAGTCATGTGCATAAATCGTTCGACACATTTTTCTGGACGTTTGAAATTTGAGAAAACTCATCAGACAACATGATTATCGAAGGCTATATATTACTCTAAAAATCAGCAGGCGATGAAGTAAGAAGTATTCAATGATAGAAGGAAAAATCAAGGAATTATCGATTCCTGCTTATTACAAGTAATTGTTTTTTAGATATTCTAAAGAATATCACAAGATATTAATTATATTCGATACTCAAAATCACTGTATTACTAAAATTTGAATGAAATTATAGGTAAAAACATGAATCTGTTTAATAGAACATAATCTAATATTTAACCTGAGTATCAACAGAGATTTATTGTTTTTGTTGAATAATATTGACGATTATTTAGATAGAACTATGGTGGTTTTCGGATGCTGCTACAAGTATAAAAATCGACGGATGGTTACAATCTATGGTTTTTTGTTGTTGTTGAAGATAATATCTTACTTTTGAGAGATTCTTATTCATAATGTTAAAGCGCATGTTATTAAATCATTTGCAAGAAACGTGAAAATATTCATGGTTTACTTTACTTGATTTCCCAAGGGCTTCGGTGAAAAAAACGGACTAAAAAATGATTAACGTCAAATTTCCGATAGTTAATTTGATTGTCAACAAAGCTGATAAAGGTGTTATCAAGGTAAGTTATTGAGTACTGAAAGTACTTGATAATAAATCTTCTTTGCATTGAAAATTTATCTCAAGTATTTGTTGATCTCTCGCGTATAATTACAAATCTGAACGATTTCACAAGTGTAAAACACTCGCATAATATGGAAAACAAGTAACAATACATTATTTCTAAAAATAGTTAGACTACTGATAATATCGAAGGACGATGACAAACTCTACAGCTTCGAGAAAAATAACCATTAGAATCACGATTGATTCAAGATGCCAATACGATGGCTATGAGCATAATGAAAAAATGATTTGGTATAATTGTACACACGGGTCATATCCATACATATTTCATCATTTTCTTGGCAAGAAGAAAATGCAGCAATGTTCGTAAAAGAAGAGTAATTACAATCTGTTCTTCAATTCAGATTTATTGTCCTATTTATTACTTCTAAAACAGTAACGAGTCATCGTTACATATAACTAATGACATACATACGGGACTTATTAAATAGCAGTCAGCGAACGAAACTCATATGACTGTTCTTTTAATAAGTAGTTACATAAAGATCTTGGAACAACTCTCTTTTTCTGATACGAATCTATATTCGACATATTCAGGTTTATCAATGTTCCAACTACAAAATATACTGACGAATATTGACAACTTTCATCGATTGTCTTAGAAACAATTAAACTTTAAACACCTCAAGATATCACTAAATCTGTAGTTCATCATTAAATCAGAAGTCTTAAACTACATGAGTTAAAACGTGAGATTGTAACCGTTACGATTGGAATTTTTTCACTTTTTTGTAATTATACGATACTTTTATTTATCTCTTATACAAGCGATATAAAATACTTCATTGTAGACAAAAGAATTCTGAAAGTCAAATTTGATATCGAAGCTAATTCTCACTGTAAGATGAAGTAGGTTAATTCGTGATTACAAACTTAGATTTCGACTTGTCCAAATGAGTATTTTCTATGCTCCGAAATATGTTCAATTCTCATTGAAATTAAAATTTTCAAATGTTAAGAATAATACTAGAAAAGTGTCGTTATCCAGATTTGAAAACTTGATCTCATTCTATTATATTTTCAATAGTAATCAAATACTTTTACATATTTTAGATGAAGCTTGTAGTTTTCTTCGCTCAATACAATCCATAAGAAACACTCGTCACTTTGCAATCGTTTTCGAATATTATTTTTCCTTTTAACTAACTAACCAAAAATATTAACAAAAACAATTATCAATATTATGAAGGCTTCTTGTAGGCATTTCACAGATGTTTTTTTCTAACATCTGTAGAAGAATATTAAAATTGTAAAGTTAAAAATTTCTCTTTCAAACTGTTTGATATTCAATTTTGATTAGAACGATGTGTCTAATTTTTAAAATGATGCTATTTCTCACATCAGCAAAGTTTGTTTCTGAAAGACGGTGTGTGATTTATGAATGATGTTTAAGCCCATATATCTAAATGAACTCATGGAAAAGTTAAGTCATCCAGTGCTGTTCCATGTGGTTATCATCAAATTCATCTTTGCAACCAATCGTTTCTAAATATTTTTCATCGGGATCAAATGATCCATAATATTTATTCAAAAAGAGCACAGTTCTGAACGATAAAGAAAATCTGGCCAACGAAAACTTCTTCACGTTAATCAATTATATCCGTTTTATTGAAAACTTCTGTTTAAAAGACGGATAATAAGTCCAACGTTGTTTAATACTTGTAGAATTATGACGTAGAAACCAATTCAGAAAGTAAAATAATAATAAAACTATCATTTATCATGCTCATCATTTTTTCCATATATATTCTTAGAGGTGTAAGCCGCCACCGCCGCCGCCAATGGACCAAAATATTTTTAATTTTCGAGCCGCCGCCACCGTCATATAAGCAGGAATACTAAATGTTTGAATATTTTCGACACTCAAAAACAGTCTTCAGGATTCTTCTGATCAAACTCCTAATAAGAAAGTTCTATATTATCATTTTTCCCTGTTCTGTTACATAATTCTCAAAACTGCGAAAATTTTTTAAAACAGCTTCTAAAGATTTTGAGCCGCCGCCGCTGGTGGGCTAAAAAAAAATTTAATTTTCGAGCCGCCCCTGCTGATCGAGGCGTCGGCGTACACCTCTATATATTCTGAAACCTATGATTCTTTTTTTTGGAAGAAAAATAATGAAATATCATTGCGCATATGTTCTGTTGCATTTCAAGAAGATTAATAATAATACGTAATATGATCACGATGCATTAAAACATGATAGCTAATACGTTCCGACAAAAAACATATCCTATTATTAGAAAGAAGGATTTACTTTTACAGAGAAAAGGTTTGTGCACGGTAATTTTTAGATCTGGCTTAATTTAGACGAGCGCATCTGAAGCTCTCAGTAACTATAACTGTAACAGTTAATTCGTGTTTCTCGTAGATGTGTTTAACAGTACTGATGTAACACAGAGCATATTTTTTAAATAGCCATATCTCTGATTTACTTCAACATCTTCCATTATTTTCTACTCAGTAAACCGAAAAATCTCTGTCTTCTTTTGTCTGTGTTCGTCAATTTTCTTTACCAGAGTACTATGTGTATATAGTATTTTTTAAGTCGCAATGAGTTCATTGCAAATGGTTACACCTGCTCTATTGCTACGAGCAATTATCGAATATTTACCATCTATTATGACTATTCTTCTTAATACTGTTTTCATTGTTGCAATTATACGACTACGAAATCTGCGTACACGACAAAATATTTTTCTAATCAAGTAAATAAATAAAACATAGTCATATTTTTTGAATGAAATACTTTAAATTCTCATTACTAATGACTATATCGATTAAAACATATTTTCCTCATTAAATATGACTACAGTGATACTCATTTGATATTGAATGTATGTCATGGTTATTATTTGAAAACATAGATTTATAACAAAGCAAAAGCAAATTAGGTTACTATTAATAGCATAAGGTACAATGATAATAATAACTGATCAGACATTCGAATATTCTCTACTTCAGAATACAGTCAATTCGAAGTTTTGATTTTATTTTAGTTCTGCAGTAAATCTTATATGTTTATGTTTTACTACGCTGGTCTCAGTGACAATTGCATAAAACTATTCAATAAACTACTATATCAATATGAAATTATGTCGTATAATAAGTTTTCTAATATATAGTTCTTGCCATGGCATTATGTATTCATATTTACTTCTTAGTATAAATCGTTTTATGGATGCATTCTATCGTTCGCAGAAACATCATTTATCAATAAAATGTATAGTACTTGAAATAATTTTGCAATGGTTTTTAGCATTTCTTATTCCATCGATACCATTTTGTTTGGATGAAATTAAATTGCAAATAAAACCACGATTTTGTTCAGCACGTAAACCACTTTATGTGATATTGAGAATGTTGACTGGATTCTTTTTACCAGTTATATTTATAACAAAAATTTTATCAAATATCTCATCGTTTCTATAGGCGTCAAAATTATAAAAATGAGAAATTACTACGACAATGTGCGGCATTTTCATGTGTATTCGCTATTGGTTGGGGACTTTTTGCGTGTATTTCCGTTTTTGACTTCAATGATATTGTTCCTGAAAGTATTTATTTAATTACACTATCATTTCTATCAATATCATTATTAGTTATTACTCTAATGATTATTCATTGGAATAAATTAAGCAGTCAAAGAATCAATATTTACTTTATTGCACATAAAATCTAAAAGAAAATATCCAACATCTGCAACTACTGTACAATTTTCAGGTCACCCTGTCTTCAATTGTAGTTAAATTAATCCTTTCGTTTTACTTTTGTTCTAATTGTAGAATTTCACTTTATCTCATGTTATATTTGTAAAATAAATTGCGAATAACATGATATCATTATAAAATATGACTTCCATTTTATTTGAAACATATACAAGTTTCTTTTCGTTGTCTTTGCAGATCGCGACTTGTAAAATTACTCTATCTTGCAAGATAGAAAATACGTATTTCTATCAATTTCGGAAACAAATTTAATTCATTTTATGCAAAACAATGAATCAATGTTTGTATTAATATTCTTTCATTGGTTGAGTATCATCAACAGATTCTATCGGATACTTTCTTTTGTATATTCAGATGTCATTGAACGCAGAATTTCCCGAGGTGAAAAATCTTTTCTCTGTTATTTAGATCTGAATAATAAACCTCTTCCATGTGTTCATTTATCCTAGATTTCATTTTATTATTTACTGATGTTTCTATTCCATTCCCTCTTGTTCTATGGTGCCTATTTCTAATTTATGCTTTGTGGAAAGAGTTGAAAATCAGAATAAAATAAAGTACTACATAGACGATATTAACTCCCATATTTTGGGCTATTAGCTACTCACTTGTTTGACCGCTATTGGAACTTAGACAAACGAATAAGTGGAAAAAATATGCTTAGGCATTGACTGTTACGTTTCGTATTTCCTTATGAAATGTTAATCTGATATGCCTGACAAGCTATTCTAGGGAATCTTTCTGTTTCTTTATAGGATATCATCCTCATGACATATGTAGTTGAGAACGAGTCTACATTCTATGTGTACTTTTATAGATACTCTGTAATCTTTTCTCGCTGTATCAATGAACATCAAATTCTAGTGAATCTTTCGTAGATATACATCCGATGTAACAATTATCCAATGAATTTTCTTCTCATGTTTTATTCTTCGATAGCAAATTAATAATTTTATTGTTAAACAAATATCAACATTTTCTGTTTTAGACATCAATAAGCTGTACTAGTTCACCTTATATATTCATTTTAAAAAAGCAAATGTAACTTAGTCATATCAATTACATAGAAGATAAATCGAAATTACGAATGAATTTTCTAAGTTGTTACAATTAAATACACTTAACTATAGGAATTTCATAGTAGCACAAGTGTTCACATATTTAAACACAATTGATATCTATTAATAAGATCCAACACATGTGTCATTTCTAAATGATCATTTTGTAAAGTTAATTTAAAGAGCAAATGATTATCTTGTCTACTATTATTGGTTGGGAAAAGTCATGCGATTTGCTGCAAGTCATTTAGTTAATGCCGATCGATAATGATGGACTAGGCGATGATCATCAACGTGAACACTGCCCCTCTTTAAATGAATCAATGTAGACAATATGGATGTGCGTGTATATGTCTGTTAATTTGAGTTCAGGGTATTGATCGTTTGCATCCGTTTTTTTTTTCGTGTCTCTCGCGTTCCTTTCTGACATTCTACTTGCTCATAAAGAACACGCACACGATTATGAGCAAGTGTTATAAACAAAAACTGTTGTTGTTCACTGTTGGAAATAGATCGATCAATGATTGATTATTCATTTGTGCGTCTTTTTCTCTGTGTATATATATATATAGAAGATATAAACTTCGAGATTAATGACTTTCATCTTTCCACCAATAAATAATAAAACAGCAGTCAACAGTAGTAGGCAAGGTAATTTGACTCGTGTACATCATCGATTAAAGAGAAATGATAATGATCCTCCTCATCATCATAGAGAAACAATAATAAGCATATGATGATGATGATGATGATGATGCAGAAGAAAGGCATGACACACCATTCAATGCAAAACAAAAAGGAGAAAAAGTACAGTTATAGAATTAACATGCATCTGCAGATGCTTGACATTACATGAAAATAATTGTTTGTCAAGAGACTCTCTTGATTGGAATCGATCAGTGTCGTCTTTGTCTTAGTCAATAAGAAAAATAGTTGCTCAGTGAAATTATCTCCTCATGTCGTGTCATGTCTCTTCTGTCTTTTTCTCTTCAACATTGTTAATCGTCGATTTTGTGTCCATTCAATAACAAGAAAGAAGATTGCACTTGATTGTTCTGTTTTCTCTGCTCATTTCCTGAATAGCTGCATATGATCGACGAACACGCCAAATGAATACTAAAACTATCTCATGCTGAGATGATCATCTATCTCATTATATTAAGCGAAGGAAAGGGAGGAGAGAGAGCAAGAGAGGGGAAAATATAAGGAAAAATCGATCAACCAATAGAAATAAATCGTATAAAATTTTGATTGGTGATTGAATTATAGAAAAAGAAGAAAAAAAATGCAATGTAGACAATCAATGGAATGACCACTTTTCTTTTATCGAACTCAATCCAAGAAGTATTTATTATTTTTCTAGACGCGAAAACTAACAAGTGTTTTGACAGATACGATAAAACACAATGATCGGTGGAAAGCCATTTGATGTTGATTCACTTTTACGTGATTGTGTTGTGAAGAAAAAACGACCTATACATGATGCGCTTCAAATTTATGATCATCATCATCATCAACAACAACAACAGGCGACCGATTTATCCATTGGCAAAGAAAAGATTCAATCTGGTTTGTATTAAAATATTTAAAACAAAACAAAAAGTTCACTTTTTATAGTTTTCATTTATAGATGAAAATGGTGATTGTTCGAATAGCTCAACAACTAGTAGTACGATGAGTACGATGAGAAATAGTATTGATGCTTATCGACAACATCTATTCAATAGTGCAAGTAGCGAAGTAGCAAAATCATTTCTATTGAGTATGCGAAATTTTACATCATCATCATCATCGACAACAGCAGCAACATTAGCAGGTGTAAATCATAGTAATGTTCAAATCAAGAAAACTAAACGACGTTCACGTGCCGCTTTTTCTCATGCACAAGTTATTGAACTCGAACGAAGATTCGCACAACAAAAATATTTATCAAGTACAGAACGAGCCGAATTGGCTAGTCTACTAAGTGTAAGTATGATAGTATTTGATATGACACATTGTTTTTCGAGTCTACGCATTAATGCGTCTCATGTGAAAATAAATCGAATTTCTTCTTTTGGTTTATTTTAGCTTCAAGAACAACAAGTCAAAATATGGTGAGACAACTTAAGATTTTGTTTGAATTGAATCTATCAAGAGAAAAAAAAGAACTTGAATTTTTACCTTTCATAGGTTTCAAAATCGACGCTATAAAGCAAAACGAAAACAACTTCTTAGTCAAGTAAATACAACACCAAATACACGTCATGCACCTGTAACTGTACTTGTCTATGAAAATCATGCATTTTCGGGTAGTTCATCATCATCTTCGTCATCTCGTTTAGCTCATCACAAACCACCATTGATGATTCCATCAATGAATCTTTAAACATACGAAGCCAGCAAACTTCATAAGAACTATTCATATTTATCTATGTACATCGTTGTTTTGTTTGTCAATTTTTGTGTTGTTGGTTTTTTTTTTCTTCTACTTCTCATGTGTGTCAATGTATATCAGTCAATATTATTGAGCAAACGTGAATCATCATTAAGATCATCAGTTTTTATACGTAAATATCCTGTATTATTCATTCCATTCATATTATCAATATTACTTTCATATTTTAAATTTGAATGGTAGATAATAATTAAATATTTCAGTAGATATTCAATAATTAATATTCCACTATAGAACGTAGCTGAAAATTGCCCGGGTAGAAACATCACACGAAGAATGTATGTGCTCGTAAAATAGAATGAACGTATTAGAATACTATTTAGTTGACAGAATTTCTTATCGATAAATACTATTGATGACATGGGATTAATGTCATCGAGAACAAATGGATGACGTATGGATTGAATAGTAACTATTAAATCGACTAGATGAAGAATGAATATAAGTAATTGAGGACAAATGTAACTTTGACATAAAACTGGTGGATTCCATTCATCATTTGATAAATAGTAATGATTATTCCATAGCCATTTCAGAGAAATGAACGATTGAATACAAAGTAAAATAAGAAAACTAAGTATGGAAAAAGATTTTAATTTATTAGAATCGTATTGATGATAATGTTGATTTGTATATTCATAGACATCAGGTAAGAGACGACCTGCTAGAATAAGCATCAGTAAAAAATGAAGAAATATTTGATGAATAGAACACCATATTCCATGTGTTATACCATTAATAGCAAGTAAATCATCAAGAATAAGACCAATAATACCAATCGATACGATCAAGCGAGAGAATTGTGAATACGGACGAGTTAATATTCGAAGAGAATTGCATTTCTGACCAATAAATGTAAGAATAGAAATAAATAGAATAAGAATAATAAATTGAAAAATATATCGAGTTGATCGAGTACTTGAAGAAAAATTTAGTTGAATAATTTCATTCATAGTTGTGTTGATGAGATTCGTTTTCGTGGAAGTTTTAATTGTTGAATTATGAGTCATCTTCTATACTGATTGACAGAAGAAATGAGCTGCTAGCTGATCAATGAGAGAATTCGTTTTTTTTTGTTGTGCAAAATATTAGGCGCGTTCACGTAGGATATAGCAAAGGTATATATTTCTGATGAATATGAGTTTGTTCGATTCAAATTGAAATAGTTATCAAAATTGTAAAGGTTTTGTCATATGTTTATAAGTATTGAATAATTTAGAATAGCTAGACAATAGATTTCGTTATTGGAATAGACTTTTAATGAAACATTGTTGCAATTGTTTATTATTTATTCGTCTATTAGAATACAAAACCAATGATTTTTCCATTGCAAGTTAGTTTTCCAATGGCTGACGTTGACTGTAAAAATCAAGGGTTTTTGTTAATAAACAAGTTGTTTTTCACTAACTCCACATGATTGATATGTAAAACATGGCGTAGCTGTGCACAGCTAGACTGTTTTATTATCTCTATTTGGTGACATGCTCATTATTTGAACTTCGATAAATCTAACAAAAAAGAAACAAATATCTAGTAGCATTCGTATTTTCGACGATTGCCTTTCAGAAAATGAATGGTTTGATGTTGGGCATGGTAAAATCTAATAACACTTTATTTGAAAATTTCTGTAAAAATCGCAAAATTTCTATTTACTTCCGTTTCTTTTTTGAAATTGTTTGTACAAAATAAATCTACACTAACATTCTCCTTGCATTCTACTTATGACAATGATCAATGCGTTGATACTTCATACAAGAGATATTTACTCCATACGATAGATACTACAAATATGCTCCTAACGTTTAGTTAATGAAACATAAAGTTTGATATTGATGTTAAACATTCTATGAATGTTACGTGAAGATGATTGAAATATTTCGACAACTGCTTTTTGTGTACTCACTTTTTGAGTACACTCTAGAATCAGGCATTGTGTCCGTCGGGCCGGCCGCAAGCACGATAACTTTCGAAAGGAGAGTCAGATCGTGATGAAATTTTCCACACAGTTCAATCTCATGAATATCTCGGTCGAGTTCGAAGATGAGAAGAATCCCTCAAGAAATGGTTGAGTTATCACCAGGCCATCCCTGAGAAGGAGTACAGGGATTTTTTTTCAAAAAACAAATTTTTCTCAGAATTATACACAACATGTATAACTCGACTCAGTTTTTAACGCTGATTCCGAATCTGATATTAGTTTTGAACTAAATCGTACCGTTCTAACGAAACATCGCCTGAAAAACGTCTCAAAACGCACAAAAACTGCATCCAAAAATCAAATTGCCTAGTTTCTCATGATAATTTTGGTGTTCAGACATTCTAGAATGACTCATATGTCCCATGCACTTTTTGCAGTACACATAACTCTCGGATAAAATCCGAAGTTTGCACATTTATTAACTATGAATATCATGCATTAACATGATAGAAGAAAGAAACAGTTGATTGGTAAAGATCCCAATGAAACTATTATGTATGTCTATGAAAAATCTGTACAGTTTCTAATCAAAACTGTGATTTTTTGTATTGAAAAAACTTTTGATCATCTTGATAACATCTCTTTTATGTTTTATGAATAGATTTATTTGAATTGATTTTGATAATAATCATTCTATGGCTCCATTTATCACATTTTTATTGTATGAATTATTTTAACAATAAGTAACGTGCGTCCTCTACGTGTCATACGTTGTTGACCAATCGTAGTTATTATCTCTTAACCATTTCTTATTCGAAATAGATCACCACTGGTACGAGACCTCTATTCGAAAGATTCATCATTTGTACATCTCTTATTTTTTTTTACATTTCATAGCAATAAATATTTAACCAATTAATTGATTGATTTTTGTTTCAAGAAAAACATTCGCACCTTTGGATAAACAATTCACAATACGACGGATATTGTATTTTGAGCAAGTTTTCAAAGAAAATAACTAGAAAATAAATTAAAACATTTTCTATTTAGTTAAATGATCTTAAATCATATTAAAAATAGTTCAACGTGCGGTCGAAAACCGCAAACAGCTGTGAAACACACAATCGATCGACCAAAAACTAAAACTTGGTACAATGATAATAGTATTACTCATCGAAATCATTCATATTCTTCACAATCAGTCACTACCAACAATCAATTTATAAATGAAGATAATTCTTGGTTAAAATTTTCAACAGCATTGTTCGATGATACACCTGAATTAGAATTAGCATGTGAAGAAGAAATGCTCAGTGAAAGTCAATTACAAAGTTATCCAACACAAGTAAAGAGTTTTAGTGTAAAAATGTTGTTTTTTGAAATTTATTTTCAGGCATATGATCCAACTGCTCCACTACCATTACCAGCTGTTCGTAAGCGTACATCAGTATTGAAAAAATTAACAACACCAGATATTGAAATTCTTCACGATCCTGATGAAGATTTTATACCTAGTGAATCGGATGACGATGATGATGAAAATTATTTGCCAGAACATGATCGACGTCCATATAATCGTACTAGTCATGTCAATGGTAGTGTTGGTCGAGGTAAGAAAAATAGTTTAGACTCTAAGAAAAAGATTTTCTAATTTGTCTGTCCTAAAAAAACAAAAACAGGTCGCGGACGTGGTGGACGTGGTCATCATTTAACTTCGACAAATAGTCGATTACCACCTTCAACTCATTTTGTTCGGCCACAACCTGAAATAAATTCTCATGCACGTTCAAAACTTCATTCATCATCTTCTATTACGGATAATCATCGTCATCATAATAGAGACTCATTTGACATTGAACTTGAACGTAGTTATGCTAATGCATTATTACGTTATTATGGTACTCGTAATGGACAAACAATTAACTCGAGTGATTATGGAGATTATCGTATTAGTATGTTTACTTTTATTTGTATATTTATTTCGACAATGAAAGAAATTTCTATTTTCATTAGAATGTTCTATATGTGGCGAACAGTCATTAAATAATATGTCATTTATAGCACATTTATGTTCACATTTTGAAGATGATCTTAACTATATAAGTCCATTTGATAAAATCTATCGTCGATGTTCAGTATGTCATGATGAATTTTCAACACCATTTCAAACATTACTACACAAAGACCAAGAACATATGATTGAAATCAATGAATTTCGTTGTCGAATTTGTCAACAAAATCATCATAGTTTAATAGATCTATTTACTCATTTAAATTATACCCATATCGGTCTTGATATGCCATATATATGTGATAGATGTAATTATCGAACATCAATGTATGAAGATATGGCTTATCATATTCGACAAGTAATTTTTGTCTTTTAATCCTAGTTTATCAAACACGATCAAAAAGAAGTATTGCACTATATTTGGATCCTTTCTTACACAAATCGTATATCAGCAGTAAAGTCTCGTTCGAATATTTATATTTAGTAACTATGTTCATATTATATTTCTCAAGGATTATTAAGAATGTGTAAAACTAAGTTTCATACAGATCGAAACGAAAACAACCTCCGTTAGTTTAAGCTGAACAACTAAATCCTAGTTTCCAACTAGACTTGATTTAACATCTTTTATTTACACTTTTGTTTTTTTCCCTATAGGTACATAAGGGAACACAATATTTTTTTTGTCCATACTGTTTTCAATCAGTATTATTACCAACAATATCAAATACAAATATTCTTAATTCAACGCCAGCTTTTCGTCATGTTATACTTCATTTTGATAGAATTGAAAATAGTAATAATAAACAACAACGTCGTATTGAATCATTATTTAAATTTTGTAATCGATGTACACTTCATGTTAAATCACTTAAAGAACATTATAATTATCATCATTCATTGAATATAAATAATGATGAGAAAAAATCATATTCGAATTCTGAAGAGAATAATTTATTGGAATTAAAAAGAAATAGTTATCAACAAATGGATGATTGTAAATTGATTAGAAAAAATATGTTTTTTGTTTTTGAATCATACATTTGTTTGTGTCTTTTTTAGCGTATAATCATCGATTTTATCCGCTAAAATTTGATCGAACGAAACAATTACCGATGGCAACTATACGACGTCGGCAAACAGCCTCAAACAATTATGAACAGGTTCGATTACTGAAAACAAATCCTATTTTTATCGTAAATGTGAATAGGTTTTTCGTCTATTTTAGGTTCATATGAATAATCGATGGTATTCTCGCCGGTGATTTGATAAACAGGAACTGATCTATATCTTGCATGTCTTAGCTACATGACTGGATGTGATTTTCTATACTCATATCAAGTATGTTGCTTTGCTTGAACAAAAAGTTTCATCTTGATCTCAAAACTTTCGTTTTCTTTTTTTTTTGAAATTCATAATAGTATATTTTCATGATGTTGATAATAAAACTTTTCTAAATTGTTGTTAAAAAAATAGCATGCATTTCTTGTAAAAAAAATTTTTAATCATAGATTTAAGCCAATATTTGTTATCGCTATGTAGAGCAAGAAATGTTAGAAGAACTTATGGTATTCATATCGTTATTTGTGAATGACTTCGTAAGGTCAGAACGAGACAACTGTTATCTTATGTAATTTGTTATTCTATAGAATTAATATTAAAAATCTACATATATTAGTAGCAGCAGCCAAAGAAGCATGCATTTTGTTTTTTTGATATTTTGTTTATGAAGTTCTTGTTGTAGACGAATAATCAAGAACACAAGGACATATTGTCACAATCTACATAAGGTTTCCTAAAACTACAGAATTCTTTTTTCATTGTGAGAAACGTAAGAATACAGTCTTGTCTTCTGTTATATATAATACAAGATGAATAATCAAGCGAATTGAACATGAATAATGGATCCTCTTTTTACGAGCTGTAATATAGATTTTTATCAAATTACATCTGATTTCTTTATTCGTTAGAAGTTATTGAATCAAAGATGAAAATATTTTGGTGAATTTCTCATTAGCTAAATTTTTAATAGATATGATAAGGTGCAGATATTTCTCAAAATCGATACTTACTAGTTAATAGTCTTTGATCGATGGATTCTTAAATTTAAATGCTTGTTTCGAATAGAAACAATTCAAGGTTATGCAGATGAAAAGTTTAGAACCAAAGACTACAACTGAGTTTTTCTAGTCGAACGATACCATTCTGTGTAAAAATGCAATAACTCAAGTTCATATACATAGATTTCCTTTCAAAACGACTAGATATGAAGGTAGTCCGTTACAACCTTTAGATTGCAATGTAGTATGTTCAATTTTAATGCGGTAGATATTATGCTAACAACTTTCCTATCTCAAATTGCTAATTATCTATTCTCATGAGTTTATATTTTCTCACGCAATTCATCGATATAATTTGAAAAAGCTACTCTTAGAAAATTAATTGCCAATCGATATATTTCTATTTTTCTATTGTAGGAATTCATCCTTCTCCTTCATTTTATCGCATTCAAAACCTGTTTTTTTTGTTACTGTACATTGATTGTTTGTTTGTTCTTTTGTACTTTATGATTTGTTTCTTTTCTCTTGTATTGTCAAGCAAAATTATTTGCTGTGCAAATGATGTTCTATGTGATAATCAAAAGAAGACGAGAAAAAAAGACAGGCGCAAAGTTATATTCTGCAAAGACGAAAAAAGAAAAACGATAAATGTCATAACACCTATACGCATACATAAACACACAAACAGTGTCCGATCTACAAGACCGAACCGACAGGAGAGAAGAGTAATGACGAAAAAAAGATAAACAGGAATAGTAAATGTACATAAAAGAAAAAGAAAAGAAAAGAAAAACAAACAGACGAACATCTTATCCACTTTTTGCCGGTGTCACATATCTTGCTGTTGATGATTTATCGATTGATAACGACGACGTATCCATCATCGAATCATCATATTGCTCACCTTCGTCACTTTGTTTCTCTACTAAAAAAAAGACAAGCAAAACAAACAGTTGAGATTTTAATAAGAAAAATAAAATAAGAATTATTTACAATTTTCATCTTCATCATAATATGTTGCTTTAATACCATCGACAATATTTAAATGATCACGTTGTAAATGATCTTTCATTGATGAAACATGTAAAACGCATTTTCTACAATGTTTAAATTTTGATTGTATTGTACGTCCTTGATCGACTTTATTAAAATGCAATAATAAATGTTTATAAGCTAATGTTCCATTAAGTATAGTCGATGAATTTGTTATAAATGGTAATTCAATACCAATAAAACAATACGGACAAAAGAAATATCTTGTACTTTTATGTACTTCATCAATATGATAAATCATATCGGCTTGCATTGATGTACGAAATGAACATACTTCACAAAAATATGGCATTTCTAAACCACAATGACATAAATTTAAATGTGCGATTAATTCTAATAATGATGTATGACGTTGTTCACATATACGACAACGATATTCATTCATTTCAAGCATATGTTTATCATCGATATGTATAGCAAGAAAGTATGGATTGGAAAATTCGGATTGACAATGTGAACATTTTGTATTAATTTGTTCAAATGGTGAATTTGTATTTGGTTGAAATTGTTGCTCATTGTTGTTGTTGTTATTATTATTATTATTATTGTTGTTTTGTTGTTGATCAAAATGTTGACAAAGATGTGTAATTAATTGAATATTATTATCAAATAGAAGATTTTCACACATAGGACACTAAAATAATCTTGTACATGTTAATTATGAAATGAAAGATTTAATATATATTTTTCTAAATTAAATCGGTCTATTTACTTGACTACGGAAATCACCATAATCGGATAATGGCAAATTTCGACCGGGTTTTTGACCATAATATTTCGATAGAGCTCGTTTATATGTGTGTTCTACAATGAAGAAAAGGAAAGAAAAAAAAACAAATGAGTCATTCAAATAAGAAGAACACGTACCGAGCTCAACTTCAAGACCTTCTTCTATTAAATAAAATAGAAGATTTATTTTTAAAAGATTAGAAAATTAACTATAAAATTCACCTCGAGTTCTAACAGTACCAGGCTTAAGACGAGGTAATGGTTGATCACGTGGATATTGTGTTGTAGCATTTGGTGCAAAAGCTGGTTGAAGAAATGGTATTGTTGCTTTACGTGTTGGTTCTGGTTTAACAAATTGCGTTTGATAAAATTGTCCACGATTTTGTCGTTGTTGATTATTATTTGTCTGGCGCTGTTCTTGTTGTTGGAAAGATACTGGTTGTCGAACATTTCGATACGAATTCGTATTATTATTAGCGGTGGTGGTGGTAGTGGTAGTAGTAGTATTATTATTATTACGTTGATAGTTTGATGAATAATTATTAACAGTTGAATTATTTCGTTTTGACCATGGTAAACGATCATCTTGCTGGCGATTAAGCCAATCACGATCACGTGTTGTATCATCATGATCATATTCGTCAGCATTCCAATCATCGTATTCCTCAAATTCATTTGGATCATCTTCAACATAATTTGAACGATAGTTTGAACGACGTGCTATCGAATTATTCATCGGTGTTGAGACTGTTGCTGTTGTCGATGATGGTTCACGTGGATGTATACGAGGACGACCAACAGGATTACGTGGCTTTGGTGTTGTACCGTTAGTTGTATCTGTTCGATCGAGAGCCTAATTTAAAGCAAATCAAAGAATAATAGATAGTTAAATAGAATTCGAAATATTTTATTTACTTTAACAGGACAATGTACTAATTGTGCTTCAGTTAATTGTTCTTCCATACAATTCATATTTAATTCCATATCAATTGATTGTTTTGAGTCATTCAATATTTGCTTATTTTCATCAAAATTTTCACGCGTTGGCGATGGTGAAAGCATTTGTGGTTCATGAGAATATTGCTTATTGTTATTATTATTTCTATAAGGTGTTTGCATGCGTTTATTATTCGTATTATTATTATTATTATTATTATTGTTGTTGTTGTTGTTGTTGATGCTGCTGCTACTGCTGCTGTTATTAGTCATTGGTGCTGTTTGTTTAGCACGTATGCTAGCCATATCAGATCGAAAACGTTTTGCAGGTGAGTTCGAATCAATTAAATTATTTTTATCCATAAGTGAACGTGAATATGTTGTAAAAAGGGATGGTAGAGCATCGGGACGCAATGTGGTTGGTCCTTCAAAATCATTTTGAGTAAAATGTTCTCGGCAAACTTTAAATGTTGAAGTTGATGCTGATACTGGGATATTTTCATAACCACATGCGTCAAGCCATTTACGAGCTATTGTAGGATCACGTGGTATTTTATATAATTGTACACGATGGCGACGTGCAACATAATTATGTGCACAGCCTTCTACGTGACAACGACTCGATGCTTTACTTTCGAACTAAAATTCATAGTAAAATATTTATAACATGAAAATTATTCACAAGAAAATCTCTCCAATTTATAAATCATTTCCAAGACAAAATTACATGCATCATATAGATTTCAATTGTAATCGATAAAAAAAGAAAGTTTCAGATCTCATACTATTCTTTTAGCTTGATATACAAGCACAAAAATCTATCAATTTAAAAGACACAAGCTTACCATCGTTAACTCGCACGATACAAATAATGAAGAAAAGATCTGAAATACTCACAAAAAATCTTTTGTTGTTAAGGATTATATGGATGAAAATTTAGAAATCAGCTTTTTATTAAATAATACTGTAAAACTGTGATCTATTCATAATTATGAGATAAAAACAGGCACTCTTTTCTGGGTATTCATAACTCAATTGAATCTATATAATGCACATAATCTCTAAATTGAAATCAATTTCTTGATTTGACTAGTTTCCTTGTCAATCTTATTTTGTACAAAAAGTTTTCTTACACTCTCATGTTGATTTAATGCTGGTTTATTCACAATAAATGATGATTGATTTTTAATATTTGTATTATCATTTTGTTCTTGTGGAGAATTACTAGATGTTTGTGTTGGTGCTAAACGTGTTTTAACATGACCACTTTCAAGATTCATTTTTAATATTGGTTCTAATGTTCTACCATCTAAATCAGGATTACTTGTGTGAAAAGTAATATTAGTTTTTTTAATAGATTTATTTGACTCTTGTAATTTATCTTGATATGCAATCATTTTATAGAAAACTTCTAAATCAAATAATGTTGGTAATGACTTTGGCTTAAGTACTTTAGTATTATTTCCAACATAATCAAAACATGGTTCTTCAAAATGCTGTTCACAAATACGATGCGTATGAGATGGTGTCAAATCAGTACGCATCGTATTTTTGTACCAGGCTGCTGCAATACTTGTAATATGCACTGGTACAGCAAAATATTGTACAGATGGATTTGTTTGAATTCCGTTTGGACATCCTTGTACAATACAAATTGGTTCATTATTATTAAAATGTGCCCTAAGATGATAATGAAAATATTCGTTTTATTTTTACTTAATGGTAACTAAAGGCGGCGACCATTTCGACTTACATCCCACCTCGTTGTTGCTACTTCGTTACAACAACGAATAGTAAATTAGAACTAGCAGTGGACACTGGCGTGCTCCGTCGGTGATGCAGAAGCGGCGGCGCAAGGGAAATATGCAACGATGGGGGAATGAATGGCGACACCAATATAGAGGCACTGATACGTCGAGTAAATGTGGATGTTAAACGGCGACGAGGGGACGACGACGATAGACACTCGTACACAGAGCAGAATGAAAGAAATAGAAAAAAAGAGAGGAAAAAAAGAGAAACAAATAAGCAGACGAACAAGAACAACACGATTTTTCTTCTCGCATTTTTTTCTTTTTGCGTTCTTCTGAATTGAGCTGAGAGAAATAATGATGTCGAACTAACGGACGGACGCGTTTAGGTACAAACAAAGCTATTGTGTGAACTTTATATCATACATCGTTATACTGAAGATCATAAACTAACTAATTAAAGTATGGTTTAATCAATGTTTATTGGTTAAATAAAACCAACGAAGAAATCGCTCAAATGATTTTTTTTTGCCATCTAGACGTCGGATTGACAAAAGCAAAAAGAGCAATCTCATGTGATATGTGTATTTTAAGATAAGAATCGAAATAAACAACACAAAAAAAATTGTGTTCCTGCGAAAAAAACAACATGGCCGCATATGTATTATTCGTTATCAATTGATATCGAGTCAAAATATTTAACATAGTTCAGTAGTAGTGGAACAATATAGTCAGGCATGATTGTTCGTAACCAATTGAGAAATAAAGTTTCATTTCTATCAAATAATTGATAGACGCTGAGAAGAGTTTGCTTCGTTAGATGATTGCATTCAAGAATTCGACAACATTCTTCATTGATACAGTCGTTAGTGGATTTCGATGATGATTTGAATAAATTAAAAACACGACGAAGCTTATCAAGAAAAGAACTCAATATTGTTGGCTTTGATAATGTAGATGTTTGAGAAGGATTTTTTTGTTGGGCAATTAATTCAGTCAGATTATTAATAGAAGTTTTTAAATCTTGAATGTTTTGATTTATGGGTAATATTGATGGGCTTCTTTTACGGTATTGTAGAGCATCTGATGGAGGGAAAAAAAATAATCATTAAGAAAACCTTAAGATCATAGAGATGTATTCATTAAATATTGTACTTGCAGATTTATAGTTATATTTCAATTCTTTTTCTGATTCCACGGACGAAAACGTTTGTTCAGTTATTTCACTTTCATTCATATGCGATAATGTTGAAAGAGATGAAGACGAGGCTTGATCATCAAAATCATGATTACGAATGTAATGACTGTTTGCATTTGTAGTTGAATCAAATCTTTTTCTTTTCTGTATCGGACTCAATCGACCGGATGACGATGAAATACTTCGTTTTATGCTTGGAGTTGAATTTATAGAATCATATCTTTTTGTATTCATCATTTTCTCATGGTTTTTCTTCTTTTTATAACATTGAATACGACAATCAACTTGAAGTTTACTTAGACAACATGTATCTGAAGTTTTTATTAATCCATTCTCTTTTACATCTGTGTCATGAGAAAGAAAATTATTGAATTTTGGATGAAGTAAATTTTTAGCATCACATGGACAACACGATGTACATGTTCGATGATTTGTTAAAGATTTATTTGAAAAAAATAGAGAGGAATTATTTTTATTTTCGTTGAACCAACTCATTCGAAAAAAGTTTTATTTTACAATTCAATAGAAAACAAATATATACATTATTGATATTTGGCGCTCTAACGATATCGAAACTAAGTAGCTAGACGTTTAACGATATTTCGATATGATCACGTTTATTTTTTTCATTCTGTATGTATTTGTGAAACAATCGATTAACGTATCGCCTATGTTTCGCTGTTAGATTATTAGTGATTTGAATTCTCTCTTTTAGATTAATTCGCTTGTTCATTTTTATGGCCCCAGGAGCGAAAAAACCACAACAAGGCCAACAAAATGGACAGAAAAAGAAAGGATATAATCCTTACAATAATAAATTTAAAAATCGATTTTGGAAAAAGAAAAAAAAAGATAATGAAAATTCCGAAAAACCGAATGATACAGGACCTCCTAATCAAAATAATTCTCATATAGAGCTTTCAAGTTCAATTAAAATTGTACAAACACCCATTAGTGAGTTGTCACATGAAAGGTTTGGTTTTGAAATTTTTGTTTTCTTTATCTAGCGACGTATATTGATGTTGGTGAACGACCAGCACGCTATCGTGGCTGGTCACTTTATTTTCCTGATACAGGTCTATTTTATGAATAGAATTTTGCGGCTACAGAAATAGATAAATGTTTTATTTTTCTAGACAAAGAATCTGATCCAAGTTATTTATCCGTTTGTCAATTATTTGAAGATTATTTTAAACGAATGAAAAATCAATATGATTTTGTATGTATATTAATTACAATTACAATTAGAATAGAATCGAAAATTTTTGATTTATTTTTCTAGTCTGAAATCGAACAAAAACAATCCTTTTCTATTAACTATCACGAAGTACTTGAAGACTCAGGTAACGAACATAGAGGAATGTGTATTTTTTTGTTCAACAATTGATAGTGTTTATGAAAATATCAAAACACTGTAAATCCATAATAATATAAAATCTACACATTTCTAATTAAATACGATGGATGTAAACAAGGAAATTTCTTCTTTAAATAGCTTTTCAAGATAAAAAGCCAACTTGGAGTTTATTCTTTTCTGATCAAAACGAAACAACCATGCGTGTCATTGGATTAGCCATGCATCAAGTATAGAATAAGGGTTTTATTTTGATGAAATAAGACGAAAATAAAATTGATTGGATTTTTTAGTGTATTATTGATGAACAAGAAGAAAAAGATCGAGTAGCTGCTAGTGAATGTCAGCATCCAACAGTACCGCTTATTGACCTTCCAATAATTCATGCACGTTTAGTTAATTTTACGCCAATGATTCGATTAAAAGATGTTAAAGCTCAAGCTTTTGGTTAAATATGTTTTATTTTACTTGTATCAAACAAAAATCATTGTCAATCATTTAGGTAAATTCGTATCGATTCGTGGTGTCGTTGTACGAGTAAGTAATTCTCAATGTTTGGTGATTCGCCTTGCATACGAATGTTCAACATGTCGACAAACATTTGGTGTAACATGTGAAAATGGTAAACATACAGAGCCAGAACGTTGTCCTACACCTGGTTGTAATGGCCGATCATTTGTTCAACAACGTTCTCATCCATTAACAACCATCATCGATTGGCAAACAATACGGTTTGAATGCTTTCTTTCTCTCATTAAAATTTTGATCGAAAAAGTATTTTCATATCTCTAGACTGCAAGAAGTTGCTTCAGAAGCATCACGAGCGCCTGGTCGTATTCCTCAAACAATTGAATGTGAACTGACAAATGACCTAGTTAATAGTGCTATTCCCGGCGATGTTGTAGTTGTTTCTGGTGTCGTAAAGTTAATGGTAGATGAAAATGGTATGAAACATGAAAATTTTGTTCCGTCAAAAATAGTAGTTAGAAACCATCACAAAATTAGAACGAGTTAGAGCAGTTCTTGGATCTAGTTCTGAGTCCTTAAAGGATCGATTATAGACCGTGAAAGATGTTTTTGATATCGAATCAAAGATAATGCTGAAAAAATACCATCTTTTTTCTTTTTCGTAGTTACATCGTGTGTAAGCATTTTTATTTGGAAGACATCATGCTAACAGTATTTTATTTTATTTTGAGGTGGTGGCGGTGGACGTAAACTATCGGATCAATCGCTACTTCAAGTTTATATTGATGTTAATTCAGTTGTTAATCAACGATTAAATACTTCTGATCCAGCCTCAGGCGGTAGCAGTTTAATGAATACAATGGACTTTTCTTTATTTGATTTATATGGTATTCAACAAATTCAACAGCAAAAAGATGTTCTAAAGTAAATCAAATCATCTTTATCAATAGATGATTTTTGACGTGGATTTATTTATTTATTTATTTATTCTTATGATGATAGACTTCTAGTTCATTCACTTTGTCCAAGTATATATGGACATGAACTGGTAAAAGCAGCATTATTAATGGCTTTATTTGGTGGATTAGTACGAGGCGAAGATAGTGCCGTAAGTTAGTAAAAAAATGAATTACAATGTTTGGTTTTTGTTCTTATTGGTTGTAGTCACATATTCCAATACGTTCTGATCCACATATATTAATTGTTGGTGATCCAGGTCTTGGCAAAAGTCAATTGCTACATGGTTGTGTTAATGTTGCACCACGAGGTAAATAAATAGAAACAATATTATCAATATTATTTTGATTTGTATTGAAATTAAAAACAAAATCTACAGGTGTATATGTCTGTGGTACAAGTTCGACTCAGTCTGGTCTTACAGTTACGTTACATAAAGATAAAGATGGAGAAATGATGCTCGATGCTGGCGCACTTGTTATGGCTCATCAAGGTTGCTGTTGTATTGATGAATTCGATAAAATGGTAACTCAACAGCAAGTATTACTTGAAGCTATGGAGCAACAATGTGTTTCTATTGCGAAAGGTGGTATTATGGCTAGTATACCAGCGCGAACTTGTGTTATTGCTGCTGCAAATCCAGTCGGTGGACATTATAATAAGGCAAAAACAGTATCGGAAAATTTAAAGTAATTCTTTTTTTATGTTCATATTTTTGAAAGATTCTTTTGTTTTTATTGGCTAAAGATTGAAAGGACCAATTTTGAGTCGGTTCGATCTTGTTTTTATTCTTATTGATCGAGCTGACGATGAACTTGACTATCGTTTATCTGAACATGTTCTTGCTCAACATAATCGTTCAGCTCGTTCATCACATAATAATACAACAATGAGTTTAAATCGAACAGTGAACGAAGGTGCAGCTGCTGCAAATGGCAACGGACGAAAACCTTCATCGAAAACTGATGATGACATTCCATTGCGTGAAGAATTACGTCTCAAACCTGGTGAGATCATTGAGCCAGTGGGTCCAAGTCTTTTACAAAAAGTAAAACAATCTTAGTTATGAATTTATATAACATATGATTTATTACTATAGTATATTGCTTATGCACGTCGATATGTTAAACCTCGTCTTACACGACCAGCAATTGATATTCTGAAAAAATTTTACTTTCATTTACGTATTGCTCATCAACGTAATGGAACCACTCCCATTACTTTACGCCAACTCGAATCATTAATGCGTCTAACTGAAGCAAGTGAATATGACTGTCGATATTCAATTCGTTTAGCTTTTTGATGACACAATAGAGATATACCTTATAAATGCTTTTACTGATAAATATGTGCTTCGCAAAGTACAAGATAAGTGCATTTCGTCACTTCATAGTCTTGTTTAAATTTGTAAATGTAATTTTAATGCGTGCCATCCGAAGTTATAGAGTAAAATATTGATCTGTAGAGATCTAAGAATCTAAATTCAAATATTATAAAGGAAACTTTCAGATTTTTCATTAGTTAAATTATTCGGTGTGTTTTCGATATCCAAAAATAAAACACATGCCATATATTTTAACTAATTACTTATAGATATACTATGTCCATCATTCTAACTCCTATATCGATCCGAACAAGTACAATTGCTCACGACTAAAAAGTTGTGCATAAATCTAATATTAAACTATGTCGTACATAAAAAATTTGAAATGAGTTTTCATATTCTTCACTCTCGAATACTAATTGATTTACTGGATCCTAATGTGTAAATATCCCTGATATGTTACAGATGGACAAAAGAAAATTCCCGTTTCGAGAGTCTACGATTACAATCTAGTGAAAACTGTTTCAATTGCTGGTACGAAAGTATTTTCAATATATTTTTAGGCTCGTGCTAAACTTGAGCTACGTGAAGAATGTACAGAATTAGATGCTCTTGATGTTGTACAAATCATGAGAGCTAGTATGCTCGATACATATACAGATGAAAATGGTCAACTTGATTTTTCACGATTACAACATGGCTCGGGAATGAGCCGAGCATCTGAAGTTTGTGTTCATTCGATCGTTTTCTTCACTATTAATTAAAACTAACTCTGTTTTTGTATTTAGGTTAAGAAACTGATGAATGCTATTCGATGTGTTACGGAAAAAAAGAAAAATCCTCACTTTTCATTAGCTGAACTTAAACAAATAGCAATAGTAAGTATTATTTTATTAACGACGAGTGGATAGTTGTAGAAACTGATTTTTGTTAATATATAGGATATTAAAATTAATATGGATAGATTCGACGAACTATTAATAAAACTAAACGATAATGGATATTTACTGAAAAAAGGTCATAATTTATATCAAATTAGTTTACTTGAATAGAAATAATTTATTTTATTTTTAAAACTTTTGTTTATTGTATTTTGTATATTTGTGTCATTAGTGAAATATAATTATTGTGAGGTTTTTTATTGTACGGTGTTTCTTTTTCATGTATAACATGTTTTATAAAAATAGTAGATATAAATACGAAATATTCATTAAAGTAAAGAGAAATGTTCGATTCTTCTATTCATAGCACCACTGCAAACAATCTGAATGCTTCGCAAATAAAAGCTTTCATAAATCTGAATTTATTTTATTAACCAGTGACTTTTTTTCTCTATTCAATGTTTCACAGTTCGCATGAAAATATCATACCATGCAGTTTTTCACAGAGAGTATAATTTCGCAAGTCAATATTTCGATGTAGGGTAGTGCTTGACGAATAAATATACTTGAGAAATGAAAACCAAGCCGCAAAAAAATATAAGAACATATTTGATCATGCTTAGATCCAATCGAATTGTTTCGATGAGACCGATCATAAGAAAAACAAAAAAATAATTTCTTAACTGTTTTCGTGAAAGCATATTGCATTATTCATTTTCAATGGCTTCCATTATAGACTGAGAAACTGTGTACAAGCAGAAAGATAAATTTGCAGGCTTCGTCTTGGTGTTATATACGAAAAGGCAATAACAAGTTAAAAAAAACAACATAATATAATTCGAATAATTTTTATTGATCTTAAAATTTTTTGTTTTTTCTCAAGCATTTTCTATATATTTCAAAGGCGTGGCTTTAAAAAATTCGAAGAGAAACGTATTTGTAATTCTTTTGAATATAAATATAAAATCAATAGACATAGTAAATCTGTTCATGGTCACAGAAAATCGAAGCTCTCTTTGCTGCATAATCAATGACAAAGAAAAACACTCACACCCACCATGGTGCGTTTAGAGGATAAAAAAAGAGCGTGGTAAAAATTATTATGTTAGTAAATTGTGCGGTGTAAATGTCAATAATATATATAACTATTGAATAGTAGGTCCTAAAGCTTGGAGTTATACGTGTCTTTTTTCCCCGCCAATAAGGGAAAGCCAAAATGCTGATTTCAACTTCCAATTGGTGGTATTATTTATTTTATTTTGAAGGGTCTAGTCACTAGACTCTAGTGATTAAACTTTCAAGAAAAAAATCTCTTCAAATGGCTTACTATTCAGATAATAAAAAAGTGTTTTTCTGACATTTGTCTCGTCATTCTTAAATAGAAAGATTCCATTAGATGACTAATGCGCTGATGTAAAAAAGCTCTGCATGCGACCTTGAATTCATGTTTTTACTTGAGGAGTTTTATTTCTCCTTCTTCTTATTTTGCCAATTACACTCGTTACTCTACGTCAGCATTCTGTTGACGGTTGGTTACCGCACAAACTTTCATATTTGAATAAAAAAATCTTCCTTCATAAACCTCACACTTTTCTACGTTAATCGAGTTCGCTATATATCTGATTCCGTAATTTAAATGGGAAAAAATTAAATTTTCATTCATATCAAATATCCTCTTCTCCTATTTGGCATCGAAGAAAAAGAAACTATACCGCAAACAAATAAATATTAATAGTAACTGATCAAATACACCTAAGAATACTAATAACAGACTGATAAATATTTGATCATATTCTGTTTTTCATTCGTTTGAATTTCAGTCGAACAACAAGATTCATTTATTGATTTGAAAGTTGATTAAAGATTAAAATATTAAAAAAAGTTCTTTGAAAATCATGTATCGAGCACAATCTGCTGTCCATCATGAAACGGGCAGACCATCTTCTGAAGCGAACACATTATCTTCTGGAACGAATAGATTATCCTATGATGTTGATGCTCATGAAAAAGCAATTTATCGTCTTCAAGCACAAAATGATCAACAACGAACACAATTTATTATTGATACATTTTCAAAGTTTTTCCAAGCTGGCATTCGTGAAAATCCAACTGCATTTCGTGGTCGTTTTCGTAAAATGGCTTCTTCACCGTTTAAATTCTATCGTGGATCAGCAATTTTATTTTATCAAGATTTGAAAACCGATCAAGATCGATTTATTGCAAGAAATAAGGCTGCAGGGCAAGTCTTTATTCATGTAAATAATAAATAAATCAAAACAAAACGAAAAAAGAAATCAATAAATACTAAATAATTTGCTTTATATTTATTTACAGGGTGATTTACATGCAGAAAATTTTGGTACATATTTAGATAATCATGGTATTCTTAATTTTGATGTAAACGATTTCGATGAAGGTTATGTTGGTCCGTTTACGTGGGATGTTAAACGTTTATTAGCGTCGCTGAATTTAGTATGCTACGAGAAAGGCTTTTCAGATAAAGAAATCGAACATACTCTTATTGTTTGTGTTGAAGAATATTTAAAACAAGTTTATGACTTTTGCCGACATCAAAAAGAACATTTCGCATTAACATTACAAAATACATCTGGCAAAATTAAAACACTATTAAATGAAACTCGCATTAAATCTCATGTTGCACATTTGGACTCCATGACATCGATCGAAAATTATGATCGAAAATTTATACGATCTAAAGAAATGAAAGATATTGATGTTAATTTACGTGACGATTTAATGCGTGCTTTTAGAAAATATTTAGAGACAGTGCCCGAATCGAAAAAAACCGCTCGTAAAAGTGAAAACAATCAATTCACATATAGAGTCAAAGATATTGTAGCACGTTCATCGCCTGGTATTGGATCAGCTGGGAAAACGTCGTATTCATTTCTCATCGAAGGACGATCGGAAACACTTGAAAACGATGTCATACTTTATATGAAACCAGCACAGAAATCTGCTGTTTCCTATGTTGTACGAAATCCAACTATAGAAGAATATTTTAAACATGACGGTTTACGAACAGTTTTATGCTCGTATGCAATGCAAGCATCTACACCTAAATGGTTAGGTTATACAACATTAGGTACAGTGCCATGTTTAGTTGATGAAGCTACAGCACATTCAGAAGATCTCGATTGGTCTGAGATTCAGGAATTTAAAGATGTTGTTGAAGTTGTTCAATATCTTGGACGAGCTACGGGTAAAAACCTATCACTTATTTGGTTTTTATTTCGCAAAATAAAGTTTATATTCTTTTTCCTTTTTTTTAAGCAAAAATTCATTGTGTAGCTGATGCGGATTGTGTAAATAGACCGAAAGATGTATCAAACTTACCATTTTCAATTATACCATTACACACTGAAAAAACTATACGTGATGCTGTTGCAGGACGTGATGATGACTTTATTCAAGATATGGTAGAATTTGGCATGGTAAGAACGTTAGCTATCGGGTTTTTTTCGTTGCAAAGAAATCATCCAAAATTTTAATTTTAGGTTTATGGTGAACAAGTACGACGTGATCATCATCTATTTTTTGAAGCATTTCGTAATAATCGAATTCCCGGCCTCTAACAAAAAATGATGTGACCTTTTAAAACTTTTTATAGCTGTTTGAAATATATTATTATATAGATCGTTTTAATTTTTTAATACTAATTAAAATGAAATAGCTCGTTCGTTTTGTAATTAGCAATATTGAGCAAAACAGAGAATATTATACGAAGGAGAATTTGATGAGATTTTGCTTAACCAACTAATCTTTGTGACATAAAAATTCTATTCATCTACAGAAGTTTTGCTTATCATAAAACCAACTACAAAAAAGTAAATATTATCATGAAAACAGGTTTGACTTTCTCTATGTAAGAGAGACCGTAGTTTTACATCAAATAATTGAATGATATGTAATATAACGTCACTATTTGAGTCGTTTCTAGCTAATGACGTACATTATTAAGGTCCTCATTAAATTTATACTACGCATCTGACTCTCGAAAATAATCATTAAGCTGTTTTGTTTGCATCATTTTCACTATTACTTGTTGCTCTGCTCGATTAGACTATGGAAATGCTTAAGCTACATCCGCTTAAGCATATTCAACTCAAGGTTAATACAAATAAATGAGGAAACATCGGATTCGCATCCGATTGTTATGTCTACTGCAAAAACTGAGTCAATTTATAGATGTTGTGAATAATATTATAATGAGGTTTTTCAAATGAAAATAAGTGAATATTTAACAGACTAAAATAGACGACAACTAGTGTAAGTAGTAGTTTTACTATNGTGAATAATTCTAAGAAAAAAATCTCTGTACCCTCCTCCCCCCCTCAGGGATGGTCTGGTCAATACTGAGAATTTTTTCGATAACTCAGCCATTTCTTGACGGATCCTTCTCATCTTCGAACTCAACTGAAATATTAATGAGATCATTATGTCTACAAAATTTCATGACAATTGGGCGAGACTTTCAAAGGTTATCGTGTTAACGACCGGACGGACACACTGACCGAATCTAGAGTGTACTCACTTTTTTTGAGTACACAGCAAGGTTTTTACCGAGACTACTCTTCGAGTAAGCAATTTGGTTATATATTTCTAGAGTGATTTCTATTGAACTAATCAATTTTGACTTGAATAGGTCACGTTCGACGCTCTATGGGTCTGAGTACATTATTTCATTTAGGTATTGATTTATACGAAGCTTATGATGATGGTGTATTCGATAACTTTTTTCTCAATGATATGATGGTTTCTTCGATTAAAATTCATGATTTCCAACGCTACCGTCTCTATATAGTAAAACTACTACTTACACTAGTTGTCGTCTATTTTAGTCTGTTAAATATTCACTTATTTTCATTTGAAAAACCTCATTATAATATTATTCACCATTTAATAAAACGAAAAATCAACGGACTTCTCCATTTAATATTCTATCAATTGAACTATAAATCTAATAAATAAATTTTTTATATATCGCTTTTATGTAGAGAGTCATATAAGCTAGAAAAAAATGCAAGATATTCAATAAGTTAAAAAGCTTTTCTTTTGTAACGATCAACAAATGAATTTTGGATTTTTTTCCTATGAATATTTCATGTTCACCTGTATGAATCAGATTTTGAAAGATGCATTAATATTTCTTTTATCGCATTCAGTTATATTGAATGCACAATAATAAAAGAATAATTGTTGCTCTTTATTCATTAGCGAATGTCCTAATTGATGATAACTTGAGTAGAAAACAAGGAAATCTATGATGCCACGAGAAAGACTACTTTGACTTGCTTGAACCAATCTCGGGAACGTTTCTAATATTCAGACAGCGCAAGAAACACTGCCATATATGGTGTAAATTTTTCTTTATTATAATCAACAATATTCAATGTTATCGCTTGTGACCGCATATAATGAAGAATGACACATAGGAAATTATATTTTTTGAAGATGTTTTCATGTGTAATTTTTTGGTAACAAATTCAAAGAACAAGATTATTTTTAGTACAAAGCAAAAAATAACTCTTCTGTTTTCATCGTGCAGAAAAGTGTGTTCTACTCATTTGAATCATATTTTTCTCAAGAAAAAATAAACACAAGGAAAATATGTGATGTGATTATATAATTTAGCACGATGTGAAACCTTGCATTATACGACTAATGGCGAAGCACGACTTCCTGTCTCTTTAATGTTAATCCAATCGAAAGGGAATTTTTCGATTTCGATTTCCGTTTTCATAAGACTTTCCAAAATCTTATTACTATTTCATATGTTATGCTTGAGAAATATATCACTACCAAGTACTAGTTTCTTATGTGACCACATTTTGTGTTCTTTGACACGCATTGAAGTAAAAGAAGAAATTAATTTACCATAAGAACTATTGTCGATTAATTACCTAAGACTAATAACATTTTAGATGAATACATTTATTGATATTCCCGAAGATAAGACGATAAATCTTCAAGGTTATTATTCACATATTTCTCGTAGGGTACTACTTTCTATGCTATTTTTCTAGGCCTAAATTCTTCTCAACACTTTAGTTAACATTTATAATTCATACATCACTCATATTGCCAACAATACTGACCTGTTCTTTTCTTCCTTTGCTTCAAATTGTCGTCTAACACTATCAGGAGGAAAAAAGGGAAAATATTTTTTCTATTCTTCCTCACGTAATTTTCTCTCTCTCTCTATGCCTTTCGTTCTTACTGGCATCTTTATTTCTTTCAGAACTTACTTTTATATCTGGTGGCAACAAGCGAAACTAAACAAAAAGAGAACTAACAAATGTTGTCTTCAACGGACTCCTTTATTGTTACTCCAACTGATCAAGTTAGTGTAACTGTGGTTCGAAAATCGGATGGCCATTCAATAACTTTCGTATTGGACGAAAAAACTCATGTACATGATTTAAAAAAGGAGTTAAGAATAAGATTAAAACCTAAATTTGAACAAGGATGTCGTCTTATTTTCCGTGACAAAGTGCTCAAAGGCAAACATTCACTTAGACACTATGGCATTAAGAAAGGCGTCAATGATCAAGCAATATCCAGTATGTTTAAATTTTTTTATTCTTATTTATATTAAATTTGACCTATTTTTATTCTATTTTAGTGGATGATACGAAAGATTGGAAATCATCATCATCATCATCAGATTCAGAACAAGAAAAATGAACTTATTATTTTGAAATTCAAATGAACATTCTTATTCAAGCTAGATTTGTGCAAAATAAATATATATATACATATATGTAAAGATTTCTCGTAGTTAGAATAAAATAAAATGCCAAATCAATTTGTCTCTCTCTCTCTCTCTCTCTCTTGCTATGTATATATATATATATATATATTAATTATGTAAATAGAAAAGAGTTTTATATGATTCATGACCAATTAATTATTAATTTCGGAAGTACTACCAGTCTAAACAAATTTTTTTTTCGAATATTTAATGATAACAAAAAAAATGATTGATTGATTATTATGAAAATATACTTAGAGAATATAACAGAAAACAAGCAACCATTTCATCTATGATTGCTTTGCATGATGCATGATTCGTTCTGTTATTATCCAAATACGGTTTAAGAGAAATGAAAGGCGAAGCGGTTCTATTGCTGATATTAGAAAATAAACACCATTAATAGCGATTCTAGTTTATGTTTATTGATAGAGATAGAGCTCAAACATGAACATTTTTTATTGCTAATTTCAAAGCCTTCTATTTTTTTCCAACTTTTAAATCCTAATAAAACTCATCTTTGTAGAAGGCACTGCATGCTGCCACATAGAATATAAATTGATGGTTTCGCATTTGATCGCATTGTTACTAGATTCGCTCAATCTTAAAGAGAGAAAATGCTCTCTCACAAATAATATTTATCAAATCAAGTCACCGAGAATTTCGCTTCACATTTCCAATAATAGTGTTTTCCTACTGTAAATAGCACGAATAAATAAATAAATAATAGTGTAAAGCACTATGACCTCACTGTTGAGTCATAGTAACACAATTAGTTTTTTCCCCGTATGCAATAGTATTTATACGACATAGAGTAATATTTGAGGATGAAATTCTAATTTCTTTGTTTCTTATTTGATCTTTCTGATAGGAATTCAAACTATGAGTACAAAAATGTCTTATAATGGCGCGACAATTTCAATAAAAGGGATTTATTTTCACTCAGCTTTGTTTTACTAATCACTAGGATTAAAATCTGCACATTGAGCATAATAAAATATTTTCTACTGCAATACTCAATCAATTCCTTATACTACTTTAACGTTAGCAGTATTATATTATTGTATATAGCGATGTTTACTTTTGAGTTGAGAATTAATATAGAGACGAAAGAAACGACGATCATCATTTGTTCCCGTTTGCTCGAAACTCCGAGTAATGATACTCATTTTATGGAGCAACAGTAGTTCACCCGTATGGATTTCGCCAATTGTACTTTCGTCATCGACAAAAATCATTTGGATATCCGACAAGTTCATGAGTACTCAATAACCGTTGTCCCATATTGACATGATCCAGTACATGCCTTTAGCACTAGGAAACTTTTCGGGTCATAGACTGCTAATATTGGCGAATTTCTGCTTCACTTGCGTTCATATACTCCTCTGGACGTTCGTCATTTGTTATGGAATTGCTGGCTTGATATTTTATCTTATAATAAGCAACGGAAATCAGCCTCTCTCTTAATATCCTCTTCATAGTTATCCATCATGATGTATCACTCACGCGACAGCATTGATATTCATTTTTTTATTTGTATCTATTTTGTAATTATATATATTTGAAAATTACACTACTTATATATTATTATCCAAGAATGCAATCATAATATAGATAAATATCGCAGTAAAATTGACATTCTGCGCTGGTTTTTTACTATTCGGTACTCAATCTGAAAAGTTGTGCGCAAAACGTGTGCATAAGCGGACTAGAGTCAGATCATTTTTCATCATTATGCACAATCGTATCCAGTCATAAGAATTTATCAAAAATTCAATAGGATGAAAACTGAATCCACATTATATATGACAGCAAAAATTTTCAGCTAACATGCAAAATCGTTTTATTACTTCATCGGTTGTATTTTACGTTATTATTTTTCTGCTTGAGAATATTTTTCTCGGATATTAATGAATACTTCATTAAAATACAATACTATTTCTAGTAAATTAATCATGAATACTTATAGGAAACATTGACATCTGAGCGTTCTACTAGCAAAAGTTACTAAGAACGCTAGTGAATCCGTGAAGAGTTAATTATCTCTATCTTCACGCAATTGTTTATTAAAAAAATGTCGCGCATCCGAAAAGGATTTATACAATATTTGATGAAACATTTATTACGTTAATGAAACCTTGTTTATGTTTTAATATCCTGCTTTTTTTACTCTATAGTCTATGCAGCGATCTTACTAATCATTGAGAGAGTGAACGTTATTGAAGACTTTTTTTATAGTTTCAATAGGTTTTTAATGTTTAAGCATATGCAGAGTAGTTTATATTGAAACGCATGCCTTCAAATTAGCATTCTAATATTAAGTCAATTTTAATTCTAATTTTCCTTGAAAACTTCATAGCAATTAAATTAATAGTATAATTATCTTAAGATCTTTTCTTTATTAAAAGAACTTTTCACAGTTTCAACCATGATTAGCTTAGCGAGAAGTATTTTTCTTTTGATTTTCAACTTTAAACGATTGTGTGGTGGTTTGTTGCATGTCAGCTTTATCAAGAATTCGTGCCTTTTGAATATCGGTGTCGTCAACTTCAGGTTTGTTTGCTTGTAGCAATGCAGCTGATCCTTCTGGACTATCTAAGCCATGTTGCTGATTCAAACCGTCATTTATATAAGCTTTCATTTGAAATTCGGATGTTTGCATTATGAGAATAATTGTTGATGATATTTGCCGAATTGAAAATTGGCGCTCAACCACTTTCATTAGAATTTATTTTATCTTTTTAATTAGACTAAAAAAATATCACCAACATCACGAAGATATTTTTTCCGAATGAGAAATCTTGAGATGATTTCGATGTTTTATAGCTTTAAGTTAATACACGTATTATCAAGAAGAAAAGGTATTAAATTGAATTGTAAGTGCGTACTCGAACTATCATTGAATAAGTGTCACAGAGTTCTTTTTTTTTTATAGAATACGTAAAAAAAAATAAAATATTCACAGCACGAGAATGCGTGCGATCTAAAATATTCTACGTTATAAATTGGTTGAAGTTATCGAGTGTAGTATGAAAGAAAAAAAGAAAAAAATTAACTAATATGTAATGTTCGATTTATGTTAGCACATCTGCTGCCACTTTCTGAGACCAAAAGGGATCAGTCACATTTTTCTAATAGCTTTTGTAGCTTCTTATTGTCTGCAACATAGTAAAAATAATATTAGAAAAAGCTTCTCTTCAAATTCATTTGAGAGTTGCACTGCGAGTAAACATATAAATGACGTATGAACTTGGGCATGGTAATCACAAAAACAGCTCTGTTGGAAAATAGAAAAAAAATTCGATAATATGATCCGTGAAAAAGTCATACGAGCTGTGGGAAAATAACGCTTTTGTTAAAAGAAAGACTAATAATTATCTGGATCAATGACGCCCGAGGCCTTGATTACAATCATATAAACAAAGTTCGTCGTTCATTGTAATTTAGTGGTGCAGCTTTGATCTCTTCAGGTCATACACTTGATATGCATACTCGAATTTACCGTCCGAACGATATTCTTCAGAACACTGTAGTACAATTAGTAATGCACTTATATTACATGGTTGTAATCAGTAATTTGAGCTTCTCTCGAACTATCTGAGATGTTTTTCAGATGAAAATTTTTAAGAATGATGATCACTGAAAACAGTGACGGATCCAGAAATTTTTAGAGGGCGCGGCGCTTTCTAAATTATATAGTACGACGCAGAGAAATGTTTTTCGAAAATATATAAATCAAAGTACTACAGTTTTCTTTCCATTGCTTATTTAATTTTTCCGCAATATATCTATAATTTCATGGAACAAACAACTCGACGACTGAACTTAGCGAATTCATCGATGCAAATTAGTTATAATTAACCAGATTTTCTAATTACTTATTGTCATGATTTTTTGTGGAACTTTTATTGTTAAACGAAAACAGTTTTCGAACGTTTGCACACCAACATCTTGTGGTTTATTTTCTTATTGAAAGGTATGATTTGGTGAATACAAGAATCACAGAAACATTTCGGGTAGCACTTTAAAAAAGACAGAAATGAAGCTGAAAACGAACAAACGCTATTTATACTTTTTGATTTACTACTTACGTAATATTCAAGATGATGACAATCAATTATAGTTTTCCGATTCCCTTCGGTTATTCATTTTATTTTCGACCTTCCAATAATATGTAAGCCTTTAAAAATATGTCGTTGTCCCG